CAGAATTGTCTTCTGCCAGGCAGAAAACCGGTTCCCAGTTTCCTTCTCTCCATTCCCTCTCGCTCTCTTCTCTCCTCCTCTCCCCACAGCAGAGGGGCCCCGAGCTACTCCCCACAGGAAGAAGGAAGGTATCCTCCTTTCTCGAATGGAAAGGAGGAAGTGAGGGAGAGTTCCCTCCTTTCTGCTTGTTTGTCGGCACTTAACGTCGCTTCGTCGATTGTTAGTATTTTTTACATTAAACTGCCCCGCGCTCTATTGTAGAAGATGACATGAACATGCCCATAAGGCCTGTTGGCATGTGCGCAGGCCTTGTGTTGAGTAAACACCGAGGGTGGGGAGTTCGATCTCCTGCCCAATAGTTGAGCCAGTGACCAATGCGCCCTGTGCGCTAACACTATTGCCCCCCCCCCCCCCCCCCCCCCCTTGGTGATAACTTATCTTACGGGCTCCAAGCATCCTAAAATTAAAAAATTATGCTCGAGTGACGTCTATTTCCGCACTAAAAATGTGATAGAAGTTCGTGCGACGCCCACGTCGCACGCGCATAATTTTTTATTTCTGGCACGCTAAGATCCCGTACAATGAGTTAGCACCAAGAACAGACTAGAAACGTCTTTAATGCACCTTTAAGGGTGAACGAAGTATAGGCGTTTTTCGTTTCCGTTCGTTCTCAGTCACGTGGGTTCCGTATTGGTATGCGGGACTGAAAAAGAATAAAACACTTTAACCTGGAATAAGCGAGAAAAATATAGGTGAGGTGAAACAAGAATGTGTGAAAAATAACGCATTTTTTTGGAAACTCCTTCCAGCTGCGTGGACAAAAAAAAAAAATTTTAACGCATGCAAGAAGTGTCGACATTCGAGATGGCAGCGCTCTCGTGGAAAAGGCACCGTGATGTCAGTGTTGTATCAATGGTAGAGAGCCAAGATTAAAGCGAGGGTTCATCTCAGACAACGGGGAGCGTTTGCAATTTAATGGCGGAAGCCTAATGCGGAGATTGGTCCCAAGTGCACATGCGCTGGGTTTTCGCGTGGCAAGGAGAAAAGCAGGCGCAAAGGCAAACGCCCTTCGCTTCCAGACGATGAACGCTACCTCCTCGCAGCTCGTGTTCCCAAAGCGTCTTCGGCGCATCGTAATGTAAGTAGGAGCACGCCAACATAACGCGCAGGGAACGTGCGATGACGAATGCGCCAAGCGCCCGCTGTCATTTATTGAAATCGAAAAAAAAAAAAAAAACACGTTGGCGCGTTTGGGTAGTTTGGGGAACATACGCACGCGGAGGAGTAGATGCTCATAAGCCGGTGTCTCGCACGAAACCGTGCAATGGAGTTTGCCCTGACAGGTCGCGCCATCTGGTGCGCAACTTCCGCAATGATGGGAAGTCCGGTTCGTCACTTGCGCCGTTGAAGACGCTGTATTTTCGTTGGCATAGTGCACGACAATGCAAACAAACAGCCAATTTTTGTTTTGTTTAGTTTGCGATTAAAATTATACTATGTGCCATCCTAACGTGTAAAGCAGCGAAGGCAACTAGCACGAGGTGCTGCTTTCCGTACACGAGGGGCCACGTGGTAACAATAATGTTTGGAGATAAAATGCTGCATTTTTTATACCTATTTTATATATTTTCTCTTCCCGAGTTCTAGCGATCACTTTATGATAATGTGTTTCGGTGATTGATTTGTTTTGTTGTAGCACTCAGCCAAAACCCTCAAAACTGTATTCGTGGCTGTGTTTTCTTTAATGAGGGAACTAAAGCCCCAGCCACAAGCCACACACATTCAGAAAAAAAAGGAGCCAAATGAGCAAAAAAGGGTTCTTTTCGCTAAAAAAGCATCGATTTTGGGGAAGATCCCTTTGAAGCGTGCTTTCTCAGCAAAAAGCACCCCATGCAAAAAAAAAAAAAAAAAAAAAAAAAAATAAAAGAAAGAAATGCAGGGCTAGTTTCCGGCTTAAAGGGGCGATGCAACGATTTTTGTATTTTGCGCAATTACCGCTTAGAACGCATCCCTGACGTTAATGACCTGTGAAACACCCGTTCGTTTTTCACCACACGCAATCGAAGTCGCAGAAAAAAAAAATAAAGAAAAACGAGCAGAGTGCACCCCCTTAACTCGCAGCCAGAACAAGCGGCCACGTGATCTGGAGCCGATTATATGCCGCCAGTGTTGATCATAGCCACGCGCTGGGGTTTGCAAGGCACAGGACACGCGCTGAGTTCCAGCCATTGTTATGGTTCGGCTGTTGTCTTCATCGCAGCGATTGGACACAGGATATACCCGAATGCTTCTCGAGCTATCGATTATCACGAGCCCAAATCGAGTGTCCACGCCATGCTCGGGTACAATCTATGAGCCGCATTCAAATATCGTCACTGGGCGGTACTGCCACCGCCCAGCTACGTCATCAGGTTTTGCGAAGGAGAGATTGAATGAAAACACTCGGTTTTATCCTCGAAATTACGGCGCAACAAAAGAGTTTCTTGGTCAGTGGCTTTGCGTGCGAGTATCCTTGAGTCCCACTAGTGCCAGTAAGCTCGTGTAAAGTGAAAAACATTCTAATTGAATATCGTTGCACTGCCCCTTTAAGCGTGTTTCACATGCAGCGGTTTTGGCCCTAGAGCGGCGCGATTTCTGCCGTCGCGGTGCTCTGGCCAGCACCAGCGGTTGAGCGGCACGAGCGCCGCGACGGCAGAAATCGCGCCGCTCTAGGGCCAAAGTCGCTGCATGTGGAACACGCTTTAGAAAGAGCTTAAAAGGGTTCTTGTTGCAGACAGGAAAGAGAGAAAGAAGACTTTTGCAAATGCCGCATGGCTAGGGCACTTCTCCCGCAGCGGTCACGTTCCTGTCATCTAACATCTTGCCGTTAGTCGTGAGCTGGCCTGGAATTATTCGAGAGCAAGGACGTTTAGCGGTTACCCGTCACCGCAGAAAAATAATAATTTTGGATCAAGTATCGTGAATGGCACTAATCATGTGCGCAGTGTAATAAGGTCACGAGAGCAAGGTAGTTTTGGAAATGCCCTCTCCGCAATTCTATAGGGTTCTGGCGTGCGGCCGGCATTAGTAAGGTGGTGGGTACATCTTATTCGAGATATCGAAATAGCGTTCTGACTCGGCTGTCTTTGTGGCGCTTCCTATTGTTATTTGGCGAAGAGTTCCAGAGTGTTATTCGCAGATTTGCCGAGTTGCTATTTGTTTAAACATTCGAAGTGCTTTACTTAGTCTACTTTGAAGCCGAGATATTGTAACATTATAGTATGCATATTCATCTAAGTGGTGCGTAAAATACATAGTTCAAGTATCGCCTTACATCTAAACAACACTCCTGTTAAAAAAAAGTGTGAATTTGGCTGTTAATTAATTTTAATCATCTTCTACCCATCGGAAACAAATCAGTTTACTTATTTTAAACCAGCAATGTATCACAGTCACTTAAGCCCTCCGAATCGTAAACAATCCCAAAAAGGTTGGCCTTGCAAACATATTAGTCAGATAGAAAATAAACTAAAAATAAAACAAAGTTCTTGCAAATGTTCACTGATAAAAAATGAAAGCCGTTTACAACTCTCTGTGACGCCGAATTAGAGCGCAGCTCTTGAGGAGGAGGAGGGGAGGGTATACCCATCTTCCCTTCCCTCCTTCTCACCTCCTCATCCTGCCTGCTACTCCTCCCTCCGAACGGCGTCGGCGTAACCGTGAGGTCACGTGACCCTCGTGACGTCGCGTGACCTCACGGGGGTTACGAGACGTCACCGGGGTCACGTGACCTCACGCTTAGGCCGCTCAAGCCGAAAACGGGCGCCCACAAGCTGCGCTCTAAAAAAAAAAAAAAAAAAAAAAAAAAAACAAAAAAAACAAACGTGTGAATAAAAGTAATCTTACCTCAAACACATTTCCGAGTTGCCATGAAAGAAATCATTCTGTATACATGATCTAGTGAGTGCTAATCACAATGATTAGCGCACCGAGACGGAAGTCAACCCGATACCTTATTGCGTGAGTGACAGTGGTTCTCAACCACTGATGTTTCGCGGACCCTTTGTGGATCGGCGGAGTTGATGGAAGACCCGTTTGCGGTGAAGGAAAAGGAAAGGTATAGATTATTTATGATAATGATTTAATGAATGGATACAAGTAAGGGCTAGTGCGAAGTAGACTTCTCATTGACGTACACACGAGAAAACTCAGCCAAAACTTTAAACGTTTCTTCTCGATCTAAAAAAAAAAAAAAAAACACCAAAAAACTTTTATTTCCAGGTTTGACCGATGTGACAAGGCTTCGCGGACCCCTGAATGCCTTGAGAACCACTGATCCAGGATATGCCCGGAGCATTATGTCCACAATACCAAAAATAAGAGCTCAGTTCTACCCAGACAAACCGGTCACTATGTTTATAATACATGCGGGGACGTACGCAATCAAAAAAGCCAAGGTCGCTTTGTTAGCAACGAGGAAGGGGGCAGGAGAAGCAGACGGCGCGCCGGCGACTACCCATCATTGGGTTTCTTTGCTGGTGGAGGCGCTGAACTATCACCCGAAAGCGGCACCTTCTAGACATGTGCTCTGGGGCGTATGGCTCCAGAGCACATGTCTAGGCGGCGCCGCAGTCGGGTGATAGAAGAATGTAAAACAAAACAATACCACATAAATGTTACGATGAACCTGAACGGAATCTGCGGGTCATCAAACCCAGTCCACCGTGAGCCAGTCCTTTGCAGTACGAGTGTCATGTGACCTTCCAGAGGAAGCTCGTCCCACCCCTTTTCACTTTAGCAGAGCGAACGCTGGGGAGGAGGGTCTGTTAAAGAGGAAAGAGGGCGGGAGAAGCTTCCACTTGCCAGCGACGCACGGTGTGCACCGTGCACCAAAACCCTTTTGCATCAGGGCGGTCGCTTCCAAAAAAACGTCACAGGCGTTCCTTTGAGAGCCTAGATGGCGCAAGCTACCACCTAGTTCAAAAGACTGAACCAATATTATTTATCTATCTACCCGGGCGTTGGCAGCGTCTAGGAATGGGCCAGTGTGGATTGTGTGGAGAATCGTGTTGACTGGAGTGGGGATTACGCCGCTGCACCGAGACCACCGAGCGACCGACCAACGGGCTACGCCAGCTACGCTGGCTGGGTCGCTGCTTTCATCTGTCGATGTTGTCAAGAGTTCTACTCGTGAACGGGCGAGGCGGTCTGGGCGGTTTTGGGAGACACGCGTTATCGTTGAGAGACGCCGTTTGTTGAGATCTCGATGTGGCGCACGGATGGCTAGGACAGTTAGCATAATCCGCAGTGCACACGCCGTGGGAGGAAGGAGTCGGCCAGTTATGGCTGCGCTCCGTCTATGAACCCCCGTGCGAGCCGAGGGTCTTGCAGTTCGTGAGAAACGTTGACGGCGAAAATGGCGCAGGACATCGACATTACCAGCCTGCCCCCCGACGTGCGAGAGAAGCTCGCAGAACTGGAACTGGAGTTGTCTGAAGGTGAGTTCCTTGGCCGACTTTGAGCCTAGGCCTAACGGCGGCGAAGCAGACGACTCGCGTATTGTGCGGGGCTCGCTTGGGAAGCCCCCTCGGGAAGCGGCAGCCATCCCGTCGGGCCGCGCCGCACGGAGACCTTGGTGCTTTCCGGCAGCGCGGCGCTGGCTCTTCGTCCGGAGCTGTCACTGGGACGCCTCGTCGGACTGACGCAATGGCGTCCCCTGCGTCACGGCGGACCCCGCGTCAGCGCAGGGGGTCCCGCGACCGTCTCCGCCGGGGTGCACGGGCGCCCGACGAACCCGCCGCTGCCCAGGGGAGCGTCTGACACCTCGGGTCTCTGGGCGTGTGCGGGTTCCTCGGCGCCGGCTTTTGGGGTCAGCGCGAGGCCTGCTGGCTGGCGTGACGGCATGCCGACCACATGAGCCGCTTCCGGAGCTGGTCGCACTGGCCTCGGGCACTGGCCTCGGCCAGTGGGATCGTGAGCTTCATCCCTTCGGGCGCGGGTCCCCCGGCACTGAACTTCCGCCCTGGAGCTCGCACTCCCTGTTCGCTTCGGATAGTTTCTAGCGGACGTATTCGATCTAGTGGACGCGATTTGTGCTGGAAAAGCTGACGAACCGTCGTTAATCTCCGCAGGATAATTTGCCAGTCATCTTTAGAAGGGGCTGGTGTTAACGCGCTGCTCGCACGCTCCGTCGTTGCCATGTCGTAGCGGGGTGGTATGACTCTTGCCACCCCTGCCCTTCGGGGTGAGTCAACCGAGACGGGGGCAGCCTGGGCTTCGCCTGGTTCGTGTTGCTGTAGTCGCCGACAGGATGAGAACGATTGTCGGGTCTCTCCAGCGCGACCTTCGGCGTCTCGTGACCCTTGAGCGTGCATGCGCTGCCAAAGCACCATGAAAGGCATCGAGGCTGGAGGCCGCCCTGCCGTCTTCGTCCTGTCAGTCACCAGAGTGAATCACAGACAACAGGTTTCACACTAGCGACGTTCCTCAGCTCGTTGAGAGTTGCTGCAGCCGCTCTTCCGACTTCACTTTTTGCTTTCTGGTGTCTTGACGAGCTGGCAGACTTCCTGCTAGAGTTGTATGAACGCAGTTGGCTTTGGCAGGTCGTTGGCATTTTGGCTCGTGTGTCTACCGTTTCCACAATTCTCGCTCTTGTTTTCCTATGCAGAACGGTCAACAGAACGGAGGTTTTACCCTTCCATCTAAAATATGCTCCGTTGACAGGTTGTACACCAGATCGCCCCAGGCTTGGAAATCTTGTAGCATAAATGTTGCAGAATCATTTGTTGGTTAAGCTGTTAGTCTATTAGAAGCTGCTTGAACAGCTATCTTGCCACTGAAGAGCCTTCGCTGTTGCACGGGTTGACTGTGGAGGATGGAGCTGATGCCATGACAGTGCACTTGATCTCGTTTTCTGCACAGTGGTCAATGACCCATCTTTTAGCCATTTGGAGCAAGAATTTGCAAATGTCTAAGTGCACCCTTTTTCAGCTGTTAGTCTTCATGACTACACGGGGGCAGACTACAAATTACGCAGCTCCGGAACAGACCATACAAACTTTTTTGTCTGGCATTTTTTTTTTTAGTCTTGGCCATAATATTTTTCTTTAACTCTTGGTATGCCAAAGCTTTGCATGTGCAGTGATCTAAGTGCGCTATATTGTGCACCTACCTGAACACCCACTGTGTTGTCCCAAACATGACACCTCACATTAGCCGCCTCGGTGGCTCCGAGGCGAGAGCGCCGGCCTACGGATCCCCAGGTGGCGGGTTCGAATCCCGACCGAGGTGCCCGCAATATGACTGAGGCTTATTGCGGAGAAGGCGCCGTGTAACCGAGCTTTCGGTTGCACGTCAAAAGATCCCCAGGTGGTCGAAATTAATCCTCAGTCCTCCGCTGGGGCGTGCCAGATGCCCATCGTAGGTTTGGCACGTAAAACGCCCAAATTTGACTTTGACACCTCACATTGACGAAAAGTGTCAAATGTCAAATGTAAAAGTGCCTCTGTTTGCTGCTTTCTGAAGGCAACTGGGTCACTTCGTTGCATGTATGGCACATTAAATTTTATCGTTTTGCCGTTTTCTGCGTAGCATGATTCAAGGTCACTGACAATTTGGTCGTCGGCAGAGCTTTATCTACACGCAAGCACCTGCATTGAGCTGGTGGTTGTGCATCAAAATTGATCAAATCTGCTGGTAAGGTATTAAATGCAGATGTGGTATTCTGTGGATGCAGGCTTATTGTAATCTCCACATTCATCCATAATGTGAATGGGGAAATGGATAGAAATGATTAAGAGGTACAAGACTGTGGCTGCTCAGGACTGCTTCGTGCTTCGATGGCTATGCTTTTTTTTCTCATGAAGGGGGAGCTCCACCATCAATGCGAACATTTTCAACAAAATACATTTTCTGAACGGCAGTAACAAACTGCCGAGGACAAGAGCTATTTTCTGGAAGGTAATGCAATTTCGAATAGTTCGCACTGAAACTTGAACTGGCAGGTTATGATGTCAACATAAGCATTAATATGAGGGCAGCTTGCTCTTTTCTCACCTTTAGCTCCCAGTATGATTGGGGTGGCTATAGTTCAGCAAATTTGGTGGACTTGGTGGCAGCATTTTAGAGGACCCATCAATTTGCTTATGATTAGGGTTCTTTTTTGTTTAAATAGATAGAAAAGATACAGTTAGAGTATGGCAAAATAATTTTTTAACATTTGGTTTTAACTGAAAAGGTCACTAATTTTGTGCAATATGGCACAGCTAGTGAGCTGAAAGGTGTTCGGGGGTGGAAATCAGTGGCATAGCCAGAAATGTTTTTGGAGAGGAGGAGAATATTGCCGAAATTATGTGGCTATGCATCTTTTTTTTTTTCTCAGCCAACGTATTTGCAGGTGGAGTGAGTAGGCAAGCGAACTGGTTGATGTTACACATTTTTGAAAAACTGGAGACGACGGACAAAAAAGGGGACAGCACACAACACGTCTCAAATTGAGACTTCCTGTGTGTTGTCCCCTTTTTCGTCTGTCGTCTCCGGTTTTTCAAAAATGTGCAACGTATTTGCAGCTTTTTAGAAGCTGCAAAACATGGGTATGATATTTCTTTTTTAATATTAAGTGTGTGCCTTCGATGACCCACGACTTTGATTATATTTGGTGGTTGTGTCTAAACCATAGGAAAAAGCATGTGACCTTGAAGAAGAGAGTGAGCACGACTCAAACCGGCCTGTTCTCGATCGGCGGTTTTTGGGCGAGAAGAAAACTAATTTCGAGCTGCAAATTGTGTTCTGGGTAGTTGGGCTTTCATGTGTCATGTACAAATAAAGACCTTGGCGAGCATAGATACCCTGTCAGTTGAATAAAGCAATTGTGGTGTATATAAATGGCCATTGAAATTAAAAATTTCTTGCATTAAACCTGGGTAAAGCCTGTTGACATCCGTTTCGTCTTCTCTTGCCTGTGCTTTTTTTTTTTTTTTTTCGTGCTTTGACATTGACAATTAGATGTGCTATCCCTCGTATTTATCTTGTATAATTTTAGTTGTATCATTTAGCTGTTGAATTGTGACCCCTTGATATGGCTGTTGCATACTCCTTGATGGCACCGACCTAATCATTACCATTTAATAATTGGTTACAACCGTTGGAATTGTCCAGTACTCACAAAAATAAATAAAAAAAATGTGACTTCGGTTGAATGAACATGCTGCATAAATTGCAAGAAAAAAGGTAACCTTTGTTGCTGAAACATATTCACCGAAATTAAAACAAATTTTCTTTCCTGATAAAAGCTAAAACTAATTAACTGAATTTGAAAGAAATAAAAAAAAAAAAAAAACTGACAACATGAATCCATACTTCCACTCTGTTGGCATAGTGTCCTAGGAAATGACAGACGACTGCGCATCCTCCTGAACCGCTGGCACGTGAAGTCCGATGCAACACCGAAAGCTGAATTGTGTGAACAAATTTGTTCCTTTCATACCGGAGGCAGCTTAATTTTTCTTGATGTGAAGTTTTCTGCACTCTGCATGCAGTAGTGCCTTGGCATGATGTGGGCCTCTCGATTCTCACTCGTGCACGGTAGCTCTATGGCATTTGGGTGTGAAGCAGCGGAAGTGAAGTGGTTTGTCTTTCCATGGAAGTGCTAAATGTTCGTAGCAGAGGCTTGGTCTTGCACGGTGTTGCAGAGAGGCTTCTAAAATGGTGGAATGTTGCTATGCTTTCTTTTGTGTTTGTGTACCAATACAGGGATCTCCTTTTTCCTCACATCTGCTTAAAGGGCGGCTCTGGTCAGTATTTTCTAATTTGGTATTATGACTGTTTACAGCTCAGTCAGTATCCCTGAATTATGAGGTACAATTTTGTTTCCAGTAGAGAGTGTAGTTTTGTAAATATCTTGGCTCAAAGTTTGGTTTCAGGCGTCCACAGTAAGACCGCAACTATCTGCTATAGAAGCATGGAAACACTGATCATCAGCCATTATGCTGCGACGTGACGTCACTATGGTGCTGAGGGAGGCATCGCCTAGTGATGCTTGATCAAAAGCTAACCTGCTTGCCACCTGCTTAAGAGCAGCTGGTCGCATCTTTAAAATCTGCTCTAGTGGAGTATGCGGCTTCACTTTGACATAATATTTCAGCAGAGATCATATTTCGTGCCTCTAAAGCGATGCCAGTCATTTATTCTGGTTTCGTTTTCGACCGGAGTTGCCCTTCGAGATAGTTATAACAAACTGAACCGGCAAAAGCATCCCATGCAAATCGGTACACAATTTAGTGTCGCATGTGGCCCTTTCATCGCTTCTCCAAAGCGTTTCCAGTAGAGCAGCAATCAATCGTAGGGACGAAAGCATGTTTTCTTCAAATAAAATGTTGCCACAGAAATTGAAAATGTGGAGGTGTTTCATAGACATGCTCATAAAGGTTGCTTGATACATGGTGCAACTTCTGTAGTGTACCTCTTCCGGCGTGGGAGACTGCTCAAGGCGGAGCGCGGGAAGGTCATCGTCTCTTCTTTGGTGACAATCCTGTGACTGAATTTTTAATTTGGACATTAGTTTGGCTTGTGCGATGCCTTTTGTGGCGCGTGCCGTCTCTTCCTCTTCGGCGTTTTTATGCAGTATTGTGAAAACGAAAGGCACGAGATGGTATGGCCGTTTGGGTGGCTTCGTTTTTGCATGCACTGGTGCACTTCCGTGTGTGGGGATTGGGCACGTGTAGGGGTTCTACAGTCACTGACAGGATGAGAACAGCAGGGAGGAGTTTGTTGTCCAGCCTCCAGTGTGAGCTTCCTTCTTTAGATAAGGCCTGAGCGCCTCGTGACCTTGGAGCTTGCGTGTGCAGCCGAAGCGCGGCAAAAGGCAATGGGAGCATGCTGGAGGCCGGGCAGAGAAAAGGATGCCTCGCCGGTCTCAACTTGTCGGTGACTAAACTTCTGTTTTGGGCAGGTGCCTTGACAGGCTGTCAGCATTGCCGATTGTGCTCCCGTTACTTGCACACTGAGGCAAGTGTCATCTTCCAGGAATGTCGGACATCGGTGAATATGGGCTTCAACCAGTCTGCTACTGGGAATTGCTTGCTTGGTGTCAAAATACAGTGTAAAAAAAAAAAAAAAAAATAAGAAGACGCGCCTGGACTATTGTATTAACTTCTAAATGCTGCAATGACGGGAAAAATATTGTGCTAATGTGACATTGAAGTTATTTTGAAATGTAAGGCAGGACGGTGCTCTCCGTTAAAAAGGCTTCGCTAGGCAGATTATTCAGATTTAAGAAATTAAAAGTGCAAAACAAGACGAGGACGAAGAAAAAATCCCGCACGACACAGACAGTTGCTGCTTTTAAACTCGTGAACCAGCTAGCTCAAACCAAAGTGTTAATTCAGATTATTCCAGTCATTGATGGTTCTGGGGAAATAAAAATTCTTGTTTAGAGGCAAATGAATTGTCCTTGGACAATAAGACATGTCTTCACCTTCATTTACTCCTAAGTGTTTGCTCAGTCCCTTAGCATCTTACTTTATAGGATAAAAGACTGGAGATTCTGGATGATGTTTCACGATAAGTCAGCTATCGCCCTCTCCTTACAATAAAGGATCTGATGGATCCAAGGACTCAAATGGGCCAGTGGTTGACCTTTGTAGGTATGTGGGTCTACCACCTCATTGATTGCAGTTGATCACTAAGTACGATAAAAAATAAAAGATGCTTCAAGTAAAGTCGGGTACTTTTTTTTTCTTCACAGATGGGATATGAATTGTACTTAAGTTCTGATATGGATAGAGCTAAAACGGACTTGGTTTTTATTTTTTTCTACGGTAGCATTTTTAAAGCAGGTAAGCAGAAAACTCGACAGTTGCTGCACCAATTTCAAAGATGTATAGTTTATTGTGACCTGTTGACGGCATAATTGGATGAGCATTGTTGCTCAGTTATGTGCACAGATTTTCCCAGTTCTCTAAGGGCGCTCACGTTGGTGAAGTGTGTTACAAATCCACTTGTCGGTGAATTGCAGAATGAGGTTATGTTTGCCTCAAAAGACAGTTGTGAAATGTGACAAGCGCGTGGGCAACCACTGCAGCACCAGAAGTGCCAGAAATGTGTGCAAACTTGCGACACCATTAAAGGAAGGAACTACAATAGAATGAAAGTGGCACCCTTAAAATGTATGTCTTTGGTTGGATTGCCCCTTTGTCCTGACTGGGTTTTCCTCTCGCTTGTCTCGGGAGCAATCCGATGAGAGTAAAGTGGCCTCGAAAGTCCCGCCACACTGCAGGCCTGCAGTTAAATGGCCAGTCGCTTCACTGCTTTCATGGCTGCTCGCCTTTTCTCCAGTGTCGTCACACAACTGATCTTTTCTTTGTGCATATATAAATTGAATTTGCCTCTTTGTAAAGTAACAATTTTGAATAAAAATATTTGTGCGATAGTTCTTAGAGGTCAGTTTGTGCAATTGATTTTAAAGGGGCTTGAAAACAATTAGTGTACCTGTAACATTTTCTGGCCTCTTGATTTTCCCATTTCTTGTTAGACTGCAGATTGCCCGTCGTCGGAAATGGTGGCTCGCGGCATAGTCGGAGCCCCGCGTGACAACTCTCGGGAAATTGGCTGACACTTTGTCTTTCGTCTTGTAATTGACTACTAGAGAGCCTCCTTCTCTTCCAATGCTCATGCTTGTTTCTACAATAGCTGCTGCTTTGACACATTATAGCCTTAGTTTCTGCTGTGCCATGAAACCTGCAGTCTCTCTATTGGAGAATGCCTCAAGGTGTGTGGTCAGTGGCAAATGGGCTGACGGGCCTCTGTGTTCTTCGCTGGGCTGGGCTCCTGTTGACTGTTCTGTTGCTTACAGGTGACATCACCCAGAAAGGCTATGAAAAGAAAAGAGGCCGACTCTTGGCTCCATACCTGCCACCCCATCCAACAGGTAGGAAACGTTTGACTTCAAGGCAGACCCCGCAGCGAGACCCTGTAGTGTTTGAAGGTCTTGCAGTCCCACGTCGTTAGGTCCATGGCTTCCGTTGACCAGATCTGCAGCCACGTGCGTGGCACATTTCTTGTTGAGCATCTGAAGGATAGGGTGGCGAATTTGCCCAGTCTGCTGGAAACCAAACATTTGTTTGAGGCCCTAGGACTGTGTGTGCATCTGAAAGCTTGCTTTGCTACATTTTGTGAGAGTTTTGCTTTTGTGCTGCTTAGTTTGCATAGGCAGTTCCTACCCTAGTAGCACACTTGGTTCTGTGAATGTCTTTAGGATGTCCTAATGTTCTGGGGATGTGACCTGTGGACGTTCATAGGACATCCCCAGAATGTTAGGACATCCTAAGAACATCACAGAACTAAGCGTGCTACTAGGGCAAATTCCGATGAGGTAAGACGATGGCCTATTTGGATTTGGATATGCGGCTAACCCCTTCGTAGCGGGGGATCCCAGCATACTGGATCTAGCCAAATTGATCTGTTATTTTCTTCTTGGTTTTTCTTCCACCAGTGGTCCAATCTTCTTTTTGTCCATTCTACCACTGGTATGGGCCGCGGGCCCCTGCCCAGAGAACAATAGACTTGTATGACAGACCCACAGGCGTATGTTATAGGTATATAGGGCTCATGTAAGCCTAGCAGGGCAAGTCTGGGGGGTCTCAAGGGGTCTCAGACCCCCCACTGATTATAACGGATGGTCTGGGACCCTCCTCCACAGCCCCAGCATTAGTGAAATCAAAATCATATCTTGCAATAAAATGGCTTGTTTTCAGGGATGTGACATTTGTGGATTAGCAATTCGAGGGTTGCAGGCAGGTACAGCGTGGGCAGAGTCAGCAGTGTGGTTTATTTCATCTGCATCTAGTACATCTCGTCAGAACCCCCTCCTCCCCTCCCCCCCTCCCCACCACCACCACCTTCTTGTAGGGACCCCCCTCAACTTACGGGAGACTTTAAGCACTGAAGCCTAGTAACATCGAGGTTTATTGGTTTTTTGGTGTATTTGCAGAAAATGAAATATGCTCGAATATGTTTCTGCACAAAGTTTCTAATTGCTGAGATGAACTTGCCATTTTTTTAAGTTCCCTGTTAACATTGTGTGGTTACTTTATAACAAATACATAGATGGAGTGAATGCACCCAACTAATTCAACCTTATTAATACTATTCATATGATGCTAGACTCTGTCGAAACACTTCTTAATTTACTTTATGTTTGCGCATTGCTTGCAGTTCTGCTATTTTTGCAGTGAGTGACATAACTGGGTGGTATTGGTGTACAAATATTAATATAATCTGGCAATTGTTTCTTTATCCATTTGAGTATATCTTAAACTGGTGTATCTTAGTAGTGCAATAGTTTTCAAGTGGGTCGCTGGCATCTTAATACAAATATCTTGTCATATTTTGTCATGAAAATGTGTTGTCCTCTTTTTCGCCCCGTCCTCACTCAAATTCCAAATAGTGCTTTTCTATGGTCAGTCCAGGTTTCCTAGCAAGTTTCTTTTTTCCTATGTACGGTTTCCACATGCTATATGTATATTTTAAGTCTGGCTGTAGGACTAGAGTTTCACGGAGGGTGCATGAGGCCGTTTCAGTGTGCCTCAAAGCTGTTGTGTCGAACGTCGCCCTGTTTTTTCGTGTGAGAGTTCAGTGAATCATGGGATTGCCTCTCCAAGCGTTCCTTCGGTGTGCAGCGGAGGCAATGGCAATAAACGGAGCACTGGTAACCGGAGTATGAGACACTGTGAGGCTGAAACTGCTTGTGTGTCTCGGGTTACGGTGTGCACATGACGTCCCATATTTCTCAACATGCTAAGCCTCTGAAACCCATACTTTTCTCTGTGTTGTGTCTCGTTTGGTAGCGCCGTTTTTGAGACTTTGGAAATCTGCAGATTTTGAAGATAACAGTCGAATGGGAGATACTTCAAGCTTTATCCCAATAAAATTGTTATACTCGCCTTATATGTCTTGCCTGCATTTGACAAAATAACTGCGAGGTAGAACATCCTATTTCCAGCGTGAACTAGCTATAGCTAGTATTCGTTTAAGAGGCAGCAAGTTGTCTCGGGGGTGTGCGAGGGAAGGGCTGTAATAGATGTGATGCTAAAGGTTGTTGTAGAAGCTACGGTGCGGCAGACGAACGGGTGCAGGGGTCGCTGACAAGGCGAGGTTCAAACTTGTGGCTCCTGCGGTTTGGATTGGCTGGTCATCTGCAAGGGCAGGCCAGTTGAACCGTCACTTGCCTCGTTTGCTGCCGATGGTGTTGGCAGTTCCGAGAACAGCCTTCAATGTCGCGACAACTCTGGGGACGTTGCTTGGTGGAAATTGAGCGTACGAAAGAAAGACTGAGTAATCGTGCAGTTGGGAGACTCGTTGCGCACACATTGTCTCTGCTCCGAGGTGGAGAGGGGTTTGTGGCACACTTGACGCTGGGGCTTTCTTGACAGGCTCTGCTAGTCCTTCCACCCGAGCCAAAAGGAGAGCCCAGCGGCGGCTCACGCGCAACGAGAGCAGGTACCACTCAGGTACGTCTGCCCCACTGCTCGGTGCGCCGTCCCTAGTGAAAGGTTGTGGTTTTGGGGAAACCGTTGCCAGAGTTGGGGACACCTGCGAGTGCATGCTTCTAATTGCATGTTTGCATTGCATCGCAAGTTTGAAAGACCAGAGCCTGACCTTTGGATGTGTTGGTAGCTCCCTTAACGATTAGTCGGTAATTGTATACCAGTGCCAGTGGGAACTCCAAGCCCAAATGTTCTTTGAGCTTGTTGAAGGTGGGATCGATGGTTCTAGGTTGTCATCATCTGCGATCACCATCAGCTACCACCATATATTCACTCATTCTGTGCTCGCCCCTTGTTTACTTAACATACATGGCAGTGGGCGAGCAGGCGCATTTTGCGTAAGGGTTTGTACCTCTACTTTGCCTGGCACGCCGCCGGGTACGCACTTATATCTGTGCAAATAAACATCACTTATCACTTTCACACCTTTCTTCATACGAGAGGGGGCGGGGGAGACAATGTTTGGTAAAGTAGTGGAGGAAAATATGCCCTAGTTCACAAAATTTGACACCTGATTATGATAGACTCTCTTATTCAATTTTGTCTCGTACGTTTCTGGTGCAGCGAGATCAACTGGAAAAGTTGGCACCTGGATTGTGGCTTGTATCTTGCTCAAGTATTACCTTCGAGGTGCATTTTAGCAGTTTCTCGCACCCTGCAAAAAATTGAAAGCCCAATTCTGTTGGAGATTAGGGATCTTGAGACAGTTGAGGGCCATTCAGAAATGCATCATGGTCTAAAGTCTGGTTCACACGCTAGCGTTTGGTTGCAGCAGAGTGCACTATGCAGCCTTGTGCCTTTTGAGATACAGACTATCACCATCTATGAGCTGATCCTGGAACTGCATTTCACTGGAGTGAAGGTTTTGTAGTATTTGTGAGATCAAATGTACATACTATCTATGAGGACTAACAACAGTGTTTCATGGCGCATGTTTGTTTCTGGATGGGAGTGGAAGTCCACTCTCTTGAACGAACCAATGTTTGTGTATGTGGCACCTGGTCTACAAATGCACGACGGACATTGGGGGGGGCCAGCTTGCCGGTGGTGTAATGCTATCTCACAATGGCGCCTCGAGAGATGGTGCCAGTGTATTCGCTCGTCGTAAGAAATCGTAAGACTGCACAACGTACTTGGTTGAAACTGAGCGCAAGTGTCTGAGCCAGCCTTGAGAAACCTCCTCCGATAAATGCAACCACCGAAATACGGATGAGGACAATTGCAGCTCTCTAGATTAAAACTTCAATTTTCATTGTGCCGGTAAGAAATGTTTCAGTAGCCCAAGTGTTCATGAATACGGGCATTTTGAATTGTGGTACGCATACCTCTTCAGGAAATTTTCACAATCGTGGCTAATGTGGTATAACGCTGCAGCTCGATTAGGACTTCCTTTTCCGTTCTTCGGGCTATTGAGGGACCCTACTAGTCATTCCCATAAAAAGTTGCATCAAACTGAGGGGAAGTTTGATTGTGGGCAATAGACCGATATCACCGGCCTGTTTTGTTATGCCACCGCTGCCGGCATGAGTCATGTGAACTGTAGTCTTTCTGCACACGCGACAAGCCTGCTGCGGGTCTGCGCGAGCAGAGCATGAGATGGCACAAGCTGCCTTGTGTACTGCTGCCTGCTTCCTGTGAACTACAGTTATGGCGGCATCACACACGCGTGGAACGCTTGGCGAGTTTGGTCTATTGTGGAGTGAAGTATCTGAAAAGCTCGAGGGGAGGATTGAGAGTTCGCTGAGAACAGCAGGGTACGTTTTTTTAACCATCGATTCGGCTGTGCCCAAACGTATTGACAGCGGTTGGGATGGAATGCCAAATTTTCAGAACTTGGCGTTGTTCGATTCAAGGGTCTGAAGCGATTTTCGGAAATTTTAGATGAAAAAGTGGTGGCGAACAAAGCTCATAAATACGTGGAGAGGAATAGCGCCTGATGCCAAGAACAAATGCCATTTTCAAAAAATTTAATTCCAACTTTAATTGGATGAGGTTAGGTTTCGATGCTCTATCATCCCATTCCAACTGCTCGAGCCACAGCATAATGGAGTCTGAGGTTTCAGCGATGCGTAGTTAATTTTTGCGGTGCGAGAAACACTTAGATTTTCTCAGCTGACGCCGATTTTAAGCTTGCAGTGTTTTTAATAGTAATAAATGTTAACCAACTGCTGTACTAACTGTATCATCGTCTGGGGGCAAAGAAAGTGACGTAGTAGTGGCTAAGAGCAACATACCTAACACCAAGTCGCAAAAAATGAGGGAGTCGACGGATGAACCATTTCCCCAAGGGTGTACTATCACGATCAATATGAGTGCGAACACCGCTCCGCGTTGCCCGCGGTACTACCACTGCCCCCTGCCAATTGCTCTTTCAACTATAACTGCACCTTGCGTTCGAGGCAAATTGTCTCTGGCGAGCGCCGCACCACTCTGCACTTCCGGGTCGTCTGCTAGCGCAAAAACGGTTGGCGAAACCGCGAAACCGTTTGCCAATGACGAGAAACATTTTTCGCTAGCAACATGCGCCAGCAAATGTGACTTGTATAAATATTTTTAGGGTCAGCTTTTTTATTAAGAAGTTTTAGTAGATTATTACTATGACTTCGATAACAATCCCCGGTACTTTGCCGACGCCTTTAAGCATGAATCATACTGTTATCAGTTGAATCAAAGCAATCAACTAAGGCTGCCTATTATTTGCTTCGTGTGCGTTTTGCGACAGCAAAGGACCACCAATGCGCACAGGAAAAAAGTTAGCGCGGTGCCAGCGTGAACAATACCGTTTGCACTCGGACTTTATAAAAGCAATATTACACAACAAAATTTAAGCGCAATCTGGCGCGTGTTGCAGATCAGACATTTGTAATATTCCAATTGTGACTGAATTCCCTCGCATGAATAATACATAAACTTGTGGAAAAAATCATTTTCGTTTTTGTTGGTTTTAAAGACATTGTAATATATTGTTCGTTCTATAAATATTATGCACGGTATTTTTGTGTCGTACAATCATTATCAAGGTAAGAACGTCACGGCGTTTTTTTTTTCCCGTATTCCCGGTCTCGAGCGCGCGCTCGCTGCATCTGGAGTGCTTTGGCTGCGTGTGCATGCACGCGACGCACGAAAAGCAATATTAACAAAGACGAAGCTCGCGCTGGAGGCGGGAAAACTGAAGCCCCTACCTGCATTTCTCACATTGGTGCCATCTTGAAATTTGGTGCCTATGGCGGGTGCTTGCGTCGCTTTCTCAAGGAGTGCACATGCGCGTGCTTGGTTGTTGCTTAGAATGGTGGTATCTCAGTCTTCAATTAAAATCTTTCATACACACGCGCCACGTTTCTATTAGGGTGGTGACATCTCCGCCATTTTAAACCCTAGAATGCACGCGCTTCGGTCTTGTTCGGAGCGAGCGCTTAGCTCCGAAGCGAGCGTCATTTTGAGGTCAATTTGGTAAGCGCGGGCAGTTCTCAAGACGACAGTGGCTGTCTTCACCCCTGTGACAGACGCACATCGAGGAATTCTCTTGACTCAAAAAATAAGCAAACTGCTCCAAGCGTTCGAAATTCCAAGCTGTCGAATGAGGGTCTCGCGCTAAGGCGCCTTTCTATATCGATTGTACAATCGTTTGGCAGATAAATAATGAAGCTGTTTATTGTGGGTTTAAAAGCACGTGTCTCGAGACGCGAGTAGAAACAAACGCTTTTACAGAGGTGTGGACGTTCAGCATGGAGCCACATGTTTTATTTTTTGGTCGTTTATCGCATATGTTTACAAAACTTCTGAAATACAGTAGATGACACTTTACTTTGACTGTGTTCCAATTTTGAACAATTTGACAAAAGTTACGTAGTGGTGAGAACAGAAATCTGGACGATGAGAAAATAATCACAGAGGGCAATATCGGACACAACATAGCAATCGTGTGATTAGAAATTTAATTATATTTATCAAAAGTATTCGCTGCAATGGTCACCGCGGCAAAAAAGAATGTCGCAACTGTGTCTGTAAAGCTTTTCCAACCGGATCGAGGTCATTGGAGGGGGTCTTTAACAGTAGTGTTACTGAATAGGGAAATTAATAACGTGTCATCTCCCCGTTACCCGAGACCACAGCCCTCATCCTGTCAGGCAAGGAGCCATAGAGCGCGGTCACGAAGTCCGGCTCGCCCCGAAGTCGTACCCATTCACGGCTGACCTCTTCCCATAGTTCGTCGGAAGTGGCGCGGTGTAGAGGACGCCGTGCCATGGTTGACTTGATCCGCCCCCAAACGTGTTCAATGATGTTGAGGTCGGCTCCTCTTGGGGGCCAAGGCAGCGTCGTGACACAGCGCTCCTCCAGGAGGGACCGGACCTGGCGTGACATGTGAACTGGGGACTGGTCGTGTTGGAACACGAAGTCTCCATCTGGAAACGGGCCATCCAGGACGTAAGGCAGCATGACGTGGTCGATTATTGTGCAATAGTCGTCTGACGCCATGCTGCCCTCAATCCTGAAGAGCGGTCCAAGTCCATTTGGAGACACCACGCCCCAGACGTTGATGGCGTTTCGACCACTGGAGACGACCTTCTGCACAAACTGCTCTTCGAAGCTGAAAAAACAATGTTTGATCTTCTAAAGTCACGTTTTAATACGGATAGGGGAAAAAAAAAAGCTATTCTCACTGGCAACACACTGGCCGCCACACGTGGAGCCGTTGGTCCCACCGGGTCGTGAACGTCGACTCGTCGGAAAACACCACCTTGGCCCAGTCTTCCCGCGTCCATGACTCGTGCTCCCTGGCAAATCAAAGCCGGTCTCGCTTATTTGATTCTGTGAGGAGCGGTTTTTGGGCCGCCATGCGGCTTGCCAGTCCGGCCTCAGAGAATCTTCGGCGCACTGTTTGGACGGATGCCTCGATCGCCAGGGCTTCCCGAACCTCCCGTGCCGATTGAAAGGGATTTACAGCTACAGCTGCAACAATATGGTGATCTTCGTCCACCGTCGTTGCTCGAGGGCGCCTGTTGTGCGGCGCGTCCTCAAGAAGTCCTTCATCCCTGTATTTCTGAATTATTCGATTTACTGTCGATAATGGCCGTCCTGTCATATCTGCAATAGCCCTCTGCGAAATTCTCTCGGGCACAGATTAATAATGAGTTGTCGTTCGTCCATCGGCACTCTCGACATTTTGACGTGTCTCGCCCGATTACTGAAAGGTAAATGCGTTCGAGTTGCAAACTAGCGGACTGATTATCGCATAATAACCCGAAGCGACTCTGAACATTATGCTGTGTCATGTTCTTTTACAGTGCCAAGGTGCGAATGGTATCATTTAGAAGAATGGATATTTGGGCGAGTGGGTTCGAAATCATCATGGAAAACAGCACGATAAAAACAACGAGGACGTCCCGTGTGTTTCTTCTACGTCCTCCGTTTTTTCCGCCCTGTTTTCTATTATAAAGGATATCACCCACGCTCGCACCGCACTAACTTCTTGCCGGTGCGAATCGGTAGTCCTTTACTCTCGCACAACCCACGCGAAGTAAACAATAGGCAGTCTTAGTTGATTGTTTTGATACCTCCGATAACATGCATGCAAAGGCATCGGCAAAGTATCGGGGATTGTTATCGGAGTCATTGTAATAATCTACTAAAACTTCTTAATAAAAAAGATGACCCTAAAAATATTTATACAAGTCATATTTGCTGGCGCACGTTGCTACCAAAAAATGGTCCTCGTCATTGGCAAACGGTTTCACGGTTTCGCCTACCGTTTTTGCGCGAGCAGACGACCCGGAAGTGCAGAGTGGTGTGGCGCTCGCCAGAGACAATTTGTCTCGAACGCAAGGTGCACTTATAGTTGAAAGAGCAATCGGCAGGGGCACTGATAGTACCGCGGGCGACGCGGAGCTGTGTTCGCACTCATATTGATCGTGATAGTACCAGCAGTGGCCTTCCTGTAAGGAGTTCTATAATTCTAGTGTATTTTGAAAGGAAACTCTTATTGCAGCGTAGGTGAAACCTATCATCTTTTATGACTCGTCTCTGCTGTGTGTTGTCTGGTGTTGCACGTGTTGGGCTGACAGCTGCATGTTCATTTGCTGGCAAATTGGGGAATGTTTTGCACCATCTTTTGTTTTATACAGTAAAACCTCTCCGTAACAAGGTCCTTTTCTTTCTTCAGGGAATATTTATTCTCTTTTGTAGTCGGTGACAGAGGAAGGCTGGGGAGGAGGAAGCAGGCAGAATGGTGGAGAGGGGGATGTTTTCTCTTCTCCAGCAATCCGTCTGCTTCCTCCTCCCCAGCCTTCCTTTCCCTCACCCTGAACTCTTAGCCTGTCACCGACCATAGTATACCACGATCTGAAGTAACCCGAGGCTGGGGCGTGCAAGATGCAAACATTTGAAGTGGAAGGAACAGGCTAAAGACGATGCCTGTCCCTTTCACTTAATAAATGTTAATCTTGCGTACCCCAGTCTTTGGTTATTGTGGTAAACTTCCACCAGCTTGTGTGCACTTTTTATTACCGTCTTTTTCTCTGTCAGTATGTTCACTGTATCAGTGGTGTATCAGTATTAGAAGCATTCTTGAAGTTCTTTTCACACTGCTCATACGTTTACTAGATTTACTGTAGGGTGGTTGCGCTCATTATCAAAAGGGGGATGGACTTCGCTTGGTGGATATCTCCAGAGCTTTGCTCTACTCTGGGACTTCCGGAGAAAGAGGGGGGGGGGAGTCTTTGCAGAAAGTCACAAACCCGTAGGTTTGGTGGCATTTTGGCATTCTTGACCTGCACTAAGCATAGTGAAAGACAAAGGAGTGCATTGTGTGAATCCTGCACACATGCAACTATTTTTCATTTTTGCACTTTTTAATACTTTGAGAATTTATTTTAGGCTCAGTTCAATTCCCCAAGTTTCTGGGTCATGTTTGTGTTTCACTTACGCTAAACTTTAAATTTTAAGAGCCCTAGGAGTTAGTTTAAAGACATCTGAGGCACATCCAAATAGTAAGTACCGTTTACGCGGAAGTCCCAGGAGTGTCTTTCCTTCTGATTCGTGCATGTGCAATCATGTTTCCTCCTTGATTTAGTCACATCCTGATCCCTTTTTGTGAGAATAGGAATTTTTTTGTGGTTTATGCTTCGGAATAACTTTGTTTATGTGAATAGAACGGCTTGCTGACTCTGAAGTCAGGCCTGCAATATGATTTCTGAATGCATCAAATGTCGGACATGCACACAACAAAAGATCCATTGAAAAATTTGCGAAATTAAACTCTATGCAACAAGCAAAATGATGGCATGTAAATGGGGTAAAACATTTAATGGAAGGCAACAAGAGTGTTTGCGATGTCTTGCGTTGCAACAGGCCATCTCTGGTCACTGACAATTTGGTGGAAGAAGCGAACCAAGAACTCCCAGAGAACTGACGCTTTGTACAAATATGTGTCATTGAATTTTCTAAATGGTTACTTTGCTCGCACACACTGGAATTGTATTTGTGAACTCCCCAAAAGATGCAGTTGGTGGCAACTGTATGTTTTGGCTTGTCCGAGTGGGCAGACTGGAGACTGGTCTGTTTTCACAGAGGTGCGGCAGGAGGCAGTCCAGCAGGCTCTGGCGGCCATGCAGAACAAGCCGAAACCATCTCTCCCGATGCCCTCCAAGAGGACCTCAGCCATGACCACCTCGCCTTCGAGAGAGCGGCACCCTTCAGGTGGGCGTCCACCTTCGACCGCGGGGCTCTCTTTGGGGAAGTGCATGAAAAGCTGCTGCCTGGTTGTGCAATGTGTGGACGGAACTGTCTAGAGGTGCACATTGGCAGAATGTCTACCAACCTGGAAAATTTGGAGTTGTCGGGGAATTTTCGAGCGTTTGGAAAAGTCTGGAATTGTTGGGGAAATCTTGAGAAAATTGGTTGGGATAAATACCCATGGGTGGGCAGTGCAGTGGCACTTAACGAAGCGGGGGTGTGTGGTGTATTCAGGTGTAGATGGCGTTCAAGCAGGGTTGCCCGAGGCATCGCCATGCAGCGTAAGCCACCAACCAATTCACCGATTAAAAACATTTGCTGCAGCCACATCCTCTGCATTTGCTTCTGCTGAAAGAGGACCTGTGCTGCTGGGTAGCCTACTGGAATGTGCTGCAAAAGTGCTTTTTCGAGTGGTGCTTCAGTTTAGAGCACTGCACAAGCCCGGGCCAGCCCGAAAGCCCGAGCCCGGCCCACGGGCCGGGCTCGGGCCGGGTAGCACGTATTTTCTCGGGCCCGGGCCGGGCTCGGGCTTGAACAACAAAGTTCTCGGGCCGCGCCGGCCCGGGCCGGCCCGGGCCGCCCCGGGCCGTGCGTGGGCAATCTTGTGCCGTCAATCATAAATTGTTGTTGATAGCAAGAGGTTTGCTCATTAATATTTTAGGTTCATTGAATACAAAAAAAGCGAAGTGCAAATTCACTACAGCGTCGTTAAAAATAATAACTAAAAGACGTCTTGAAGCTAGAAAGCCTTCAAGCTTTTACCGTGTGAGCGAGGATTGTGTTATAAATTGTAAACAAAATAAAGTCCCAGTCATATGCTTGTCAACCTGTCTGATTCATCTCTCTCAAAAATATCTAGTTCACAATTAGGAAGATTTAGAAAAACGTACGCAAGCGCTTTGGGTACCGTAAAAATAGCGTTGCGATGTAAAACCTATGGCGATGCTAATTTTAGCTTGCCCAAAGTGCTTGAGTACTTTATTCTATGACTCCCTTATTGCACAGAGCGCGACACTATAGTAGCGCGAACAAGCGATCGTCGTGTTTTTATGTTTATCTCATAGAATCAAAACGCTGTTTTCAAAACTATTAGTGTCTTTGGAAGTGCTCATCTGGGCCACAGATCTAAGCGGTATACTTTGGTGCCTACTAACACCATTTCGAAGTAAAATTCGAAAAAAGAGCCAACGTCGTGTTCGCGGTATCAATGTCGCGCAGTGTACATAGTCCGTTCCGCGCTTGCACGTTTTGGGAACCATCTTAAAAAAACGTTTTTAGGGGTTAAGTAGGAATATATTAAACTTAAGCTTGCCTGAAAGGGTTGTATATTTTAAGAACGCGTTGATATGTAAAGCTACTTCAGAACATATTCTTAAACAGAAAAGGTGCGCAGACCAGGCTTAGAACGATGGAGACTTTTTGCGAAGAGGTTGCGATGTGCAGGGACTTTTAAAAGTAGGTTGAAACGGGACGCGTTCAAACGCAAAGGGTGTTTCGGAAACTGGTTCAAATAAGAAGCGCGTTTAGGGAATGGGTCGAGACAGGACAAATTCAAACGAGAAGGGCGTTTAGGGAACTGGTCGAAACAGGACGGGTTCATATGGGAAGGGTGTTTAAAGAATGGGTCGAAACAGGACGGGTTCAAATGGGAAGCTCGTTTCGGGATCGGGTCCAAACAGGACGGGTTCAAACGGGAATGGGTTGTTTCGGGCTACAACCATCGGGCCGGGTCGGGCGGGGCCTAGAAATTAACAATTCTGTCGGGCTCGGGCCGGGCCCGGGCCGTGTCTCTTCCGGGCCGGGTCGGGCCGGGCCTAGAAATTAAAAATTCGGTCGGGCTCGGGCCGGGCCCGGGCCGTGTCCCTACCGGGCCGGGTCGGGCCGGGCCTAGAAATTCCGGCCCGTGCAGTGCTCTACTTCAGTTGCCCTGAAAGCAGCAAATTGGTCTGATACTGCTGTGGAAAGACGTGGAAATGTGGCGAGTGGTGCGAAACCTAAAGGAAAGCGAGGCTCGGAATAGTGCAAACATGCACCAGGGTCTGAAAATTTGAATGACCTAGTTGGGATTAAATAAAAATGAATACTAGTTGGAATCATGGAGATAACATTGAGGTTGGACACTTTGATGACCATCAAAATTGCTGTAGCCATCGAGAACTCGGTCTAGCAATTATTGAAGAAATACAGCAACGTGCTAAAACACTTGAACACTCGGGCCCAAAGAAGTGGCTACCATAGAACAAATTGCTAGACTTGGTCGAGACCAAAAGCAATGAAGATGAAGTGAAAAAGTAAAAAAAACAAAAACGAGGCAACTAATTTTTAAGAATTTAGAAAACAAAACTTGGAGGTTCATGGGCTGCACTAACTGAAGGTGAGAATGTGCTACATATGCTAAATGGCATTGTGAAGGAACTAGAGCTGCTCAAGCTGTCTGACCAAGATTGAGGCGGCGTTCGTTGGCTGCCTTCGATACCAGGGAAAGCTTCACTGTACAGCTGTGTTAGTTCGCTTTGCTTCTCAATTAACAGAAGAGGGATGGATAAAAACAAGACGAAAGGATGCGAAATGAGAAATCTGGTTTCTCGATAGCCTGACCATGCAAAACAAGAGGTTGGTTATCGGGATTCTAGAATAGGAAAGTGACTCGGTTTGTGTAGCTAAAAAAAAAAAAAAAAATGCAGCAAAGTGTTTGTCTGTTAAAAGCAAGCCATTTTGCCTTACTTTTTACAGACAAGCATTTTGCAAACCAACTATGAGGTTTCACAATTTACAATGACCTTGACAAAATATGCTGGTTCTTTTTGCATGAAGTATGACATGGATTATGTTTTCATTTAGTTCCCTCGTCAGTTTGGTGGGGGCGAAGAATGTTATAAGGACAAAAATTAGTTGGCCTGTCTTTTGCATGATTGTGAGGCCTTATTCATGGGCTATCTATCATTATTCCACCTAAATCCATGCCACATTAGGAATAGAAGTGATGGGTGTGTACTTGAATTCCCTAAATCTGAAGTTCGATGTGTTGGTGTTTACCGAGACTTTGTGTGCTTTAAGACGCGACATTATATTAGCTAATTTTGCTGAATACACACACAAAGGAAGACGAGGAATCTTTTCGAGTAATGAGCGCCGTCTGGAAGGTTGTCTGCAAACTACAATTTAAGGGCAGCCCAACATGCCTCTGCCCGTCAGAATACAATGGCGTCTTACCGTTGTATCGGTTTTTGATTGCTTTTTATGCCCGAATGCCATTCTGTTTCATGATGGTATCGCCTTCAACACTACTTTAGAATTATCGCTTTTTAACATTTGTTGCAAATCTCTTGTAAAGTGCGGGACCCCCTCAGCTCTTTCTTACTAGGTCCTTCTGGTTATGTGGAGGAATTTTCCGGAAAGGGTGTTGTTAGTTAACTTACCTGTACTTGCCATTGGGGATGCGAATGTCTACTTATAATTTTGTAGTCCAGTTCGTTGACAGTTTCTTGACGTTGTTTGAGTCCCACAACAGTAAACAATGTAATTGGTGTACCGACTAGAATTACACTGGAAAGTGAAACATTGATTGATGTGTGCATTACTGGTATTTCAGCAAACAATGAAATTACTGGTGCTTTTACGTGTGCATTAAAAGTAGTCATCTGCCCATCTTTTGTGCACTACCATGTTCTGTGGCTAAAAGGGTTCAGAAACTGAAATGGCATGACGATGGGATTTAATTCATCTGGTTGCCTAAAATGGCATATTTATTTATTTACCCTCAAGGTTGTTAGACAATACAGAGTGGTAAAAAAACGCAAAAAAACATAATAGCAATGCAAAAAAAAAAGAAAAGAAAAAAAAAACAACTCAGAAAAAAAAATTCTTCTTCGGAACAAAACAAATACTAGTTAGAAATCACATTTTTGAAAGCAGCTTGGTCAGGGATGGTTGCAATTCGTTGGAGGAGGCGGATCCATTCTACAGAGGTGCAAGGGATTACAGAGGGGAAAAAATGCATTTGTGTTACATAGAAGAACGCCAACCTTGTTTTGGTGATTAAAACTACTGGAAATGTATAAGGGGGTGTTAGTAGGTGTTTCCTCAGGGAAGAATGATTTTGTGAATCTATCATCATTTTGTGATGTTTCCTCTATCATCATTTTGTAATTTATCATTTTGTGAGGATAGATAAAGAACACTGTCTATGCAAGGCAAGATTCGTTACTGATAATGAGTTTCATAGAGGTTGTACTAGCAGTACAATGGTAGTTAGAAAGTATGAAACATGCTGATTTGTTTTGAACAGATTAAAAACAATCTTTTTTAAATTATTTACGATATCCAAATGAAGTTTTCACAGTTTATGGTGCTTAACCTTCTCTATTAATCTGATGTTAAATTTGATATAGCTTGTTTTTATGTTCTGGATGCAATATTTAATGTAGAAAAAACCACATTCTTGTGCAGACGTGGTTAACAGATTCTGTTAGTACATATTATGAACGTTAATTTCGGAGAGTTTAAAGAATATTGAATATGGCCTTTTTTTTTTAATTTTCAAAATAATGTATATTTAGCAGACTTGGGAAGTAATCCGTGACAAGTAACAGATTACTTGTAATTCATTACTTTTTCTGGTGATTTTGTAATTGCCACATCATTTTTTTTTTGGAAGTAATTTGCAATGTAATTTTGTTACAAAATATTGGTAACGGATTACTTTAATTACTTGTAACTTTTTAAAAATATAAGCGTAATACAGTAACTGGAGCAATCTGTGCAAACGTTCAGCAGCATAAAGAGAGCAAGTTCAACACAATAGAAAACATCAGGAGGGGGTAAATAGCAGAAAAGAAAACACGAATTTTGGTATGAACAATCTCTAGTAAGGCATGTACAAATATACGAAAAACAAAGATCAAGTAAGACAACGCCGAATAGGCTCTCCATCGCCTTCCTTCGTTTTTTTTTTTTGTTCTTCCAGGCAGGAGAAAGCTCTTCCTGTTTGTTTGTTTTTGTCTTTTACACCGTTTCACCCTTTCCAACTTCTTCAACATCTTGCGCCACCTGCACAGACATCAAATGTGGGTCCGTACCCCCTCAATTCGCGGGTTCCCACTCGCGTAACAGGCGATGTAGCCTTGCACAAGGGGTCGAATTTTCTAGCACGCTCTTGAGGCACGGCTGAAAAGCGCCCGGCGCGAGGCTAAGAGCATCATCTTTGAAGGTTCGGACGATACTTTTGGTTTGCTTGTCTGGGCATGGTGGTCGAGTCCACTTCTCACTTTACAGTCAACTGTCAACAAAAGGAGGGTTTGGCTATCTAAGGAGTGCCGCAGGGGGAGAGAGAGAATGCGTAAAAGAGGTGTGATCCTCTATTGTTCTGCGAGACCGATGGCCACCGCTTCTCTCGCTCTCTATGCCCTCCCCTCCCCTGGCCTCCACGAATATTGGTATGAGATGAACGATCGATAACCCATAACCGCCTCGCACATGAAGACAACGCACACTCCATGACCTTTTCGGTCATGGAGTGTGCGTTGTCTTCATGGCCATCTCTTAATGAGATGTTAAAAATTCAGGGCATTTAGGAGAACGGAAACCTTGAGTTTCAGTGCATACTTTGCTTGCCAAAAAAACAAACAAAAAAAAAAAAACGCATTGTCATCAAGAACGACAAACTCTAATCTAAACACATCAAGGTAAGCTGGGACACCTGCATTCTGCATTGGCTATATATTGTAACGTTAGAACCAAGTTTTTCTTTTCTTTTGAATAACAGGCGAAACACCCGAGTCAAAAGGGAGCTTTCGTATATCGCTTCTTTAGCTCCGATTCTCGTAGCAGAGGTAGACGCTGCTACTGAGCATGCGCACCGCTAGCTTTGTCTGCACAGCTCCAGGGATCATTTGCGGAGGCCGTAAGCTAGCAGGATGGCAGGTGTGGTTGCAGCTTTCGGCGCCTTGTCAGCTTACAGGTGAACGGAGCGCACCTACACTCGTTTTCTTCAATACAATATTTTAGTTTTACAAGGACTACCATTATACGGGCGTATGAGAAATGAAAAGTAGTGTTGCAGAACATTTTTGAAAAATATCAGAATTGTTTCTATTACTAAAGTTGAAGCTTGGGCGTGTTGGTACGACATACTTAAAAGGTTGAAACATTGCAAAAAAAACCGACTGACTGGATGAAGGAGGACACAGACAGAGCACTCTGTCTGTATCCTCCTTCATCCAGTCCGTCAATTTTTTTTTTTGCGCTGTTTTAACCTAAGTGTCTCTATTATTTTCTGAACAAGATTCTGGAAACGTGAAAGTAATTAGTAACGTAACAAGTAAAAGTAATCTGTTACTTTTTAGCGAAAGTAATTTGTAACAGTAATCCATTACATTTTTCAAGTAACGAGCACAAGTCTGATACTTAGTCAAATGCCCCCGTTCTAGCAATTCTTGTAAATTTCTTCCGTGTTTTTGCTCGCTATCTGTGTGTGCTATCTCGATTCCACGCGAGTTGGTCCTCCGTATATATGGCGTCATGAAATATGATTCTGCTGCATTCGCGATCTGCAGTATTTGTTCCTGTAACATAAGAGTTTGTTGTGGATTCCCGAGCTTTTGTATGCAACCGTTGCGCGCATTATCGCTTCTCGTGACAGGCAAGTTTGTAGCGGGTTTCCACGTGTTTATTGCACCACAAAACTTGAATCCGCTGTGTCCGTGATTTGCGGTATTCTTTCCCGTGAGATGCGAGTTCTAGGCGGATTTCCGCGGGTATTTCGCACCGTGAAACTCGGATCTGCTGCATCCGTAACGTGCTGTATTCTTCACTGTGACACAGTAGTTCGTAGCGAATTCCCACGTGTTTATTGCATCGTGGAACGCGAATTTACAGTGTCCGTGATCTGTGGTATCAGTTCCTGCGTTACATGGCTTGTAGCCGATGCCAGGGTGTTTATCATTAATTTTTTTATAAAGTTTTGCCAGCCATCCCCAAAGATAGCCCACCCCATGTTTTTCACCTTTTATATCTTCATATTGGGGTGGGCGTTCTTTCCGAACTTTACGGTAAATACAGGGCAACACGCTGGCAAATTTTGAAGACCTTAGCTTTTATAGGTATGCAGAAAATTTTTTATCCAAAGCGTTATTGCACAATGTGCTGTATTTGCTGTTTTTTTTTTTTTCCTAAATGTAACGACACTAATACTTGATGAATAATGCTTCTTATCACTCCTTCGTATGCCTCATTTGTCAGTGAACATTTGTAGACACGTAGCCGGAACAGGTTTTTGGGGGAAGCCACCCGAAATGCTAGCACCACGCGATGTGCAAAGCACGCACATGACTGAGCCTGCAAAAACGAAAAAAAAAGTTTTTTTCTTCCTTTTTTTTTTTTTTCTTTTTTTAGAGCAAGGGTTGGTTTTGTTCTCCTGGGCACAAAGCCAGCAAAATATTTTTTTCATCAAAACTAAATGGTTGCCGGACATGGTTGTTCGATCTTATATTTGAAAATGCCCAACTGTCATTTTCTGGCCTCCAGTGATAGTGGAATCGTACGTCATTACAAATGTATCCAGCTTTGTTCTCCCTTCACCTGTGAGAGAAGAGGAAGCATATATAGCTATACTCTGTTCACCCGTAAGCTGCGACTATGGTGGAAGTGGTCGTAGGACCATTCGTCGAATGACAATTCGTCACACGTCAACTGGTTAGCGGGGATATTCATCACATAGGGCAATTCATCATAGGAAGTTTGTCACTATGACAATTCGTTAAACTATGAACAGATATTTCTTATATTTGTAGTATTTCTGATGTTTACCGAGCCTAGTTCTTAAGAGTGAGTACAATTACCAACAACCCCCTTCCTTGATTTAATTTTTTTTTCTTGACACAAGAAATCCGATTTTAACTAATTTCTAATAGACACTGACTACGTATGCATTGTCCACCAGAATCTTGGCATCTCTTTCGGTCACTAATGGAAAAAATGGATGGAAAATTCGCTAGGCAATAGTAGGGTGTTACCGTAAAATACCGGGCAAGCGCCCACTCAAAATTTTGAGATAATTATGAAAAAAAAGGGGGGTGGGCGCTTGTCCGGTCATCAGTTCTACATATCAATGTACTGTGCATATTTTCTCCGATTTTACAAATTTGGGTATGGGCGCTTAATGTGGTATGGGCGGATGCACGGTATTCTATGGTACGTGAAACGTTCCGGTCGTGCATGCACAGTCTGTGTTGCGTATGTGGACGAGCTACATTCTCTGTGTCGCGCATGTGTAGTAGCTGTATCGTGCTCCTGAAAGTTTTATATTCTATGCTTCCAAGGTGAACTAAAATATTTACCAACCTAAAAAGAAAGAAAAGACAAACTTTCTGAAGATGACACTACACAGAAGCTGAATAACCAAAGCGACTGAGCAGCAAAAATCTAGTATGCGGGCAGCAAGATTTCTAAATTTTTCAAATTCGAACCTTAGCAGGATTTGAAAGTTGCGAACGTTTCGAATTCATACCTTAACGAGGTTTGAAATTTTCTAAACCTTTCGAACTCTAACTTCGCGAGGTTCGTGGCATCCCTAAACCTAATAATGGACCGATACGAGTTTTTCAGTTTTCGAAAAAGTTGAAGCGAATCTTTCATGACACCCAGTTTTTGTTCTCGTATTCTAAGCACATGGATATTTTTTTTCCTTCCGTTGCGGATTGTTGCACCACGAGTCATTGTTAATCAGTATTGCATGCCAAGCATGCCGACCTTTATTTGTTCTGCGCTTTTACGCGAGTTTTGCTTCCATAACACAATGACTGTGTTTATATGCGCATGTCATTTGTTCACGAGCAGCAACATGCGTACAGATGAAACGCTACACAAGTGCACGGGGCAAATACCAAAGGGGTGAGGCTTTGCCAAAGTGATTTGAAGCGACAGGCAAGCAAAGGTGGGACTCCGGTGACAACTTGGGTGAATCACGACAAATGTATGGTGCTCTCATGGTCTCTTTTGGTGTTGTCTTGCCCCTTGGGTCATTGTGCTTATCTCGCCAAAATATTCTTTTTTCGTCTGCAACCCTTTTCGGCCCTCTTTGCAAGAACACACTTTTCTTTGGTGTCCAAGCGCCTAGATGCAAGTTGTTAATGTCACTGAATGGGGTGGAGCTAGAGTAGCGCATTGTTTTTCCCTTCACTGCCCGAGTCCTTACTGGAGGAGGAACACGCGCAAAAACTGCCCGAAAGTGCCGCTGGGAGGCGGCCTCACGGGCCACCGAGTTTTGGGCGGCGGAACGCATCATTTGCTCGGCACAATGATCTTGCCCCGAACTGTTCTGAGCAAGAAGGCCTCTTCAATCCTCGAACAACGCGTGTACCAGCTGGTAGTGTTTTTCATTGCGGGGACATTGTTTTAAAGCTTGGTTGCAATGTTTTGACAAGTAGACAGCGATGTGGGCATGCGCTACCGCTGGCGCACCGCCACACGCTGAGGCGTTTGCTATGAAAATGACTGTCACTTCCTGTGCTACCAGAATGTTAAATTGTAGATACTGACAGGTGGTTGCGGCACTCTGCTCCACAAACGGAGCACGTATGGTTTAGCCCTTACCAAACAGAAGGGTTAACAATGATGCAGCTCTCGGGGAAGCAGAGCCAGAGGGTGGTGGGTTTCTCCCGGCTTGTAGTGTCTGGTCCCTGAGTGTCCGGGGCACCTGTGCAGACAGCTCGAGTGACGACGACAGCGTCCTGAACGAGGGGAGCACGCCAGAGCGCCGTCCCCTGCCCACGCCGCCGCTGTCGGACACGTCGGGGGCGTCGTCGCCGCGGGAGATGCGCAACGGCCGGCCTGGCGATTCGGGCTCCCAGCTGGCCGACGTCATGCAGAACCTGGCTTCTGGCGACCACGGTGAGGCGGTGGCCCCCAACCGGGCATCTCGGGGGCTCGCTTTCGAAGGGGTCGTTACTCGTCAGTCGCTTGTCTCGTGTGGGCCCGAAGAGGTGACGTCGCGGGGGAGGCCTTTTTGCTGGCGATTGGTCGAAGAATGGATCTCGCTGTGCGGCTTCATTACACCCCAAGTTTTCTGTTTAAAATTGTTGGACGATAGAAAAGATTGTCTCGTTATCGTTTACGAAGCTATATCCATTTTCACCTCAAGAAAAAAAAGCAAGTTTTGCACATTGTTCATATGCGGAGTGAAGTAGTTCTTACGAGATTTGGTTGTCGGAGGAAAAGTCAAATTTAGGGGTTTTACGTGCCAAACCAACGACGGGCATCTCCGCACGCCTGAGCAGAGGACTGAGGATTAATTTCGACCACCTGGGGATCTTTTGTTGTGTAACCTGTCAAAGGAAAAAGTGATGCTTTTGGCGTTTGGAATGTGTACCTCTTGATAAGAGAACATATATCTAATCTAAAATATATATCTCAGTTATTCACATAATGGGGGAAATTAGCAGCGCTCCACGAGGAGCTGTGGCTCATCTGCGAATAAGGAAAATGTAAAATGTAACTGTGCTTGCATTGGGACATGTGTTCATTAAAGTGCAAGGCAGTGCCAATGTGACTATAATGGAAAATATTAGGAATACTCTATGCTTTTTTTGTTCTAAGATTTATTTTTTTAGATTTTTAAAATAATTAAAATTATTCTTTTCTGGTAGCCGTTAAAAAATGTTGTGGATGTTGCCATAATTCTGTATGGTTAAATAACTTGCAAAGCTTGTAGATCTACTCCGTTAGTACTTTACGTACGATTAAAAAAAAGGGGGCAGGGGGGGAAAGGAGGGGAGGGAGGGAGGGAGGGGAAAAAGGGAGGGAGAAGTTAGCAGAGCTAAGCTCGAGAGGCTGTTCTCGTGCTGAGTTTTTTAAATTTTTTTTGTTTATGAGTAAATAATGTATACTAAACCCACTAAAAATATGAAAAAACAAACAAGCATTATGCTCAAATAAAAATGTTTTATGCTCAAATGAGATGGCACAGGTACCTCGGTCACCCCTGAGCCGCAGCGCAGGCATGATGTGTTAGAAAAGTTTGCGCATTCAACGGTCTCAGCCACGTTGATCGGCTGCCCGTCTGCCACAGACTCCAACCCTCAGCCGGATGTGACCAACACGTGTGCGAGTCCCATGGAGAATGCCAACCGGTACAATCAGGCGCACATGTCTTCGGTGCGGGTCACCCAGCACTCGTCTACGGGCTTCGAGTACAGCACAGGTGAGAACCACTGGGTGGCCAGGGAGGCCTTGTCCACTCTGGAGGGGGGCCTGTTGACGCGCACCTAGTTTTTCTCTTTCCCTGTCTAAACAGCACACCCGGACACGCTACCGATTCTATCTGCCATGCGCCAAAGAAACAAAAAGAATTGTGAACATTGGGAGTTAGTTTAGTTTTGTTGTCTCGCTAGAAGTAATGAATGGTCTCAGTTTGGCACAGTAGCATCTCTGCAAAAGTATGAGGTTCTTCCAACCGGGGGGAGGGGGGGGGAGGGAGGGAGGGAGGGAGGGAGGGAGGGAGGGAGGGGAGGGGAGGGGACTTTGAGCAGGCACATTGCCTGCATTTTGTTGGTTGGTTGGTTGCTCGTGCCCTGAGCTGAACTTTAAAGGCAGTCTGCAGAAGGGCCCAGGTAACCGACGGGGGCAATAATTTTGGGAATTGGGGCGCCTGGCGTCCCCACGGCATTGAGTGGGTTCCCGGAAGGGCCCCTGCTCAGAGTGTGGCGGGTATCCAGGTACGGGCAAGTGGAAGGTGTCTGCCAAGATCCAGCAGCTCCTCAACACACTGAAGGTGAGTCCGGTGCCGGGGGAGGAAGGGCGGTTGCCAGGGCGGCTCTCTTGCAGAGGCCCAAGAGGAGGCCGCTGCCCGAGTTCTACGTCGATGACGAGGCCGACCTGGACTGTGAGTGCTCTGCTTGTTTGGCCCCGCCGCCGGTCGTGACAGGGTGGCTCGTTTTCCCCAGCCAATCCGACGGACCCCAACGCCCCGCAGCCGGAAGGAGCCACGATGACCCCCACGGTTGGCGAAAATTTGGAGGTACAGCCCACCTGTCTTTGTGCCAGGCGTGTTGGTTTTGCTGTGCCTGGAGAAGCGGGGTGACAGTCCACTCGTCTCTGTTGCGTGTGCACGCGTCTGACGCACTTGGCGACCCGGTCCCCCCCGGTTCGGCTAATTTTATTTTGCGTGGAGCTTGGAATTGGTAACGGTGCATTGCATGCGCATAGAGCTTCACCGCTCTGTACCAGTGTGCTTTGTTTAATCTTAAGACTGACCGCTATGGACGCTACGAGCCATCCCTGCCACGCCAGCGCTGTGAACATGTCGCGTGACTAAGTGCTCCACGCATCGCTGCACCGTTCCCGAAGGTCTCGCGCCTCTCCCGCAGCGTTGGATCGGCTCTGATGGCTCGTGGTATCCGCTGCAGTTTATTGTAATCTGAGACGAAGTTATAGGGAGAAGTGGCCGATGCGGGAGATGCACTGGGTTAACTTGACGGGCTCAGAAAGTTCACTCATTTTCATACACCTACACTTTTATTACGATTATGGGTTGCCCCAATTTCTAACAAACTCTTCCGAAGAAAAGGTTGACCTATACTAGTCGAATGAATAGGGTTCTTTTGTCTACAGCCATTAAAGTTCAGGGCAGGTACAGTAATCCCTCGTTATAATGAAATCGCTTTTTTCGAGTTATCGCTTTTATCAAAGTTCAGCGTGGTTCCGACCGCAATGCACACATTTTTTACCGGATTATTTGAAGAGTACCGGCGGCCAACCACGCCTATTATGATTCCAAGATGCCGAAAGCATGCAATCCTAAAAGGAGACGCACGGAGAGCCTTGCGTTCCCTTCCCTTTCTCCACCAAAGCAAACGGCAAACTGGGAAAACTGAGTAAAAAAGTGACAGAAGGCAGAGTGCGTGGAGCTGGCAGAGCGCTGCTTCCGATGCCGATGCGCCGACGCGGGTTTCGCGGGCTGGGGGCAGCGTCCACGTTCCGAAGCTACTCACGCCGCCTGCGTTTGACGCTGCCCGACTCCTGTCGGAATCGAGTCAAGGGAGCAATGGAGCTTGGAGGAGATCATCCCTTCAAGAGCCCTCGATGTGGGCGCACCTGCGGTGTACTACGCACACACGTGCATTGTATGCAAGAAGGATAGAAGGGTAGGAGAGGGCATGATGTCAGCCGTGTAGCCTCCACAAGCTATGCTCCCTTGACGACTCGCCTCTTTCTCATTTTCCTCCTTACTTTCCTCACTTATCAGGCCAACATGGCCACATCACGTGACCGTAGCTAGCCTTCGTCTAGCCTTCGATCTGATAAAACCGACCAGACGGAACGCGCGCAAGCCTGTGAGGAATCCTTTTACAATCAACCATCCATCTCACACGTGACATGTCACGCGCACCAATTGCCAGAGATCTACGGTCACGTTGGCCACAACATTGTTTAAACTTTTACAGCGGAGCTGTTAAGGGCTAGGTTCCCCAGGATCGTGTCCGGTACCAAACAAATGTCGACACAAAACTCTAGACAGCTACTGCCATCTATGAGAGACGGCGGCAACCAGGCAACCGGCTTGCCGCCCTCACTCATAGATGGCGGTAACCTTTCCAGCCTTTCCACTCTGGTTTTCATCAGAGTCGAAAGGCTGAATTTTTCTAGGCGTTGTCCTAGATGCCGTCCTCGTGGTCGTCCCAGAAGTCGTCCTTGAGGTTGTCCTAGACGTCGTCCTTGATGTTGTCCGAGAGGTAGTCCTCGAGGTCGTCTTCGAAGTCATCTTCATGTCGTCCTAAAGATCGTCCTTAAGGTCGTCCTAGGCGGCGTCCTTGAGGTCATCCCTGAGTTAGTCCTAGGCGTCGTCCTTGAGGTCGCCCTAGACGTCGTCCTTGATGTTGTCCGAGAGGTAGTCCTCGAGGTCGTCTTCGAAGTCATCTTCATGTCGTCCTAAAGATCGTCCTTAAGGTCGTCCTAGGCGGCGTCCTTGAGGTCATCCCTGAGTTAGTCCTAGGCGTCGTCCTTGAGGTCGGCCTAGACGTCGTCCTTGATGTTGTCCGAGAGGTAGTCCTCGAGGTCGTCTTCGAAGTCATCTTCATGTCGTCCTAAAGATCGTCCTTAAGGTCGTCCTAGGCGGCGTCCTTGAGGTCATCCCTGAGTTAGTCCTAGGCGTCGTCCTTGAGGTCGCCCTAGACGTCGTCCTTGATGTTGTCCGAGAGGTAGTCCTCGAGGTCGTCTTCGAAGTCATCTTCATGTCGTCCTAAAGATCGTCCTTAAGGTCGTCCTAGGCGGCGTCCTTGAGGTCATCCCTGAGTTCGTCCTAGGCGTCGTCCTTGAGGTCGCCCTAGACGTCGTCCCTGAGGTTGTCCTCTAGGTCGTCCTAGAAGTCGTCCTTGAGGTCCTCCTAGATATCTTCCTCTAGGCGTCGTCCTTGAGGTCGTCCAAGAAGTTGTCCTTGAGGTCGTCTCGCCATAGTACAGCTTCGCTGGTCTTCCTGCTTCACCAGAGCGGAAAGGCTGAAAGTTTTTGACTAGGCTTTATCAATATTGCAACGTGCCCCCTCCTAGTACTTATAACCTCCTTGGTTGTATGGGAGATTGGGAGTGTTTACTGAAAGTCGCTTAGATTTGCGAGGTTGAGAAAAGTGGTTGGCCCAAGTCTGAAATCGCCAAAGAATTCGACATTCCGGCATCGGCTGTTCGATACTGTCCACCATTTTGCAGAACAAGCAAGGCATATTGGACGTGTTCGAGAAGTTTCTTGTGCAGAAGAAAGCGTGCCTGCGGCCCGAAGATGAAAGATTGCCAACTGCTTAAGCAACGTTGGGTTTTCTCTCGTGAGCATCCTTGCCGAGCCGGCGCACGATTTCCATAGCTGCAACGATCTTTACAGGAATGCATGAAAACATGTTGGCAAAGCCATAGAGGATAACTGATTCTTTCGCGCTTGTCGATGCAGACATTCCCATTGTTGCTCCTGCCATGGATGCTGCAATCGTAGACCTTGGGTGCGGCCAGGTAAACACCCAGCGATGTCCGAGAGGCACCTCAAAAATGCCGACGACTGCAGAGACACGAAACATCCTATGGCTACTTCAAAACAAAGTGGAGTGCAGCGGCGGTGACAGCGTTATTGCGATGCCTGGAGCAGTTCGAGGAGAACTGATGCCGGGATGAAATTATTGGCAAACTCCACTGACCTACTAATAATTTTTTACTGGGTAAAGCTGCCACGAGATGTTCATAACCAATGTTTGTTTGATTTAATATACGGTCGGAGTGTTCCGCAGTGTTCCTGTCCACCTTCAAGGCTGCCGGCACCATTTTTTTGGGCTCTATCGCTCTTATTGAATCACCGCTTATATATAATTTTTTTGCTGTCCCATTGACTTCGTTACGAGGGATTACTGTAATTTCTTTCTGGCTTATCTGGGGGGGCCGCAAGAAGTAGTTATTAATAATTTTTTTCCGGCGCATAAATTGTTTTTGCCGATAGCATTGTTTTTACTGTGGTCCCCTGCAAAACGTGTCAACAAGGTTGAACTGTAGTACCCTGGTCCATGTGGCATGGAAATGTTTGCATATTCATTCTGCTTTTGGCCGTTGGCGTTTTTCTGTAGCAGCCTGTGACATGCTGCTGATTTTTGAAGAGAAAGGTTTGGAACAGTGTTCTTGTATCATGTTAATGTCCTCGATACCCACCTACCGTAAAATACCGGAAAAACTCCCACTCAAATTTTGAAGATAATCGCAAAAAAATGGGGGATGGGCGCTTCTCCGGTCATCAATTTTACATATCAATGTACTGCGCATATTTTCTCATATCTTAGGAATTTGGGAATAGGTGCCTAGTGTGGAATGGGCAGATGTGCGGTACTCTACGATCAATTTTTTCCCTCTTAAGCCAACGTTGCTAGATCAACTCGTGGAACTGCCCATAGATGCCATGAGTGTGTCTATGGGCAGTTCCACAAAACCCCCTCTCTCCCCGAAAGGTTTGCCTCCCGTTGTTCAAAGCACCAGGGTTTTGGAGACTGCTGTAATAATAGCTATCTTGTGTACCCGCGTAGAGTGTACGTCTGGAGTGCGGCGACTGGATGGCCCTTCATCCTAGCCTCTCCCAAAAAAAGTTTTGAATTGCAGCCTTTAGATGGCACCTTTAGGTGGCCTTGGCTAGAGTTCCTGTATATAAGCTCCTGTAGGGAACGGAAATAAACAGCGTGCAAAAAATACACAGGACGAAAGGAAGGTGTGAACGACACAAGCGCTTTTTTTGCGCGCTGTTTATTTCCGTTACCATGAACCAACTCGCCTACATCACGACACTAATCCTGTAGGGAGCAGTGTTGCACTTTCATCAATCTTAAAATCCGAAGTTATGCGGGAAAGCCACTCTTTACGCCCTGCAGGAGTCATATTAACGGTAGGCCAAGTGGATAGGCCTAGTCCCCCTGAGTTGGCACGCGGTGGCACACTCGAATTGCCATGGTTCCGTGAGCGTTCCCTGTCAGCCTCTGATGTTACACGCGTGATGTCCACGTTTTCGGTTGACTGCATGGTGAAAAATGTACCCAAATGGGCTGGAGCCGGGCAAGACCTGGGCAGGCGGTGGACCAGTGCCTTTCTTTGTCGTCGTTGCAATGCTCAGGCAAATGATACATGGATGATACACAACCTCATACAAAAGCAAAGAACATAAGCACAGTTGGCTAGTGGCTAAAGGAGCTGTGGAGCGGCCGTAGTAGAGGCTTTCCTGCGCAGCATTAGATTTTTGTTTGTCCCGTGATTGATTTTGGCGAACAGCGGCACAACGCGGTTCCCCACTGAGTTCATCTGGTAACGTCGTTTTAAGCCTTCGATTCAACCTCGCACTTCCTCTATTTGGAAAGGTGCTTTTTTTTCTTTTTTTTTTTTTTTTTTTTTCGACTAGATTTATTGTTGTTGGTACTCCCAAAAGGGAATTGGTGTCTCTAGAAGGCTCCGAGTGATGACGAGCCGATCGGACCGCCCAGGTACCGTCGGGACTTCCGCAGTCTCTGGAGGCGGCCATCAAGAGGTACGGTTCGGGCACGTTCAAGTTCCCGGCGGCCACGGTGCTGGACACGAGTGGCAAGATCGGCAGCCCCCTCGCTTACGGTGGGTCGCCACGGCGGTCTGGGCGGCGGCCACTGGGCGGCGGCCACTGACCGGCGCTCTTTTTCCCCACTGGCAGGAAAGCTGCTGAGCCGGTCCCGCAAGATTGCATTTAACCTGCTCACCAAACTGGGCCAGAAAGGCGAAGGGCTGCCCCTGAAACCTGGAGACAGGGTGAGTGCCGTTTCTTCTGCACTCCGGGCCCCCATCAGCTCGTTTGGCGAAGCAGCCTTGAGCGTGTGTGCACAAGTCCTTTTTCACCCTAAAAATTGGGATCAAACATCGCAAATTTCTGGGGTACGCAGGTATAAAAAATGAGAGCACGTGGTGTTAGGTAATGCTTTTAATGAGGAAAAAAAGCCACGCATGGCTGTAACTTTGGGTTTTCTACGACACTTAAGGTATATAGATTACGTTTGCTCCATCAGAATTTGATCTCGCAATCGGCTTAGATGCCTCATGTCCAGCAGCTGCTTTTTATTTTTTGGGCTTTTGTTTTGCACCAGGTGCATATTCTGCACCAGGTGTATACTCTGTGCATATTCTCATTCAGAGCACACTTTGAAACATTCCTACAGATAAAATCTGCATTCGATATACAATTCAAAATTCTGCTTTTTTTTCTTAATTCGATTCGGTCTTCGATTAAATAACTATTATTCGGTATTCGCACACCCCTAAATTGCGGACGTCTCTACCTGCCATATTTCTTCCAGGAGTGCTGTCCACTTGCTTTGCCAGGAGGAGGCATTTAGAACACTCCCAACTTTTTCGAATAAGATCCCAATGTTTTCGGATGAGATCAAACGAACAAGGAGGGGGGAGGGGGGGGGGAGGGAAGGGAGGGAGAGGAGGGGGGTCGACATATTTATTTCACTTGGCGTTTTATTGACTAATCAATAGTACAAACAAATCCATAAATATTTTCGCCCGCAGAAAACAAAACTTTTAGACAAAACATTGTACACTAGGAAGAGGTGGAAATTTATGTTTACATGCTCCGCCGGAGTTACTTTTTCTTTTTGCTCAATGCTTTATTTTTTTACGCTACTCGTAGGGTTTATAAACTTTGTGGCCCAAGAGGAAGGCTGACGAGGGTCACCTCTTAAAACCTGTCTCTTGCCATTCTTGCAGTTATACAGCCCCATACATTAGGCGGAAAAGTAGGATATTTTGATTCTAAGCAAAACATTGATACACCGCGAAGAGGCTGAAATGCTTGCTGACTTACTCGTTCGAGCAATCTCAGATGTGCGAAACATGCCCCAGACATTTGCGTGCTGGGATCCCCACATGCCTTTGGTGATCTCAAGTTTAGGGAAAAATCTTCCTTAATTGAAGGGTTTACCGGTTGAGGAGGGGGGTGTGATTTTCCTCGCTCGTGTGTGGTTTCAGGTGGCCTTGGTGTACCCCAACAATGACCCTGTGGCATTTGTGTGTTCCCTGTACGGCTGTTTCATGGCTGGCCTGGTCCCTGTACCCATTGAGGTGCCCTTGACAAGGAGGGTGAGTGGCTCCGGTGCCCGCTTCTGCCGAGGGCTTGTGCCCACGTTACGAAAGACAAGTGTACAGCGAAATGCCGCTCAAACAAACTTTGAGGGATCAGTGAAAGTTTATGAAACTGAAATTGTTGCACCGCGCAGTTTCTTCAATGCAGCCCGTAGCACACCCCGTAAATGAGGAATGAGGAAGGAGACTTTAGAGCACGAAGAAATGTGGTGCGTTTTGGGTGAAATTTGTCACACTTATCACAATTTTTCAAAATGAATTTATGGAAACTATTTGACACCGCTGGACTTTGTCTGCGAGTTCCAAAGACTTAAAACTTGGTGAACCTGGATTTGGAATAAATTTGAAATCTTGTAATTTTTCTTAGTTAGCTCACAGACATTTTAGATCTTTTATGCAGGAAAAGCAGAACAAGCTTATCCCACGAAGCCCTCCACTCTTTCTACCTTAAAGGGTAACTGCAAAGAAAAAAAAGTTTTTTTTTAAACAGCCTAATTGGGACAAGCATGTCACAAAACAAATGTTCCGCGAAAAAAATGATTTTTTTTATCAATATTTACGCCACAGGACGTAATTTAGTAGAGTCAGAACCTCTCCACATTTGAAACTCCCGCTCTTTCGACCCCCGCGGAAGAGGAGTACGCCCCGCCCCTCACTCTCCTTGCGTTGCGGAGTTGAACGACGCGGCGTCTCGACTTCCGGCAAGATCTGGCAACTACGCCAGGCCAGCCAGGCCGCGGTTAGAGCACTATATAGCTCCTTCGGAGCAGAGTAGCGCAATCTAGAACGCCGCCTCTCGGCGACTAGCGGCGAACGCCCGGAGGTTCCAACTGCGGTCAGAAATGCATGGAGAACGTGAGAAAATCGTTGTTTCTCCAGTATTGTGGGAATGTACGGAATCGCAATCATTTTTGACATAATAATGGAATACTTTAGAATAATTTGCGCTATGTTTTGTGCCCCGCAAGGACCTGACTTTTTTTTTTAAAATTGCCTGAGCGGCATCATGCAGCAGACGACACGGCGACGTCACACCATTCACGTGACCCGCTCCGGCCAACCCGAAAAGCCCATCTCCGCTGCGAGCAAAAATCGTCTGCTTCAAACGCCATTGCCTTGGAAATTGCCTTCTCAAAATTTGCACACGCATCCGATATTGTTAAAACTTTGATAAAGTGTTTAGTGCTTTACTAACTTCACGACAGACTAGTTTTGAAAAGTGTGAACTCGCCGTTCATTTTTTAATCAGCCGTGTTGTGTCGATCTCCATGTATTCTCCCATAGGGCGGGCCGCCTCTTGGAACCCTGAGTACCACGTGACTCGCGCCGAGCCGCTCTGTCGGCCATGTTGTCGGCAAAACACGGGGTTCAAAGGATTGCGTTACTCTGCTCCGTAGGAGCTATATAGTGCTCTAGCCGCGGTATTGTTTTGGTTTGACGCGGTTTGCGAGCACATGTAGCGAAGACGTGAACGGAGAAGTGCCCCTGTGATGTTCCCGGAAGACGGAAAGTATCGTTCGTAATCGTCGTGCGCGCTTTGAAAGCGAAGGAAGTCACAGAATCCACGAGTGCGCAACCACAAGCCAAGGTTCACGACAGCGCTGCGTTGGTTTCGGCGATCTCGTTCTGTTAGGTGCAACACGGCGATGCGACAGAGCTGAAACGTTCGTGGTGTGTGTAATGCGGTGCTAACACGGAGCGCAAATTGGTTGTTGTGGGGTTGACGTTCAACCAGTTAAGTCCCGTCGTCGTCAGCTGATCCAGTCAAACTGGCCCGGAAGGACGCTGGGAGCGTTTTAGAAGTAAATCTGCCTCGTTCTGTTTCAAAATGTGGAAGTTTCCCGACGCATACCGTGAGTAAAAAGCTGCGGGCGTTTTCAACAAAATTACGTTGTTTTAATTGAACAACGGACTCCGAATTGTTGTCCTAAATCTGCCGTTTTTATGCTTCGTGTTGGACTGCGTTTGCACAGCGACGTGTTGCATCGTGAGGTGTGAATAAATTTGGGCACGATTTCGTACCTGCCTACAGATGTATGAACTGAGACCATTTTTACGTAGTGGACGCAGTGCTTTTTTATTTTCTGTTTAGTCGCGGACGTTAGGTGCACACGGGGCGAATTTCGACGGCCTCCAGAGCGATATGACGAGAACGTAACTAGACACGTTGGTCGCTACGCGAACGCCCGATTGCCTCCAGCCAAATAGCATTCCTTTCGGGGCGACATGGCTGCTGGAAGGCTCACTGTCGGGATCACGCATCTGACATCTCCGAAAAGTCAGCATTTGCACGCGCAAACAAGCAAAAAAAAAAAAAAAAAAAAGCACGCTAAGCAAGCAAAGAGGAAAACGAAAGAGCCGCGCTATGAAAACCAAGACCCCGCGTCGCTTCCTATCACTAACACCTGCGACAGCTGCTAAACACACACTACTTCACTTCAAGAAGTCTCACTCAAGCACCTGGGTCAGCACGAAACGACGAAACACTGATCACTTCGGCGAAACGATTAGTCGAGGTAGGCGAGACAGGCGGGAGCAGAGACTTCGGCGGCCATGAAAGAATGGCGAAGCTTTTGTTTGTATGAATCCAAACGGAAGTGCCCGTCTTGTAAACCTTTTGTAAAGAATAATAACTCTCATCACATGGGTTATTCTTTAAACGTAAAAATATGCCGCTCAAAACGAAATTGCAACATATAACAAAGGTTTAACAACCAAGCTCTAAGCTGTCAATCAAACTCTTAGCCAATGAGTACCTTTTGGGATTGACGTCACATAATCACAACTTCGTGGCGCGCGATTTAAAACGGACGAAATAGCCGCAAACTAAAATGAGTCTCACGCAATAAATATTGCTGTAAAAAATGTTTTTTCTCGTGGAAAAATTGTTTTTTGACATGCTTGTCCCAATTAGGCTATTTAAAAAAAAAACTTTTTTTTCTTTGCAGTTACCCTTTAACAGAGCGAACGCAGGAGAGAAGGAAACCAGCAATCATGGCAAGCAGAGAGCTCTGTGGGAGGGGATTGTCCTGCTGTTTTTAGCTTACAACATCCTATGTTTCAACTTGAATTCCACTATTCAAAATCTTTTTTTAGTTTTTTCTAATTTTTTTAAACTTGAGTTTTGGGAGGTTTTCAGCATCCCTGCTGGGAACATAAGTATACTATCGGCCACAATTGAAACGCACGCAGTGGAGCACATGGCCTTCGATGCATGCTGCACTACCTGGAGGTGTGCGCCTCTCTGATGTGCACAGCATTGCAGTAACGTGGCAAGTTGGGCCAGTTGGTGATTGTTGTACACAATAAAAACCGGCTCTCAAAGGGATGGGACAAAGGAACGAACACGGGACGCACACGCAGCCCCGCTCTCGGCTCTACAGTTTTGTCAGTTTCCAGGGAACTCTGGCATAACAGCATGTGTCGAAGGCCATGCACCCCACCATTTACATTTCATTCCTGCCCAATAGTACATGCGCTGCATACGCTCGCTTTATCTGTACAAAAGTTTTGAAGGACCGTGTTTCCCAGTGTATAAGCCTTCGGTGTACCGACTTATATGCAAATATGGACTTAATTGTGCAAGATGTAGGTCATATTGATATTTACGACAAAGTATGAATGGCAGGGTACTCTGGGGGGGGGGGGGGGGGGGGGGGGGGCGCAGTCCGAGGACAGTCCAAAGAGTGCCGGCCTAGGTCCACGGCTGCAGTGACTCCTCACACCATCTTTTGCAGCGCTTTGTAACTATGTAAAAACAAGTGTGGCTTACCTATACCAAGGTGCTACAGTAAAACCTCGTTATAACAAAATGGGATATAACAAACAAATGGATATAACAAAGCAATTATAATTCCCCTTGCTTGAATAGTTGGAAGAAATGGACATTGGCTATAACAAACTAATGGTTATAACAAAGTAATTATGATTGCTCCTTCAACTTCTTTATAACGAGGTTTTACTGTACTTATAAAGCAGAAGATACGGTACATGACCAAAATAGCGCCTTGAACACATGTACATAGCACCATTTATTTTAGATTTTGCATTAGAAGAGTTAGTGCTGCAGATGCCAGCATGTGGAGCACATGTGATAACAGTCGTAGCATACTCCTTGATGGTCGGGTAATTTAGCAACATTTTGACATCATTTGTTCCTGTATTCACCTCGGCTCTTCAGCCTTGCCTTCCTCTGACACCATATTTTTGAGAAGATCTTTTTTTGATAAAAGATGATGAATGATTGATAGATCGAATTTCTGTCAGGCAGGAAGGAATAAGGACAAAACGTTGGATGATTCATTGACATTTTCATTCGATACCCTCGGTGCCCTAAATACCGCGCTGTGAACTCTGGGGAGTGTTGCGACGATGACGACATTCGAAATGGTCCATCTGATTGTCTCGAGCCTTTTGGTATAAATTTGAAAGTTCCAGAAGGAAAAGTGAAATGTGTGGCTATGGTTGGGAGCGGTCTGTGGGCTTTTCTCGAAAGTGTCGCTTTTTTTTGTGGTGAGGGCCTTGCCCTAACCCGAGCTCCCCGTGCCAGGACGCCGGCTCGCAGCAGATCGGCTTCCTGCTGGGCAGTTGCGGCGTCTGCTATGCGCTCACCTCCGAAGGATGCTACAAGGGACTCCCCAAGACGGCCACGGGCGAGATCCACACCTTCAAAGGTGCGAGGGGGTCGGGGGAGTTTGTGACTAAAGCCCACCGATGGTTTCCTGGGGGTTGCGCCGACGCAAGACACCGTGCCAGTGGCTTAAAAAAAAAAAAGTATAAGTGTGCAGTTTTGCAGCTTTAAGTAAGAGCTCGTTTATCTCGTCTGAACAGGAAGCGTTGAGGCCCGTTCACACAATTGCGTTTGCTTGCGACCGAGTTCTTGCGATCTTTTGCGACAACACGCCGGCATGCTGGTGCCTTCTATGAGCTGAACCTGGAACTGCACTTCACTAGAGCGAAGGTTTTGCAGTGTTTACAAGATCAAATGTATATACTATATACGGGAAATGGTAGTTTACAACAGGTGTCTTCAAACTTTTTGGCTAGGGGGCCGGATCGGGGATTTTTCGCTGTCTCGAGGGCTAGAGAATAAATAAGCAAATATAAACAAGGTAAACTAAACACATAATCCTAGATAATGCTATAAATAAAAAAGTAAAAATTAACATAAAAAAACCAAAAAAACCTATTTACTTTATGTATAAATTCAATATTTAGCTAATTACGACATTACACAATAATTGGGACCCTGAAAACTCACCAGGCATAAATCAAAGTGTATAGGAATTTCGGCATGTTCCGATAGGGTAGAAGAGCAATATGCAATAGATTGGCCAGTATGCAATAGCTATGACACAGGGCACTAAGCACATTGTATACATCGGAACGTAAAGCAATTTTAACATATGTAGGTTCCCAACTATAAAACGGGGGATTAAATATAGCGGTTATGGCAATGTCCAATGAATGATATAATGAGAGCATATTGAATTAATAATGCATCAATCGGATAGCAGTTTTCTCTCGTTTCTGTCTGGTACCTTCGCTTACGCGGTTGGTGCGCTTTGCGGCACAGTTTTTTCCTCGCGCCTACTTTTGCATTGGTTGCAGCAGGCTCGCTGGGAGCAGGAGATACAAATTTACAACCAACTTTTTACATGTCAATCATCTCTCCATCCAATGAGGGATATAAGCACTGTGTAAGCACAAGGAGGGGCTTAGCGGGCTACGACCTCCACCTTCTGCATCCAAATTGCATCTGGCAACGTAAATATTGCTAAAAAAATTTTTTTTTTTTTTTGTGGTAAAATGTTTTTAAAGTGTGCATACTATCCTAGGCCCTTTAGCATTTTTTTTTTTTCAATTTTAGTGTTTTTTTAAGGCACTCGGTCGTAAGCAGTCGCAAGTGTGTGAACCCGCCTTCAGTTTGCTTTCATTGTAGTACCTTATTGTTTCTCTTCTATCATTTAGCAATGATGTGTGTGGATCTCTGTGGACCTCCGCATGGGCGCTGTACAATGGGAAAGCTCTGAAATGGAATCATTTTTGGCGTTAGTGGCACCGTGTGGACTGGAAGTTATTTTTAGTCTGCGCACTGGGCTTTTGTGATGCCTGTCACGGATATCTGTGCTATGTTGGCATAAAACTGGAACAAAGGGAGGTGCCGATTTTGTCGGTCAAGAACAACCGAGTGAATCGGGTGGAAACAAGGATGTGTTAATGTTCAAAATTTTGAATACAAATAAAATATCTCTATTATTCTGTTTGTGCCCGATTCGGCAATTCCCTATTGGCAGCGACTTTCAACGTCGGTCCTCGAAAATGATTTCAGCGCTTGCGAAATCTGAAACGGGAAAATAGCTTAAATTATTTTGACATCCCCTTTCAAAATAATGACTGTTTTTCATCAGAATAGTAGCTTTATTATTTTGATGTATCCCGTCAGTGTAGCCGTCATAGTGGTAGTTTCTGCCAGAGTTGTGCTGAGGGACTCTTGTGTCGCTGTGTCACATGTCTACGAAGCTTTGGTCCTACTTGACACTGGAAATGTCATATTCGGTGTGTCTGTTCGACATTTGAACAATTTCTCTCGGACGTGACTGTAACATTGTCCGGTGGCGATGTGTGCTCTTGCACGTCTTTGGTGCACATCTCTCGCTTAAAATTTTTAATTTACAACAAAAGCGAGCTGGACATTTCTTTATCTTGACTGCACATAACTAATTAAGTGCATACACTAGGTAACGCTGAGAGTTTGTAACAATCTTTGTGCCTGCACTTCTGTGTCTAGATTTTCTTTCTCTTTTTTTTTTTGACTTGTTTGTAATAGCTAATAAACAATCGAAACATTAGTGTCCTGAATGCAAACACTGCTTCCTTGATGTTTTTCAGCCGGGCAAACAAACAACAACACTTGCGATGCACAGAGCAAAAACTTTTCATACTGCAAGCAGCAGTCAGCATTACGTTTGTATAATATAGACATTTTCCAACAGAGAATGTACAGTCGACAGCAGTTTTTATGTGACAGTTTTTTAAAAGATTCAGAAATGTTATAAATCTACTATTATATGTGGTATAAATAACAAATAAATCATGAAAATCGTGGGTGCCGCATTTTGTGACATTTAGCATAACCCAGCAGACGTTACGTGCGGCCTGATAACCGAGTTGTATGAAAATATTTCTTGCATTTCGCATTGCTTGAAAAAGTTTTGTCATAAACTGCAGTCGATTGCAATACGTTTGTTGTCAAAAAATATGTGTTAAACTGCAACACCACCGCAAGCAAGGCAATAATCTTTTAACCTCCACTTTTGCTCACCTTCCAGTCCAAAGTCCAAAATTAGGCAGAAAGCCCAAAAAAAAAAAAAAAAATTGATGTGGGATGTCAAAATAGTGCAATATTTCAATACAATAAATATTTGATATAAAATCAAAATGATTAAAAAAATATTTTTATCTCTAGAAAGTGGAGTCATGTCATATAAGTCAGAATAATACTTCAGTTGGTGCAGAGCCATAGACTCTTCACCAACTGACTACAAGGAAACGAGAGAGAAAGCAGTCTTAAGATAGGAAGCATAAACAGAGAAGCCAGCTTCTCCCTTTTCAGCCATGAAGAAAGTTTGAATGAGCAAAAGAAAACTGCAATAACGAAGTACAGCAGAAGGTAAAAAAGCAGAAACATAATGGTGGGATGTTTCATTCAAAGCTTGGCATTATTGCTCATCCAGTGTCCACACGCTTGACCAGGAGGGACTTTTTGTTTTCATTTTTTAGTATTTGAGCGCACAAAGCTTTCTTTTTTTTTTTTTTTGGTTCGGTGTCCTTATCACAAACAAATACCTTGTTTTAGGCACCCAAAAATATTTGGGAATATGGGTAGTGGTCAATTGAGAATCAACAAAAAAACAAACATGTAATACTTTTCTTTTTTCATTTGAACAAGATAAGTTAAAAGTAAGGTCTACTGCGGGTGGTTGCAGTTTGTTGGTTCTCTAAAATACTATATTGGAGAAAAGTCCAATTAAAGAATGCTTGCATAGTAGTTCCTGGTTTTTCCAGTTCATTGCAAAACTTGCTTTCTAATATAGTTCTTTTCTCACTGACATTTATGAACCATTTTCATACAGCAGCCGCTTGTTGCGTTTAGCTTTGGGCTAACTTTTGGATTTTGTTAGATTCCTTGGGGCTATGCCTTTTTGGGGTGACCTCAGACTGTAGGTGCCATATATTATTAGCTCCAAAGAGCTGCGTGTAATGTTGTCTAAAATATTTCTGCTTTTGTTCATTATGTGCATATTTAAGATTTGATTGAATATTCCAAGTCAGTATCTGTATTCGATTCGTATTGGAAAATTTGGTTATTTGCATACCCGTAATGGAAATGTATCCCGAGTGGGGTAGTGCTTTATTCATAGTCATGGCTGGGATTTGTCTACAATGTCTAAGCCTCCAAAAACATAAAAAAAAAGATGGTGTTAAGAGCTGGTACGAAACAGTGGGGAGAGCGGCCAGTGCCAGAGCTGCTAACCTATTCCCCAGCAGAGTGCATGCACTTTTGGGGGCCTCTTCCAAAGGCCAGCTTCCTTGGAGGAGTGCTTCACAACTGAGTCGATCAAAGGCCACTTAATCTTGGGATGCGCATAAGCCGATGACATTCTGATTGCTCTCAACTTGTGTCACGAAGCAGGCACACAGAGTAGATCCTTTTTGATGATTTTTCGCTGTTGTCGCAAAGCGCAGTGCTCCACGAGTGGCGAAATGGTGCGTCGCGAGCAATGCCGTGCTTGTTTTTTTGCCAGGCTGGCCCAAGCTCCAGTGGTTTGTGACGGAGCATCTGAGCAAGCCGCCCAAGGACTGGAATCCCCCCCCAAGGCCCAGCGATGAAACGGCAGCCTACATTGAGGTGACTGCTCAGGATGATGCGACTGGGCACGTGCGCGACGGCTAGGCAGGTGCACGTTGGTCGGTCCGCAATAATGGCAACTGGAGAGGAGGGGATGTGGGCCAGCAAGGGGGACATATACGGTAGAGCCTCGTCGATGCTTACACAGATTTTCTCTTCTATTGCGTACACCAGTCTCTTTGAACTCCCATAAAGATGTGCGTATGACCGTTTTGAGCAATTCTTGCATCCAAAAACTGCCCTCCAAAGTGGGAACTCTGTCTGCCTGGCTGCAGTCGCCCTCTTCCTTTTGCTCTACTCGGCCTCTTTCTCGCTTCCTTTTTGCCTCTGTGCTCAGCTCTTCACCCGGGTGGGCATGAGCTGGAACTAGGCTCGGAAGCAACTCTGGCCCGGTCATATTTCCTTCTTTTTCTCCAGCATGCGCGTGCAAGCTTCCATTGTGCCCAGTTGTCACGGTTTTGCTACTTGTATTTTGTGTGGAGTTCAATATTTCTAATAGTAGTGCATCATGCATGGCGCACATTAACACGCTTGAGATGCAGGTGCATCCAGCTTCGCCATTTTTTGCATCTGCACATGTGTTGAGCTTCGCTGCTCTGCACTGGTGTGTTGCGAGTGGCGGTTGATGCAGGGGAGTGGCTGGGCTAGCTCTATGGGTTCTAAAATTTTGCTCACTCTCATAGCTTGACATTCTTTAGTAATCTCTTTGATCTGCAAACAAAAAAGAAAAAACGGTCGGCATATTTTTCAATAAGTATGGTTGTCATCCACAGCCTTGAAAGTCCACACAAAATAAATTACTGCATTATAGTCTTTCTGTTTTGTCTGTAGGCCCCCAAAAGCTTTGATTCTTACATTTTCCCAGATCATACACCTCATTGCTGCGGTCCCCCAAAAAGCATAAGTGTGATTCTGCTGCACTTGTCGTATATGAGGTTTCAAAGTTTGTCGTATTTCTTTGCATCGTCCAGTCTCAAGAGTCGTGTCGTTGAAGCGTGTTGTGTCATTCTGGCGGGGGACAGACGTAACTCCGCTTAGCGAGGGCGGTGGTCAAGACTTCGGATATTTTGGGAGCTCTCTTGGAGCTCACACGTTTCCATTTGGAGTGGTTCCCAAAATTGCTTTGTCGCACGTAGCTGGAAGCAGTGAACTTTCTAGATGCCGAAGGATGTTCTTCTCGGATGCAGTATACCGTCGACCGAGACGGGGCAATGAAAGGCGTGGCGGTGTCCAGGTCCGCTCTAGTCAATCACAGCCGAGCCTTGACAGCCGCCTGCAACTACACGGAAGGTGAGCAACCACAGGGGGTGCCGGGGAGCCTGCTGACAGCCTCGCTTCTTTCAGGGGAGGTGATGGTGTGTGTGCTGGACTACAAACGGGAGATGGGCCTGTGGCACGGCGTCCTTGCGGTGAGAAGCTCCTCCACCTCCCCTGGGACTCAGTTCACAGCTCTCTCTCTCTCTGTCTCAGAGCGTCTTCAACGGGATGCACGTGATCTTCATTCCCTACTCGCTGATGAAGGTAAACCCGGCGTCGTGGATGCTCATGATCACCAAGTTCAAAGGTGGGTGGCACGGTTGTGGGGCGTGGGGTGCCTCACCCTGTGCCCTGTGCATGGGCCGGTTGCAGCCAACGTTGCGGTGTGCAAGTCTCGGGACCTGCACTGGGGCCTGCTGGCGACCAAGGACCACAAGGACGTGAACCTGAGCTCGCTCAGGTTGCTACTGGTGGCGGACGGAGCGAACCCATGTGAGTGGGGCACCGCCCTCCCTTCGGTGCTCATATCTTTGACAGTGGTGGCGAGCTTGCGGCATTCTTTTAGGTTGGGCCAGAGAACGGCCCAAGTTGGCCGTTTTGCAGTTTGGGTGGTTTAGGCTTCCTAATGTAAATCTGTTCCCATACATTCCTCAGAGTGCTACAGGCTCGTATCGGTGGTGGATTGTTCGCTCGAGGTTGCTCTATAAATGAAGATGGGATATTAAATAGCGAGTTTTGAATAGCATGGGGGGGGGGGAGGGGGGTGCGAAAGCACTGCGTACACGAAGGAATGGCGTCGTCGCCGTGTACCAATCCAAAATGCGGTCCGGCCTCGGTACATGTGCAGTGGTGATGACGCTGTTTCTTTGTGTATACAAAGCTTTTGTGTAGATTATTCTAAAACTCTGCAATACAGTCGACTTTCATTAATTCAAACTCCAGGAAGCCACAGACTTTAGTTTAAAATATCAGAAGTTTGAATTGTCAGATATTGATCTAAAAATGATATGGGGCAAAGTAGCAATTTGCTATTAGAATAGCTACACATACCAAGCAGACTTCTTACTTTCCTCTACACAGGCCTATTTATAAAGGCCCGTTCACACTCTTGCGACTGCTTGCGACCTCTTAAACCTGGGTTCCTTAAAACTTCTTAAACCAGAGAACGCACTGGCGCCATCTATTGGGAAGCAGTGTAAACTCGGCGGTCCGGCATATTTTTTTTTTATTTCTCGCGCAATATCCTTTCTTTTTTGGCTCGAAAAACTTTTGTCAATGTTATAAACGAGCCTTTCTATGGGTATTACGCACATTTGTCCTCGGAAATCCCGCAAAACCTTCGCTTTTGTGAAATGCAGTTCTAGGGTCACTGCATAGATGGCGCCACAATGTCAGTGTGTTCCCTCATTCTAGAAACATTTAAGAAGTTGTAAGAGATCTCGTCTCTCTCAGTCGTACTCGGTCGCAAGAGTGTGAACGGGCCTTAAGCAGTCACACGCATGAAACATAGATAAAGTTGGAAGCGAATAGTGGTTTTGGCCGCATATTTTCTAATCAAATACTATAGGATAGTTTCTCCAGGCCTTTTACTGCCATTGTACCGTGCTGAAACAAAAATTCAGGTGAACTCGTGAAGGTTTTTCCCAACCTTCAACTTGTCCACTTCCGAGCTCAGTTAGTTTTAATATATAACTACCTATGAACCGCGGCCTCAGAAGGTCCAATGCCTACGTTGGGGTGGCATGTAAATGACAGATTTGACATAAAATTAAACCCAGCTATCCTAATCGAGTGAATTTATAAATCTACTTACTATATGCAAATATTCTTTTTAATCTCAAATTTAACCCTTGCAGAAAAATACAAAAAACAAGCACGAACAGAGAAAGCAGATTGTCAGTACTGTTCTGCTTGCATAATTGTGGTGTGTTAGTCCCATCGAGTGCGCTTCTCACCGCGCACATGCGTACTGTGGAAAAGAAATGACTGCGAGCTTCGTGGCTATTGCTTTCCTGCAGTACACGGGTGTTCGGTGAGAAGTGCACTCAACGGAGTTGACCTGCCGCAATAAACAAATATTAGTATAAATGAAAAAAAAAACACTGTTTGAATTAAGCAGCTTATAAATGCATTAAAAACATAGCGGGATAACCAAAGTTTTTTACTTTGTTTGAATTAACCGGAAGTACGAAATATCCGAGTTATCGCGAGTCCACTCTATCCTTTCTCAACAATATCTGCACTCTGGCGGCACTCCCTGCATGGCGCATATTCATTCTCTGCCCCAATATTCATTACTTTGTCAAACATGTTGCGAATTGCCGAGTATCAAATACTCGAATCCAACGTGAATCTAATATTAAAAATATTCAGTCTGTATTTCAAATTCAGAATATTCGCACACCCCTAGTTTTTGTTGGCGGCCGACGTTTATCGCTGCAGTTTGGCTCAAGCTAAGACGTCTGTTGCATACCTCTGCCTTTCGCCAGCTTGATGCCTCGGAGAAAATAGGGTGGGGACTTTGGCAAGCCTGGACATATCTTCAAATGTAACCGAAGAGTTTCTAGGGTCTGTGAAATATGCGAAATAGATAGCTTCCTCCTTATGCCTCATGGTCACAAGCTTGGACGTTTCGTCGTCGCACGCAGGGTCGCTGTCATCGTGCGACCAGTTCATCAGCGTGTTCCACAGCCGGGGCCTGCATCCGGACGCGGTGTGCCCCTGCGCAGCGTCTGCTGAAGCGCTGACGGTGGCGGTGCGCCGCCCCGGCCGGGTGGGGGCTGGCGCCAGCGGCCGCGGCGTGCTCTCAATGGCAGCCCTCAGCTACGGCGTGATCCGCGTGGACATGGAGAACAGCCTGACCTCGCTCACCCTCCAGGACTGCGGCCACATCCTGCCCGGAGGTCTGGCCTTTTTCTTTGACTCTCGCCTCTGACTAGTGTGTTTGCCGCATTCTCATTTGGGATCCCTCGATTTCCACCTGATGACGTCAGATTTGCATTCTTTTGTCACCTGCCACAATCCTGGAGGTTTCATGGCAGCGGAGGTAGTAGACGCCTGTTCTGCAGCCATACTTTCAGTGGGAACTAGGGATGGGCCGAACTTTTGCCGAATCTTCGGATTCAGCAAAGCCGAAATTTTACCAAACTTTTCTAATGATTCGGCAAGAATACATTGTTGCCAGACTTAAAAGTATAGGTATTCTGTATAGAGTTACTACTTGTAATCACAATGGCATTTTTATCAAGGTTTTATCGGACTTCATTTGCCAGAAAAACGGTACTGTGCATGGTAAAATAGGAAATTATCTCGGGAGAAATATTTCTCGCTTAAAGGACAACAGCAGTTTGAAGCTAAAATTTGGGGCTATAAATACTATACGCGTTGCAGCCATTGGAATATTAATATCCTGAAAGTTTGTTTTAATAAGACTTCGGTCAAAAATTTGTGGAAGTTGCTTTCTGACACTTCTAAAGTAAAAAACAGAAAACCGATTTCGCCTGCGTGTCCTAGTTGTTCTGTAAAAAAACTATAAAAATTGGCATTTCTGGCACCCCTCAACTCACTCCCAGTCTTCAGGGTCACACCTGGTCGCACTCCTAGTGACGTTATTCGGGGTGTGGTGCTCTTTCGAAGGACGCTTCCTCTCCCTCTCTCTGCTGACATTAGCGGGCGTTATGCTGCAGCTTAGAGCCGAGCGAGGTCACGTAAGCTTTTCGCAGTAGTTCCTTCGGCTGCCACTCGTGGCTGCAGGTGGGGGAAGAAGCTAGACTTTTGCTTTGCGATTATGCAATGGAATTGCGATATTTTTTAATGAAGGAGATGTTTTCTCTCTTCCAGGCTTCTAGTCGCGCAAAAATGACGTGTTGGAGACCCTTCGAGTGTGGCTAGAACTGGCTGTATGTTTCAATGCTAAGCTAGGCATTTTCAATTGAAGGTTGGAGCTTTTGTTAGGGCAGGGGTAATTACCCGGGGTGAAATTGTGGGTTGGTTCGTGTTGGCTAAGGGTGGACTGTTTGTGAACAGCTGTGGCGGCTGTGGTGAAGATCAATGATGCCCCCTACCTGTGCAAGACGGACGAAGTGGGCGAGATCTGCGTCAGCGCCTCGACGTGCGGCTACTCCTACTGGGGCCTCCACGGCCTGTCAAACAATGTGTTCAAGGTGAGGGCCTCTTGGCAAGGGTTGTGAGCAGCCTCCTCTGTTGCCAAGAAAATTGCTCGGACATCGTTGGTCTAGGTTGAGGGCTAAAAGTGATAGACCCGTCGCCCTGCACCCAGAGTGCCCTGGGCGCACTGCTTTGGTGTAATTGGGGAAATGGTCGGTCTCATTTGTTGCTTCATTGCAAAAATATGCTACAGTTGAACCTTGATTTAACGAAGTCACCGGGACCCGCCAATTATTTCGTAAATCGGGAACTTTGTAAAATCGAGGAAGTCATTCTTCAGGCATAGTCTACACGGGAAATCCGAATTTGTTCATTAAATCGGGGAATTCGTAAAATTGGGTTTCGTAATATTGAGGTTCAACTGTAGTCTGTTTCACCTTACGATGGACCTCGGTGGCACTGTGAATGTATTTTGTGACTGTGCGTCCCGTGCATTGCTACACTCTGTGACACTCGCACGCCATTGGATTGGCTTCAATGGCTCGTAGAGTCCTGTGGGGTCCATCGTAAGCTAAAACTGAAAATAGTAGTTTCACGACGGAGTACTATTGTGGTCTGATTGGCGACTCCAGCGAAATCAACGCTGCGTGGCGTTAACACCAAGAAGCCTCGAAAGGAGGTCTTTTCGCCACCGTCGTCTGCTTTTGCTGCTTACTAGTTCTCGTTAGCGGCATAGCTTTACAGGCTTATGTTTCAGTGTTACGGTGGTCTAGAAGAAAGGAGGGGCAGTAGTGCGGGCGAGAGCAGTCCCGTGATTCATGCTTATGAAGCGCAAAATAATCAGTATGCTGGGAGCAGCACCACTTAGCACTCCGGGGCTAGAAAAAAAAAAAGTGCTAACAAATATGGGCAGGTGGAGCATTCTATCCCACTCTGCAAAAGTATTGTTCAGTCGTAAATAGCAATGCTACCCCTTATGTTTTTTCTGCTTCGTTTCACTTGGAATCTTCCAAAGAATTAACTGGTCTTTGCTGTTGTGGTACTGTTGCCAGCTTACAGATGGTACCATGGCAATAATGATGCATGAAGCATGGGACTGCTCTCAGCTCTCGCGAGAAGCAAGCGATCACCACTTTTCCTAATCCTGGCCCACCATGATTGCAATTCAGCAGTGCTTCAACAAGACAAGGGATGAACAAGAATGGAAAAACACCTTAATGGTGTGCAATTTCCTTCATCTGCGAGATGAGGAACAATTCTGTCGCTCAACACATACTCCTGTGCGAAAAACCCATCGACAAAGCGAGGAGCAGCGGGTGCTCCTCTCGGCACTGACGAACATGGTGGTGCCCCAATACTCGCACTGCAAAGCTTGAAGGAGCCCTCAGCGGCACTCAATTCGACATTCATGCTTTCGCATTCACAACTTGTAAAAAGGGCTTAGGTGTCCTCGAAAGAAATTTTTTTTTCCGTGAGGACGACGACACGAAGAAATTTCAGAAATTTGACCTGCGAGTCATATATAGCTTCGCTGTAAAACGTCCAGGCTCTCTGCTCTGCTGAGCATCAGTTTAAACTGACACAAACTCGCATGATGGCACCGCACGTAATTCTGTGTAGGTTCCTTGCCAATAAGATCTTCGAAATATAGTAAATCGTAATGTACAGGTGTCTAAAACTCTCTTTTCGCACCTTCGCCGACATTTCTTGCCGAAATGTACCGTATTTACCCGAAAATCGGTTGACCACGAGAATAGGTTGACCCCTATTTATTGAACCCACCGAGAGTAATAAAAAAAAAATAATATGAATATAGGTCAACATTTTTTTTTTAGAAACAGGGGAAAGTTGGGGAAAAAAAAAAAAAAAGCCAAACCTTTATTCACAACACTCTCGGCTAAATCGCAGGGCGATGCCAAAAACTTGATCATGATCAGAACTTCCGGACATGTCATTGTCGTCCGAAGCTTCGTCGGCTTGGTAGATATTCTCGCAAATTCGCAACTATACCTCACTCACACCATCCGTTGTAAAATGACAACGTGAAGAAACGAAAGAAGGTGGAGATGGGGGCGAAGCTGTGAAAGACCAAATACAAATACGCAAACAACGCCGGAGTCACCGTGAGCAACACGCTAGCCACCACAAGCAACAATCTAAAGTAACCTCTGCTGTCTCCTTTTTTTTTTTCTTGTGTGTGTGCATTTGCGAGGGAGAGAAATGAAGGGCAAGGTGCATGGCGCATTGCGTTCCTCTCCCTCCCCTTGCCCAGTGAGGGAAACGCTACAGGCGCAATGGCGAAACCCGACGCCCGAGGGTTGGCGCGAGCCGCGTTTACGGCGGCGGGGGGGCTGTCGGTTGCTGCTGTTGCGGTTGTTTTCGTGCACCAAAAGCTTTTTGAAACAAGAAGCGGCGCGGTTTCTACGGCAACGCCGGCTCGGTGATTCAATAGCTCCATGCCCTCGGTAGGGTCGCAAAATTTGGTCACGAATGTAGGTCGAAATTCTTTGGTCATGATTATTGGTCGACCCTTAATTTTTGACAACATTTCCGAAAAAAAAAAAAAGTTGATTTATATTCGAATAAATACGGTAGTCGGGTTGTGTTTTACCTTCATGCTCCTGAGACTTCTCAACTTAACTGCTGCAATCTCACTTTCACTTGCTAGTGCAGCAAATCAGTGTTCCCGGTAGACTTGTAATCCTGCGAATCTAGTACCACCGGAGCACGATGGCCTGAACGCCGCCAGCCGTAACTCTTGTATTCCCTCCCTCTCAGAGGATGCGATGAGATGAAGCTTCTTCGCTTCTTTTTGGGGCTTGTAACGGTGTTCACGAGTAGTTTATATTCTAACAGTACTTGGCTACAAAAGTGTGCCAACATATCGAACCCTTCAATTATATTTTCTTCAAAAATCAACTTCAGGAACTCGAAGCGCATTGGACGAAGCCAATGCGAACCTTATCTGCACTTTGACGACCTTCCAGAGGACTATACTTTGTTTTGTAGGCATGTGAAAAAATCTAGTTTTTAATTGAATGTCGAATATAGTTTCTCCAAGCCTTTCACTACTGTGCACCACGCTTAAAGGTAAATAGGTTAGGTTCCTTCCACTCGTGCACTTCTAAGCTCAGTTAATTTTAATACAACTACCGTAAAATCCCAAGAAATGACCCCCCCCCCCCCCCCCCCCCCCCCCCCCAAAAAAAAAGGTAACCTGCCACCTATTTTCGGCTTGATTTGATATTTTCTTTGAAACACCGAAAGATAGCCCACTCCTAGTAATCGCAGTGTTCGGATCAATGATGACCATGGCGTAAATGCATCTAGTTAGCCATGGCGGGCTGTACAGTAAACTTTCGTTAGTTCAATCTCGGTTAATTCGACTTTTTGTTTATTTTGATTGTGTTCAAAAGTCTCGGCGAGCGCCCATACATTTCTATGGGAGGAGAAGTTTGATAGTTCGAACTCGGGAAGACTCCGCGTCGGATAATTCGTCCCGAGCGAATGCGCGCGGGCTCACGTTGCAGGGCACCACGGCAGAAAAACCACCAACGTACAGCGAAACACGGGCCCTTTGCTACAAAGCCAAACGTGCGCAAATATGCGCCTGCTCCTCCACGCCGTTGAGATGGACCATAGCAAATGACACGAACCTGCGCAAGCAATCTGGCGTGGAGTAGTGCGGAGAACATAGCACGTAATCGGGTGCGGAGACAGCGCGTGCAGCACGCGCTCTCAAAGTGCTTTTCTGTAGCATCGTGTGCAGTCCATTTTGCGGGCCGGAAAGCGCGAGTTCTCTTTCCCTTTCTTTTGTTGCTATTTTCCTCTGTCGCCGACAGTTTGGCCGCCCGGTGCCAAAGTCGCTCGCTGGTAAAGCTTTCTCAGCACGAGCTCTCAAAGTGCTTTTTTTGTAGAATCATGTGCAGTCCATCTTGCGCATCAGAAGGCTCGGGTTCTCTTTTCCTTTTCCGATTTTTTTATTTTTCTCTGTTGCCGACGGTCTGACTGCCCGGCGTCGAAGTCGGCCCGTAAAACTTTATTTTTCCGTTTTTTTTTTTTTTTGTATGCAATATTTTGGGGTCATGACGTTTAGTTACGCTGTTCTCCGGAGCATGCTTTTAGACACGCGTTGTAAGCACAGACAGCAGCAGACCATCCGTGAGTACTGTGGACAACAAAAGGAAGTTTAATTTGAACAGTTTTTCTGTCCTTTTTTTTTTTAATTCGATCATTCCGATAATTTGACCAAATTTCGAGGTCCCGTCGAGGTCAAATTAACGAAAGTTTATTGTAATTGAACATTGCTTACTCGGTTGATCCTTTGCCCTCCGCTGCGATAACAAGTTTGACAGAGACACTTGTTCTAAAAATAGCTTCTTTTTTTTCAACTTCTCTCGATTGCACATCGAAAGTTAGCCCAATTCTTATTATCACCCAATTTTCTCGAGTTTAGATGGGCAGTCTTGGGATATTACGGTACGTCTAGCCCGGTTATGACGAACCCGTTTATAGCGAAATAGCGGTTATAACGAAGGGATATGGATTTCCCATTCTCATTTCTGCATTTTTAATGCAATTTGGGTACAGTTATAACGAAGTAAATAAAAAAGCCTCAGCGGATATAACGAAGACAAATGTCGTGCCGAGCAGATAAAATATCTAGCAATCGCAATAATTTACGACGTTTTTTGGTAAATTTTAAGCAAAAAACTACTAAAAATTTGGCTGCCGGCAGCCTCCGCAGTATCGTCTGCTCTCCCTATCGCGTAGCTCCTGTAAGATTGCTTCAACGCACCACATCATGCGCCGCCGTGTACTTAAACTTTTCAAAACAAAAAAAAAAAAAAAATTCTCATGACAGCACTCTCATGCGGCCAATCATCGTTGTCTCTCTCTCTCTCTCTCTCCCTTTGCTGTCACGTGACGGGTAGTCGCTGGAGTCGCCAGTTTAACTCGGAGTCGGCTGGGGTAGCTAACGCACGGTAGCGCCGTTTGTGTACTCGCGAGTGACACTCGTAACTCTCGCGCAAGGTGCAGGTGTCGTGCAGTGCAAACTCCAGAATCGTATCGTTTGGAGTTTCGAACACACCGCAACACGGGCAAGGGGGGCGCTCGTCGTTATCATTCTTCGTTCTCTGCTTTTCGTATCGTACTGACCACTTCGCTGCTTTTGCCATCCTGACTTCCCCCTGACAACTTTTGGACAACGGACTTACACTAGTGTTAGAATTACACGGAAAAGACTCGGACTGCCCCTTGATTCTTCTGAATCACCGCTTTGTCGACCATGTCGAGTTCCGCGAGCCTCGGTACGTCGGCGGGAAAAAGGAATGTGCTGTTTCTAAAGCTGAAGTGCGCCATTTTGGACGAAGTCCGTAGGAACGTCAAGAAGACTGATATCGCGCGAAAGTATGATATCGCGCAGTCTACTTTGTCGAAGATTATCGAGAACGCCGGCTAGATCGACGCCGTTCGGGATGACGACGTTGGTGGCGGTGACCGAAAACGGATCCGATGTGCCACCTACCCCGACATAGAAGCGGTGCTTTACAAGTGGTTCATGGATGCCCGCGCGAAGAACATCCCGCTGAGTGGACCGCTCATGCTACAAAAAGCAAGGGATTTGGGCTTCGCTCTCCACCACGACGACTTCCAGATAGGAACTGGATGGCTGCAGCGGTTCAAAGACAGGCACGACATCACGTGCAAGAACATTGTCGGTGAGGCCGCTTCCGTTGACAATCCGTCACTCCAGAAGTGGATGGAAAAGAACCTGGACCGCATCCTTAGAACGTACGCCAACAAGGATATCTATAACGTACGCCAACAAGGATATCCGATGAAACCGGATTTTTTTTTTTTTCAGCTGCTACCAGCGAAAACACTAGCGGCCAAGACTGACAAATGTGTGGGGGGCAAGAATAGCGAGAACCGCATTACGGTGCTTGTTTGTTCGAACATGGACGGCTGGGACAAGCGCAATCTGCTGATCATAAGAAAGGCGAAGAAGCCACGGGGCTTCGCTAAGGTGCTGTCCATGCCGGTAGCGTATCGCGATAACAAGAAGGCCTGGATGACACGAGACATCTTCACAAAGTGGCTCACCGACTTCGACAAGGCGATGGACAAAAAGAAGCGCAAGGTGCTGCTTCTGTTGGACAACTGCAGCGCTCATCACGTGAATGCTCATCTGAGTGCTGTCGAGGTACTGTTCCTGCCCCCAATCACGACCGCAAAGCTACGGCCGATGGACCAAGGGGTCATTGCAAACTTCAAAGTCCACTACCGGCGCCGAGTGATCGAGCGCCTGCTGATTGACATCCGCACCTCGGTTGACCCAGCCAGCCTGAAGGTCCCGTTGGAGAAGGCCATATTCTTTGCGAGCGGAGCCTGGAGGGATATTAAGCCACAGACCATCCTCCACTGCTTCCAGAAAGGTGGCTTTTCGAGGAACAGCGGTGTTGACGAGAGTCCTGCCGGAAATGGAGCAGCAGCCGCTGATGGTGACGCAGCGGCGACATGCTTGGGGCGGCTTTGGGAAACGGCAAGCAAGGTCGACCTCATGCCTCCCAATGTGAATCACATGGACTTTGCCTTTGCCAATGACAACATCGTCGCTACGGAGGACGTGTCCACCGAGGACCTTGCCAAGAGTGTCGTGGACGAAAGTGCTGATGACACTGCCTCCGACGACGATTGTGACGACGGTCGCATTTCGCAGCCAGTGACCTCGGGAGCAGCCGTTGCTGCGGTCGACGTGCTGCGAATGTACTTCGAAGGTTCCAATCCAAGCTTTGATCTGCAGTTTGACAAGTTTGAGGCCGCGATCGTTAAACGCTCGCTCGCGAACAGCGTGCAGGGAACCCTAGATGACTTCTTGTAGAAGGAATAAACACGTTTCCCCAGGTGAACAATTTCTTTTTCTTTAGTTCGGATATAACGAAATAGTGGATATAGCGAAATGATTTTCAATTCCCGCCGACTTTGTTATAAACGGGCTAGACCGTATACCTATGAGCCGTGGCATGTAAACAACAAATTTGTCGCAGCTATTCTGATTCAGGGAATTTATAAATCTGCTTGCTATATAAAAATATTCTTTCCTCAGTTTTGGCTTCAGTCAAATTCAATTTCAATTTAAAAACAAACAACAACAAAAAAGCATGAATGATGAACGGCGGTTGTCAAGACATGACTTCCAAATATACAGGGTGTTTCACAAAAAGTGGACAAATTCAATATTGCAAAAACTACTCATCGCAACTAAAAAAAGGCTTGTGTCGTTTTGGTCCTGGGCCAAAGGCCTATGTAGGAAAATTATTTAAATCCGGTATAACCAGATTGTTAATTATGTTTGTATAATTAACTTTCTAATATTGTGTTTAAGGGCATAGTTTCAGTTAGAATATTGCTCAGCATCATCGAAAAACATTAAATCCACAAATTGCAGAACGATAGAAGACGCGCGCAGAATTTTACGGCTTTCTGAAAAACCGCACGAATTCAACGGGTTTTTAAATTTCGGTTATCAGTCAAAGCGCATCTGGGCCCTGGTGGCACCGCGCCCCATGGAGAGATAGTGCAACCAACCTCTGCTGCGCTCTCATCGCGCGACGCAGCTGAGGCTGGTTGCACTCTCTCTCCACGGGGCGCGGTGCCGCCCGGGTCGAGATGCACACCGATTGCAAACCGAAACTTAAAATCCTGTCTAATTTGTGCGGTCTTTCAGAAAGCCGTATAATGCTGCACGTGCCTTCTATCATTCTGTAATTTGTCATTTAGTGTTTTTCGATGATGCTGAGCAATATTCTAATTGAAACCATGCCCTTAAAAGAATACTAAAAAATTTAATTACACGAAAATAATTAACAATCTAATTATCCCGAACTGTAATAATTTTCCTAAATGGGCCCCTGGCCCAGGACCAAAACGACAGAAGCATTTTTTTGTTGCGACGCATAGTTTTCGCATAATCAAATTTTCCACCTTTCGTGAAACACCCTGTATAGTACTCATGCATAATTGCGGCGGGTTAGCCGCAATTATGCACAGGTGCTCGATGCACAGGTGCATCGAGCACCTGTGCACTGCAAGGAAGCAATACTTGCAAGTGCTGCGGGTATTCCTTTGCTGCAGTGCACAGGTGTTCGGTGAGAAGCGCATTCAGTGCTGCTAACTCGCTGCAATCAACTCTACGAAAAGTTGGAATATTGCAGTTAATCTCGAAGTGAATCTTGTATTGTGTATTATTCGAAACTACTATTAGAATATTCACAGAACACTATCGTTTTGCAATAGCTTGCCACCCTATGGAGAGTCAGTCTTGGGAATTTTACGCATCTTTCACCTAGCAAAATTTAGTACCTCCAAAATAAACCTAGTCTATAGTAAGTTCCTGCTCAAAAAGGTAGGGTGAGGGAAAGGAAGGTTAGGAAGGAGGAAGCAGACTGAACTCTGGAGAAGAGGAAGGGAGGGAACCTCCTCTTTCCAGCATTCTGTCTGCTTCCTCCTCTCCAGCCTTCCTTTCCCTCGCCCTACCTTCTTGAGTTGCGATGGACCATAGCTTTGGCAAAAGGCCTGATCGATCTGGCAAAACAAGAAACATTGTTTGCAGTAATAATTACTGTGAACAGTGTCTTTTCTTTTGCCATCTTGATTCACCAGGTTGCCAGCTTGATTGTCACTCTTAGCACTAACTAGAAGGTTCTTACTGTTCAAAAAGCTTATTGCTTTTGTATCGAACATTGATTCTACGCTGCAGCGCAAGAAATCTACGGTGTTTTGCGTCCTAAACAATGAAAACCTCCTTTCGCCCATTTTTCCTAACCAGAGCGCTCCCTTTAGATTGCTGGAGTCGCCATTAGAAAGATAGTGCTGATGCACCGTGAAGATGCCCTTACAGAGTCTCTTCCTAGGGAGAAACAGTGAGCTACACCAGATCTTTTTTGGTGCATTGCACATTTTTAAGCAAATACGAGACTCCTTCATTTTGTGCTATTTGGAGAGTGTTATTTATGCGGAAGTGTAGCGGGCCAACAGTGGGTCCTCGGGGAACATTTATTGGATATTTACGGGAAGGTGAACTAATGCTGTTCGCTTCGACTGACTGTTTTCTATTAAGAGATTCTCGAGTTTAGTACCTTTTTGTCCGTTTTATACGCAATCTTTTTTTTTTTCTTTCTGGAAGACGATTGCATAAGAGACGGTTGAAGCTTTTGAGGAAGTGTCTGTGTATCGAACCGAGCGCTTGGAAGTGAAATGAGGCTTGCAATGATTGAGTTCTGCCAACCGACGGGCCGTTTCAGATGCAGCCTCTGCACCCGGACGGCCGCGCGGTGACGGAGCAGGCCTTTGTCCGCTCGGGACTGCTGGGCTTTGTGGGACCGGTGGGTGTCCGGGGGGAGGGTGCTCTGTGGGGCGCCGTCCCGACAGTCCCGTCCATGCCCAGGGGGGCCTGGTGTTCGTCTGCGGCAGCCGGGACGGCCTGATGCAGGTGAGCAGCCGCAAGCACAACACGGACGACGTGATCGCCACCGTGCTGGCTGTGGAGCCCATGAAGTTCATCTACCGCGGGAGGCAAGTGGAACTTGGGAGGGGGCCAGCAGGGACCCCCCCCGTGAGATCCCCCTCTGCTCGCAGGATTGCAGTCTTCTCGGTCAAGGTGCTTCGCGACGAACGCATCTGCGTGGTGGCTGAGCAGCGGCCCGACTGCACCGAGGAAGAGGTGTGTCTGGCAGACTCTTTCTGGAGGTTCTGGGGTGCAAGGTTGAGTTTGTGCGTCGAGCGCGACTGGTCAAGGACTGTTGGCTTGACATTGACGGCACAATGGGACCGCGTCTGACGAGCTGGTATCTGAAACCGACGGACGGACATGTTTGCAGTGGCAGGGTGCGCTTCTCGCGCAAGCATGTCGGGCCCGCAGCGTCGCCGAGTCGTTCCAAAAGTGTTTACTCGGTACTGTAATGTAAAGTCGGAAGCGGGGTGCTGTGGAGGCGGCAACCGCTCTTGGCGGGCGTGCGTCATTCTGTGGCGCGGTGGCAATTAATTTTGGCTCTGTCGTCGGGTTTTTCTCTGGGCTCAGTATGGGCGCGAGGCCATGGTGGAAGCTGGTGGCGCTGTCACTGACTTTCACCTCGGCCTCGCGCTCGTGTTCCCGCAAGAGACCCTTTCCGCAATTCAGTCTGGCCACTTTGATAACTATCGTCACCTATGTGTATCGTCTGTACATGTGAATGGCGGCCTTTTGGTGGATGCTAAAGAAAGAATTTGAAAACTGACCCCTATTATAAGCTTGAACATCCCAGACGTTCGTTGTGTCTTTGTTGTCACTGTGATGTGACTTATAAGCTTCTGTGTGCTATGCATTTGAGGGCGTCATGTAAATCTTTGGAACGCTCGGCTTCAGCACCCCAGACAGCTCATGCTCATGACAGTAAAATGTGGTGAATGTTATGAAGAGTTATTAAACTAAGCACCTCGTACAAAGTGCTAGTTTTTTGACACCAATGAAAATGAAACGAATGGAGAAAACAATGTACAGCAAAAAACGCGGTAAATTTCGTATGCCTGCCGTTGATGAATAGGTACTATATCTTTACTGCCATTAGCATACAAAGATGTGGACTGATATTTGGGGCACCAGATGGCACCAAATTTGTGAAAGGGTCTATTGTGGGAAGGGTGCGCGCAGAAATACCTTGGTGGTAAACTAGTTTTCTGCGACATCTCTTGTCGTCGAGTCCACCACCAATGTTACAATGAGGCCAGGTACAATCATTTTTTATGCGAATGTTTAGTTACGGGCAAAACATAATAAAAAAAAGCTAATAGTGGACCCAACGTTCATCATGCGGCATTTCAGTTTTTGTTTTTCATGTGTTTTATATTTAACTTTTTTAATGGCCTTTTTATTTATCTTGAAGTTTGGGTTGTGTAGTTCACTCGACCGATTTGCCAAGTAGACTTGTCCTTTACAGCATTGAACGTTACCAAGGGCGCGCAATGTCCGGAGCTCCTGCTTGTAAGCAAAAATTCACCAAATTCTTGCACTGTCGTGGCAAAGGCAGTGGTAACACCGAATGTATCGTTAATTGCCTTGCACTAGCATTGCGCAGACAAACTACCCATTTTGTGCCTCTACAGGTAGAAAGTCGTGCGTAGCGTTTCTAAAAGGCCTTGCCGAAGCTAGTGCTGCAGCGGGAGTGCAACGTGAAGTTGGTGTATGTGCAAGTGTGCTCGCTCAACATGCATAGATAGCAAGGCCACAGCGGAGGATTTTCCACGTCTCCTAGCGGTGTCATTGTGGGGCCTTGATTGGACACGAGTGCTGCGTCCGGCTGCGACTCGTGTCAGTGGAGCACCCAGCTCATTTGAGGTCTCACTGCCTTGCGTAGTAGCTTTCGTTTATTTATTTTGTGCATTCATACTTCCTTTCATCCAAAATGTTGTCTAAGTTGACATCCTTTATTTGCTTCGATTGTGTTGCTTTCATGCTTTCGTGGGTTTGATGTATCCTTGTGCCGATTGATTGCCGATTTTAGAGCGCAGCTCTTAGGGGCCCGTTCCCGGCTTGAGCGGCGTCGCCGTCGGCGTAACCAAGGTCATCCCAAGGTCACGTGGCCCCCCAAGGTCATCCCAAGGTCACGTGACCCCCCTGAAGTCACGTGACCCCCCGAGGTCACGTGACCCCCCCGAAGTCACGTGACACCCCCAGGTCACGTGACCACCCCCGAAGTCACGTGACACCCCCAGGTCACGTGACCACCCCCAGGGTCACGTGACCCCCGCCGAGGTCACGTGACCTCGCCGATGACGTCATCGTCACTGATGACGTCACCGGCATCCGCATCGTCATCGTCATCAGTGATGATGACGATGACGATGCGGATGGCGGTGAGGTCATCAGTGACGTCACTGATGACGTCATCAGTGATGATGACGATGACGATGCGGATGCCGGTGACGTCATCAGCGACGTCACTGGTGACGTCAGCAGTGATGATGACGATGACGATGCGGATGCCGGTGAGGTCATCAGTGACGTCACTGATGACGTCATCAGTGATGATGACGATGCAGATGCCGGTGACGTCATCATCACTGATGACGTCATCAGTGATGATGACGATGCAGATGCCGGTGACGTCATCAGTGACGTCACTGGTGACGTCAGCAGTGATGATCACGATGCGGATGCCGGTGAGGTCATCAGTGACGTCACTGATGACCTCATCAGTGATTAGGACGATGACGATGCGGATGCCGGTGACGTCATCAGTGACGATGACGTCATCGGGGAGGTCACGTGACCTCGGCGGGGGTCACGTGACCCTGGGGTTGTTCACGTGACCTGGGGGTTTCACGTGACCTCGGGGGCATCCGCATCGTCATCGTCATCATCACAGATGACGTCATCAGTGACGTCACTGATGACGTCACTGACATCCGCATCGTCATCGTCATCATCGCTGATGACGTCATCGGAGTCCACATCGTCATCGTCACTGATGACGTCATCAGTGACGTCACTGATAACATCATCGGCATCGTCACGTGACCCCCCAAGGTCATGTGACCCCCCCCAGGTCACTTCACCCCCCCAGTACCCTTCCCTCCTGCTCCTCAAGAGCTGCGCTCTAATTCGGTGTTACAGGGAGTTGTAAACGGCTTTCACTTTTTTTATTTCCTGCATATTGTATCGTTTGAATGCCTGTTTACTGATATGTTTTTTGTTTCTTTTCTTCAACTTAAACTGTATAGCCACATAGTTTTTCCAGTGTACTATGTTTTGTTCTCATTTATTTTCTGTACCCCCTCCAACGTGGGACTTAAATGGCCATATATCCTCTAAATTTGCTTTGCTTTAAAAGGTCTTTAAATAAAGACCGAAGGAGTGAGTGCCCTTAGCACTCTGCTGTTTTGTCATAAATTTAAGAAAAAGAGAACACAAGTTTTAGCCAAATGCTGAAGCAGCACCCATGCCCAATCTGCTTCATGCTGGCCTACTGTAGGCATTGTAGGAAAGGTGGTTCGAAAGGGGACTGAGCGGTGTGTGTGTGTGTGTGCAGAGCTTCCAGTGGATGAGCCGGGTCCTGCAGGCAGTGGACAGCATCCACCAAGTGGGCATCTACTGCCTGGCTCTGGTGCCCCCAAACTACCTGCCCAAGGTGGGTAGCTACCCCCCTCCTCTTTGCACAGGCTTTGGGCAAGGTTTCACTAGAGTAATTAAATGGCAGGAGTATCGCCCTTCTTTTTTTTTTTTTTTTGCCACCAACTCCTCATTGGTGGAGAAGGGGTCACATTTGCTTGACGAGGCGCTTGCGGAGCGCCGGGTTTGGAGCGGGGTACAGTAAACTCTCACTTGAGCGAACGTCTGTTTAACAAATATTTCAAAATAACGAACTTTTTATGCAAAAATGTTTCAGTTAAACGAATTTTGGAATAGTGAATATTTCAGTTCAAGGAACTTGATCGGTGGACCCAGGATTATTCTTGCAGTCAGTTCAACGAAGTTTTGTGCTCTGCAGTGCTGGTGTAGCCGATGCCCGCCACCCCGCCGCCAGCAGTGGCGGCGTATCATTGCTGGCGTTTACAGTGCCGCCGAGGCAAACCAGCAGTGCGGTAGACGAAAACGAACCATGTGGTTTGTCTGTTTTTTCTTTGCCATGGGCTCCATTCGGCCATCTTAGTTTTGGGTAACAACGGTTGGTTGGTTTAGTTTAGTTTGCAATGGGGCACAATCTGGGCTTGCCGGCAGAGCACACTTTGTGTAGGCTTTAACTTGCTGCCCTGTGAGTTGCGCCACACCGCGGTGATAAAACCAAAACCAAATTGCCTTGGAAAAAGAAAAGTGGGAAGGAAAGGGGAGCGAAGAGGCGAAGATAAAGGAAGCCATGGCGCGAGCGAGCATTGAGCAGTGGAAAAAAAGTCCTCTTGGCTTTCTGCTCTCTGCCACTTACTGCCTGTGGAGAGAACCGCTGCACGGTGCGCCTTCGTGGTGTCTGTTTATCTTGTGTTTCTCCTCAGCAGAGTAACCCCTCTGCCGGCTGCGCTCTGCAGCTCCGCTCTCCTTGTTTGAAAGAGTGGCGGCAGTGGGCGATAATAAGGCAATATGGTGGTGATGTGCAGGCCTGCTAAGTATGATGGTCTGCAGCCATGTGCGCAGGCAAAATCGCATCGTCATCCTGTGGCATAATGAAGCGGCGGGCGGTCAGTCAGAACAATGGGCGGTCAGTCAGAGCGGTGGGCTGACCTCCATGGGGAAGTACCCTGGATGTCACGCTCCAGGAAGGAGGGGCTTCAGTGGTACTTTGAAAATTAATTCTGCACCCTCCGTGCACCAAATTGAAAAATAATCTCTGTTTGTGATCCCGGAGGCCGAATGAAGACTACTATTTAAGTGTTTTCTCAAATACAGAACCGCTTCAGTTTCCCTTTAAGCAAACATTTTCGTAATACTTATTTGCTTTAGAGATGTGTGAATTTCACGATTTTGAATTTTTGACTGTGCATCAAATTTGAGTACTAATTAGAAAATGACTGCAAGTGGAATGTGATTATTTTACATTTAATGTCAATCGAGCTTGGATACTTAGTGCATGGCAGCTGGAGTTCTTTTTCAGCAAATATACATATGAAAAGGAAGTTTTATTGCTTAAGAAACATTTCACGTAGTGCTTGTATTGGGCCGTGATAAGAGGAGATGGATAAAACGTTTGAATGTTATGTGCCAGGCAAAGCAGTGAATACTTCATTTATTGAAACGAAGGCTGATAGGTTTCTTTTCGGCATTGTACTATGAAGTTATAGGGGTCAAACTATAATCGTAACCAAAGAAGAAGGTTCACCTACAGTAATATGCAAAATTTTCAGACTCATTGAGCAAACCGAGATGCTCTGCCATGCAAGCAGTTTCTCCAACCATGTTGATGCAATGCGGTGAAGCTTGACGCACGTGCGCCAATATGAAGCTTTGCGGCTTGATGCAAGTGTACTGGTGCAATGCGGTGAAACTTAACACAAGAAACGGGAATTCTGAAGATGTCATTCGTAATTTTTTAATAGTCAAAACACTCGAATAGTTTAAACAGTCAATGCGTGCTGCAGATCAAATGGCATATCAAACACTGTTCGTGAATTTTTAAATTGTTAGAACTTTCTCGTTTTATTTGCATATCTCTATTAATGAGGCATTTCACTGAAATAGATGTCGTGATTTTGACAGTCTGCATTAGTTTAGTGCAGGCATGCACCTCTGGTTGAAAGATGAAATTCGGGGTTGGGGCATGGGCTAGTAAAAGAGCGAGAGTTCACTTTTTTTTTTTTAGAACCCCCAACCACGCCATAAGCTGCTAAATAAATAAAAACTAAATGAAAGTGGTGCGGTAAAGATGCTGATCAAATTTTATTTTCGCCTTGCCCTATTTTCAGAAAAGTGACCACTAGTTTCTTTTCGGAGGTCGCAACCTCTAAAGCAAGTGAATGATGCCATCTCAGGCGTACACAAACCGCCGCATGCCATCAAAACGTGGCATTTCTGCACATGCTCTCACACGCAGCTTGGCGCTTGCAACACCGTTGCCTTCATCCGATGTATCGATATTGGGTAGTTAACTTTTCTACTTCATCGTGTCACAGACGGCGATTTTGTTGTCGGCGTTTGACGTGGCCTACAGATCCACGTGTAGATTCCAAACGTGTCAAAACCTGTTGCAAAGCAATTTTTATAGATGGCACATACAGATAATGGTGAGGGGCAACTAGCCGTAAGCAGGCACCGAAAGATGGCTTACAAAATGAGTTGAGAAAAACGGTGAACCGCGATTTCCACATCACACGATCTCGGGGTGGCTCTGCCCTTTGAATCTCCATGTGTATGCCGAGTGGGTGTGAGCGTGCATCTTTTGTTAACCCTTTGAGTTCAGAGTTTTTTTTCCCTGCATTGCCATACACAGATTTGGGTCTCGGTAACGCTGAGCATGCTATGTGAAAAAGATGTTTATTTATAGAAGACACACTATTTTGTGGGCAATAAGTTATAATTGATGTCTGCATGCTTCCAACCTATGACATATTTCTAGGGTGACTATAATCTACAGCGTAGAAAGCGAGACATCTGGGGGAGCGGGGCGGGACCCGGGAGCGGGGCCGAAAGGAAAAGCAAGCTCTGCTACTATTCCGTTCTCTATACAAATGCACATTTTTCCAAAGTTCTTAGTTTAGTTGAGTACGCTAGCACCTTTCCTCTTCATTTTTAAAGAAACCCGAGGTATGCCAAATATAGAAATGTAAATAACTGCCTCAAACAAACATCTGTGCAAACAGAATGTATTGAACGATGGAACCACAGAAAGAGCTCTAAATTTACTCTGAAAGGAAACTTCCACTCACTTGGCACTCATTTCCACTCACTTAGTACATATTTTTTAACTATGTATGCGTGTACATTCCCACAAAAACGAGACATGAGGCTTCATTGAGAATAAATGACGAGACGGTGGAAATGCATGTCTAAAATGAGACTGTCCCGTCCAAAACAGAATGTCTGTTCACCTTACATATTTCTCGTATTGTTTTGTGGTCGCAAAGCTAGCAAGGTGGACCGAAAGACGTGTTCCCTTCACGAGCACCAGATGAAGACTTCCCACTCGGCGAGTTGCCTTCACGTTGGCGAGGGAGAGGCCATTAAGACGTCTGGCTCTTAAAGGGGCACTGACACCCCAAAGGTCGTATTTATTTTTATTGTCTAAAACGATGCAAGTTGCAGTCATAGACACGCAAAAAAAACCGCATCGCGAAAAAAAATTTTCCCGCGCGCGCGCGCGCCTTTTTATTTTGGGCGTTTGATTTTCCCGCCTCTCGCCTCCTCGCTTCTTTTGATCGGTGACGTCAAAAATCAGGAAATTTAGAAGCTTTGTAGGCGACATCTCTAGAACATTTAATTACGACAATCCTAAAACATGTTTTTTAACGCAATTGCGAACGCACTACGGCCCTTCTTTTTGAAATACCAAAAATCGGGAGGTCGTTGTGGTGTCGTCTCCTGGACTTGTGTCCTCCAACGGAAAACAGGCGACACCGCTCAAAACCGGTCCGCGCCGCCGCTCACTCCTTTCCTCCTCGCTTTGGGTCGCCATGGCAACAGCAGGGAGTGGTGAAAGGAAGTCGACTCTCAGGTCTCCTCAATTTTTGACGTCAAGGCACCGGCGCCGATCGCGCGGGAACTTCGAATTCGGCATTTGGAAATTGTTTTTTTACTTCACGAATACTGAATTCCCAAATCTCAAATTTTGTGGGTAATGTCCCGGCATCGTTTTCAATCGTTTCGGATAATAAAAAAAAATATGATTTTGATGTGTCAGTGCCCCTTTAAGTTGATGGTCCCGCGATGCTCGGGCACAGAGTTCTTCTGCTCCGGAATGCACGGTACCAAGTTTTACCCCAGCGGCCGCTGTCCGCTTGCGTGGTCTACGTTGCAGTACCATCCACGTCTGGAGCTTGTCTACACGAGCTGCCACAGCACTCCCTTCCCAGTGAGCAGGCGAACGTTGTGCTTTGTTGGGAATGAGCCGATCTGGCCAGTGAACTCTGTGGCCGTAACGCGTCGTTCGTCCCGGAAGGGGATTCTGAGCGGCCGTCGGAGAGCCCTGCTTGCCCCGGGGGTCTGGCACAGCTGCAGGTTTGGGGTTGAGGAATGAGGAAGCCGAGAGTGTTTTGTTGTGGTTGCCTCCTTTGACGTTCGTGGCGGGTTCTGTTGTCATGTACCTGGGGAGTGATGTCTCAATGTGATCAGGCTTGAGACGGTCCAAACAAATCACCTCCTCCGGGCCTCTAACTTGGAGTGTGAAGTGTTTTGGTCCGCGTTTTAACACGCGGGAAGGACCGTCGTAGGGGGCCTGAAGCAGACGCTTGATGGTACCGTGCCTGACAAAAACGTGCGTGCAATGTGTCGGGTTCTCGCTGACATGAGGGCGGCTGCTGTTTGATGTCCTCGTGGCCGTTGGTTGAAGGCTGTCCATCATTGCACACAGTCGGTCGGCATAGTTTGTTGGATCTGGCAGTCGGTCTTCCAATTGCTCGAAAAACTGCCCGTACATCAGCTCCGCGCTAGTGCTCCTAAGGTCGGACTTGTACGCCGAGCAGGTGCCGAGGAGAACTAGCGGTAAGGTCTGTCCAGCGGGTGCTGTCACCGTGTGCAGTGAGGGTGGACTTCAAGTGGTGATAGATTCACTGGACGAGACCGTTGGCTGAAGGGTGGTAGGCCGTGGTGTGCAGGTGCGTCGTGCCAAAGAGTTGCGTCCGCTTCCTGAACAGATTTGACTCAAACTGGCGATCCCGGTGAGTTGTGACCCTGGACGGCACTCCGAAACGGGAGATCTATGTCGATATGAAACAGCAAGCAATGGTTGGCGCTGTAGCATCTATGATTGGGACGGCTTTTGGCCAGCGTGTCAATCGATCCACCATGGTGAGTAGATACATGTAACCTTCTTATGGTGGAAAAGGCTCTACGATATCTAGGTGCGCATGCTCGAATCTGTTGTCCGGCAGTGGGAAGTTTGCTAGGGGCGTGACTGTGTGCTGGTGAACCTTGGAGCGTTGGCACTGAAGGCAGGCCTTTGCCTACTGCCGGACATCCCGGTTGATGGTGGGCCAGACAAATTTTGTGGTCAGCAGGCGCTGAGCTGCCTTGATTTCCGGATGGGAGAGTTTGTGAAGGGTGTCGAACACCTTGCGTCGATAAGGTTCGGGTACGTAAGGTCGAGGCGTTCCGGTGGAGATGTCGCACAGGCGCTCCGTGTCGCACATCGGTAGTGCGACCACCCAGAACTCGAGTCCACCTGGTGCGTTACACAGGTTCTGCAGCTCGCTGTCCGTCTGCTGAGCGCTCGCCATTTCCTTGAAGTCGACCACTGCGGAGGATTCTAGATGGCAAATGTTTGCACTGGAGAGCGCGTCAGCAACGACGTTGTCGCGACCTTGGATGTGGCGAATCTCAGATGTAAACTGTGCAACGCAGGACATCTGATGCAGCTCCCATTGGGAATGAGTTCCACCGTCCGGCCGCCAGTTGCGGAAGGCGTGCACAAGTGGTTTGGGGTCGGTCATTAGGGCAAGTCGCGACCTTCCATGAAGTGACAGAAATGCCCTACTGTCAAGTACACTGCCAGCAGTTCACGACCGAAGGCACTGTAACGTTGCTCGGTTGGTGAGAGCTTACGTGAAAAGAACGACAACGGCTGGGGCTACCCGTCAACCGCCTGCTGTAGCACTGCACCCACTGCGGTGGCGGAGGCGTCAGTCACGGGTTAAGCAATGCGTTTTCCTTTGGTTGCGCCAGCATTGTGCACTCTACGAGTTGCTCTGTGGCGCGGTGAAATGCCTGGTGGGCAGTGTTGTCTTACTGAAGTTCTGTCATTGGGTTGTGCTTTTCTTCCAACAAATCGGTGAGTGGTTTAAGTTTCTCGGCGCAGTTGGGTGAAAAGTGGCGGTAGAAATTGAGCATTCCCAAAAACTCGCGTAGCGACATTGACAGCCTGCATCTGGAGCTTGTCTACACAAGCTGCCACGTTTTTTGTTTTTTTTTCGAGATCCAGTATTATACAGTGGTACCTTGACCTTGCACCTTGAGGTCGCTCTTTTGAGCTGCCTTACTCTGCCTTTGTTTATTTGGCACTGTAATTGTTTTCACAGTCGTTGAATACAGAGTTAATTTCTAATCTCTACATCTCAATGCGTGTCATGAAGTGCGAGGTTGAGCAACATAGATTCACTATTCTGTAACAACGAAGGAGCATACCATACGTGACGTCGCTAGATAAGACATTGTTTTCATTGCTTGCTCATAAATGCTGCTACAGAAAAGAAAAACTGACAGCCCAGCTTCGATTTTGGCCAGCTTGACACGTGCTGCCCGGGGGTGCCATGGTGGGCGTTGATGAGAGCGGGTGTTCCCCGTTTCAGACCCCGCTGGGCGGCATCCACCTGCCCGAGACGAAGCGCCGCTTCCTTGAGGGCAGCCTGCACCCGGCCAACGTGCTACTCTGCCCCCACACCTGTGTCACGAACCTGCCCAAGCCCCGGGAGACCCACCCAGGTAGGCTGGGTTTGCGGTTGGGTTCCGTCTCGAGGGGGGTCTGGGTAGCGGTCAGGAACGGGACCCGAGCAAGAAAGCGTGACTCGGCAGCCAGACATTTTGCTCCGCCGAGAGTTTGTTCTGCACATGTCTTCCTTTTGCCTTCAAGAGGCACTGGACGCTTGTTCCTGAGAAAATGAAGGCCTCAGTTTTTCTCACTTCCCGCTTCCCCGGGAATTCCTATTGTCCATCGTGTCATTTTTGCTCATCTTTCGACCGGCCGTCGGTTGCCGGATATGGAGGCAATAAAGAAATCTGGTGGCATGTCTGGTCTGCACGCATAACTCTGTTCGGGATGTGCTGTGTGTCAAGTGTGAAATTGAGTGTGAAGCGAGATTTTTGTGGGAGGCGAGTTGCGGTGAAACTGACACGGAGCATTCTTCATTTGTCATGCACTCCAGCGGACCTGTCGCAAGATTCTTCAAGTAACGTTTCCCCACCCCCTTTTGTTGCATGCCCTTGCTTGCCTTGCTGTTTCTTTGCCACTTTGCTCGAATGTGTGGCACCTGTTGTGTGTGTGCTGAACGGGCTATTGACATTGTCCACCTGGAGGAAAAAAAAAAAAAAAAAACTCGGGCTAGTTTGGCTAAGATGGCCTAAGTATTAGCGATGGGGGGGCAAAACACCCGAGGTTCGGTTTTTTACAGTTCCAGAGATGTCCCCAACATTGTGGTGTAAAATATTGACAGTTCCTGCATTTTAAACAGTTTCACCAAGCTGTCTATACAGTGTATACAGCACTGTTCATTAAGCATGCAAGATTTGTATGAAAACATTAAATTTCCTGGATATTGGGAGTCAATGCCCAACAGTTGGGCAGCCAGTGCCCAACAGTGACCATGTTCACAGCCGTGGCTCTAAGTGAGTGCACTGTCAATTTGGTCTTGACCAGGGCTGTAAAAGTTGATTAAATGTCTACCTAACATACCGTTGCATCGCTAATGGCAGTATATTTCTACCATACTTGCCTAGACACTTTTTTCCGAATGAATCTTCCATAAAATGGGGAAAAAATAGCAATATTTATGCAAGTGCTTACTATCAACTTTTTGAGGATTGTAAAAAGTACATGTCGTGTCCACTCTTCTTAACCGAGAGCAACTATCCACCAAAATAGTGGATAGTTGCTCTGGGATAATTTTCTTTTACAAAAACGTGTAAACTAAAAAAAAAAAAAAAAAAAAAAAGATTCCAGATTTTTTTTTGGTCCAGGGGCCCACGAATCTACCACTCTCTCTCCGTACTCTCCTTTTCTTAATGTTGACCCCCCCCTCAACAAAAAAAACAAACGAAAAAACTCCCCTTTCCCACATTATTGTGGCTAAGGCATAGGTAATAGTGTATTGCGTGTTGCTTCATGGCAACATAGTACAAATGAACCTAATAACTTGGTACAGATTTTGTGCCTCGACGATGCGAACATGGTCTTGCGTGGCATCTCTGAAAAGAAGGCCTGCCAAGGTTAGTGCTCCAGTTGGAGTCTAACGTTGTGGTTGCACATCCCAGCTTTGACCCCGCCGTTTTGAGTCTCCTCGTTGGAAGCACATGCTTGTTTCCTTTCCCTTCCTGCACACTCACCACATGTCCATTGCCTCCTAGATGATGAGAACGTAGTATGTTACCTACCAGAAGGTAGTGCAGGTAACAGACTACGCACGAGTGTTTTTGGTCAGCGTTTGGCTTTGTATTCAGTCAGTGAGGGCGAACTCGGACGCTGCACTCAGGCAACGCTCTTCCGTTCCAGGAGTAGAAGCCAGCCATATAACGTGCTTAGCATGCGTGCGTTGTGCAACTGCCGAGCAGATTGTCTCTGGTTACGCTATATAGTATGTCCTTTTACCTTCCCATTGAGCTCTCTTCTTGGAGAATTTAATTTAGGTTTACCTCTATTTTGGAGCATTTACTCTTCTTAATTTCGAGATCACTAGACACGGCACCGTGGGCCTCCATGGTAGGGGCTAGAGTGCCTTCAGCGGCACATGGAAGTGATAAACAAAAACCGTGAAGATCTAATTTGTAACGCGAAACGTTTTTGGGGTAATTGACTTTAAGTCTTTGAGGGATTTCTGTAAATGCCATAGTTAATTGTTTTTGCACTTTTTTTTTTTTTTTTCAAGTAAAAGGGCTAGAGAAGTATTTGTTTTTTTGTAGGGAAGTTTCTTAATCGGCTGCCGTCATCCCTTTTGCCGTTTTGACTGAGCAAGCACCCATGCTCTTGTTTTAAGCTATTTTTACTAAAATTTGAGGGGAGCATTTCTTCGGTATTTTAGGATAGATAAAGGTGCAGTTGTTTCAAAAATATGTTTTTGTTCTCCAATATTTTTTTTGTTTTTAAGATTGAGGAAGCAGTGTGATAATTATTGTGGGGCTGGCATTGTAGCAACATTAATAGAAGTGTGCTAATATTCCTGTTTCACTTTTCAATCAAATAGTGATTAACTAAATCATTCTATTTGACTTTTGGATTCCTGGTATTTGAGTTTCCAGGTAGTTGACAGATTTGACAGGACTGCTCTACAGAATCTGGGTTTCTTCAAAAACAGTGTCCATATGGTGACATATTCCTTTTGGGCCTCTGCTTGATCTAGATCCAGACTGCATTGAGAAGCCTCAACTGACTAAACTTCATGATAGAAAGCAGTTCGTTTCTTGTATTTCTCTAAGGAACTTCTTGGACACGCTCGGTAAAGAGCTACAAACTATGCCAGTCGCCAATTTTAATACAAGTACCTTGTGTCGCCTGCAACGCTGTGAGCACTGCAAACTTGTACAGTTACCAGTAAATAAATGTACTTAGGTTTTCACCCTAAAAGCGCCTTCACACCCCAAAATAGATATTGTCTATGAGCTAAAATGACTGAAGACGTCGCTTAGACAACGCCATCTAACTTCGAAGATTTAGTACATCATATAACAGCATTTTTAAATCGGCTAGGTGGTTAATTTGTGATGGTCGCAGAAATGTTTTATAGATGCTGCTGTATATATTATAAAAAAGTAACTTTCGAAACTTCTGAATTACTTAATACTTTTTCGCTACATTATGTCATAGCACTTGACCCAGAGAGCAGAGGGTGCCGATAGCTGAGAAATGCATCGGAACATGAAAAGAAAATTATCTCGAAATTAGACAATAGAGAAAGTTTAAATTATGCATTTCAGGGTGTTGGATACTGTTTTGGTACACAAGTATTCCACAGTTAAGGAACCCATTTAGGCTTCCGTACTTGGATCGCTCTTCTGAAACTTCACAAAACCGATCTCTCGGGCTTGGATGTCGTGTCAGGAAAGTTTGTGCCCCATTGCTTTATACAAAACTAGTTTGTCTCAAGATTTCTCTCTTCTAAAGAAAATATCTACACATCCTTAGCATTGGAACTCTCTTGCAGGGTCTGCATTGGGAAGTGTATGGAGGAAACTGCTCCTTGACACCCTGGGAGAGAGGGGCTGGGTTTTTACCTTTTTCCTTCCTTCCTTTTTTTTTTTTTTTTGCAATGTCAATGTCCTGTTTAGCACGCCTTTAAAGAACTACTACCAGGCAAAAGGAAAATTTTTTTCTTGGCCAATTAAAATTCCTATAAAAGACAAATTATGACACCGAAAGTTTTGAAAACAACCCTATATCTGTGAGAGACGATTGAAGCTTAACTTCCACTACAAATTAGTAGGTTTGAGCTGCTGTGCTCCAGTCATGTTTCTCTCAACCAGGGCATCTGAAAGAACTAAACAAAACTTGGGACGAGCAAAGCTGCTGCTGGTGCCTTGGCACCTTCTTGAAATGCTAAGAATTCTTTCCTTTCAGCTTGTTTGTTCTCATCTTTCACCAATTTATATGGACCGACGTAATTCTGTTAGCTAGGTATCTGCGAGGAATGGGGCCTGATGACTCGGAGCCAAAACACAACCTATAACTATTTGACTGTGCTCGCTAGGGGTGCTGCTCGAGACTCAAACGCCAAGGCCCTTTTCGGTCCATAAATGCTCGAATGACGCACAAGTGCAGAGATGCAGGGACGAAGTAACGCCACGATTGCATCAAACTATATCCGTCTGCGTTGAGCGCGCCGAGCTACCTGGAGGTGCTTTCGATTGCGATGGCCAAACAAAGGATGCAAATTTGCTCGTTTCTCTCGTGGCATAGGTATTGGGTTGTTCTCTAAACTCGGTATGTTGCAAGTTCTTTGATGGAGATTTTAATTGTCCAATAGAAAACGATTTCATTTTTGCTAGTTACTGGTCTTTTGAGAGAAGGACCATTTGTGTAGAAGTGGATTGTCTTTATTGTCGTTAACTAATGGTCCGCTGATCTTACCACCCCCGATAGCGCTGTTGCAGCAGTTGAGTGTCGTGACGATACAGTTCTGACCGTCGTGATAATACACTTCTGGCGCTGCTTGATTGGCGCTGTCGGACGTAACATTGGCCGCAGTTCGACTTAATCTGAAATGGAGTATGGCCTATTGACGTCGGGAAACCCGGTACACATTTGGAATGGGTCGGGACCAGGAATGGGCTCGATCCATTGGCAACTTATCAAAGGGCTTTTAACCTTTGCTCTGACCTTATTGTTGCTTACTTCTTTCGGGGCAGGCATAGAGCGCGACGAAAAATGGGCCGTTTTTTAAGCAGAGATGGAGCTTCTCTCGAGATCCTACCCAAATATGAAGGACAGTTTGTAGTATGAGTTTCTAAAGTAATTGATTTTATGTGATTCATATTCGATTTAATGCCTGTTCATTTAACATTTTTGCACCTTCATCGTTAAAATTTGCTGTTACAAATCTAATATGAACAATGCAAAGCACTCTCTTCAAATACTGAGTCGAACTTTGAATATGCGCATAATGTAGAAAGGGACTATGGTAGAAGTGTCTATTGAACATTATGCACAGCTTTCACTATCCTTAGAACTGTGTTTGGTGTGGCAGCTGTATACATTTTAAGTCCCTTAAGAAATTATCCCCAAGTTTGTCCGGCGTCCGTGCTCACATCGATTGCCATCCCATCTGTCTTAAAAGGGTACTCCGGCGATTTTCTGAAGGTCGCTGATTTGCCTCAAAATTGGCTGAACACACCGATAGACATGGCTCTACGAGTTCCCCAAGTATTTTCTGAAAAGAGACAAATATTCGCAAAGTTATTGAATTTTCGAATTTCATTTTCATTGTGTTTCTCAAACCCGGAGCCCTTACTGGCAACTTTGAAGTGTGACGACAGAAATGGTACAAAGTGGGCAGTAAGCCATGTTCCGTACTGATTACAAGGGGGAAAGAATGTTTGGTAACTGATTCACTGAGAAGCACGCAAAAAACACTCGACATACTCTGTTTAAGACTACATGCACGGCCTGAAAGTCTGTACCATGTGTGACGTCACACCACTGAAGAGCGCACGAAAATTCGAATGCTGGTTTCGGCATCATCTTCATTTACGGTTTTCTCAATTGATATTTTGAATTTCGAGAAAATAAATAGCATACCATGACCACTGAAATCCGGGTAGTGTGAAAATGCAATTTGTTTAGGTAGCTCAAAAAACAACCAAAGTGCCCCCTTTAAAAAAAAAAAAAAAAAAAAATGTTTGCGCAGTCGACAGGATTTGAACCTGTGCGGGGAGACCCCAGTGAATTTCTAGTCCATCGCCTTAACCACTCGGCCACGACTTCGGGACAAGTAGGGGGCTTTGAGATGTGGTACTAACTCAAGAGCTGGGGATGTCATGAATGAAACGTTGCATGTAGCCGCTCAACGTCTATACAGGAGAAGGCGCTGCGGTCAAATGCGTATATAATCGCGTTAAACTTTGCATGCATTGGCTCAACGTTTATAGACGAGAGGGCGCTGCGGTCAAATGCCCAAATGCGTATATAATCACGTTCCATACCACACATTCTCTTTCTGACATGGTCTGTTGACTTAAGCGGTGGAGATGCGTTCCCTCAGCTTCTAGCGGATCCAAGCTGATCCACTAGAGGAACCACTGGCTCTCACCAACTATAAAGCAATAACAATGAAGTCGAAATGCAACCCGGAACTCAGCACTACCTATGAGCCATAAAAAAAAAATCAGCACCATCAGCACTACCTATGAACAAAATCAGTATCATCAGCACCACCCGAGCTTTGCCCCAATCAACATCATTCACTATGTGGAGATGCGGTCATTTTTTTTGTTTTTTTTTTTTGTTTAGTTATCACTTTTATATGGGTGGGTGTAAAGTAGAACTAAATTAGCAGGAGCAGTGGATGGAAGCTTGGGAAGAACTTTAACGAGTTCGGCAGGATTGTTTTTCAGAAGGCATATTTATTTCACATGCCAATTTATGTTATGAAGTTCTGAATATAAATTGTAATTGACATTCACAATCAAATGACAAAAGCTTTGTTTTTTTTTTATCTGAATTAAGAATTGCAGGTTTCTAACAGCCTCTGGAACTTTGAAGAAACATTAATTTAGGTGCTCAAAATATTCTAATTTAAGAATATTTTTGATGATGGGTCAGCTTGAACTTCCAGATACAAAGGATGATACAAGACAGTATTTGCACTGTGCTACTCCCAGATAAGTCGTAGGAGGAGAGGGTAATGGTAAATTTAATTCCTTTGTGTAAATATTTTTTAAACCAATAGTTATTTTGTGTAGATGTGAACAGCCTCTGAAGAAGACCAGTATGTATATGAAGAAGTGTACTAAAGCCAAGTTGTTTGTCATCTTATTTTGCCTTGTCTCGCCCTTTCCAAGTTGAAGCTGACCCATCACCAACATGTACCAGCTAGCTCAACTAAAGCCTGCAACAATTTTTCAATGGGATTCCGTACCTGAAATAACCATCCACAGCAGTTTGTGGTGTCCTTCATCAGTTACCACTTTGTGACCGTGTCTGGTGCTTCTACACACTAAGTAGAGTTCTGTGTTTGAGGTAATCACTCCTGCTGTGCAGTCGATGCTAACAAAAAGTTGCACATAAATGAGACAGCAACGTAGACATTGCCTTTTAATTGGACAGGCCAACACATGGGTCTCAACTCTTTCCTGACCGCGTCCATAGGCCATCAATCACCGGTAATCGATAGTTTCCAAGCATAGTCAAGAAATTAAATTTAGTGCGCGGAATTGTATTCCACAATCTCATGAATAGCCGAAGAACTCTTGTTTTAATTTCAACGTAGGTTTGAGCTTTATCACAATCTGGTGGGCTGTCAAAAACAGTCCTGGGAATGGTGGTTGCACTTGTCTAACATGGCTAACTGATTGCATCAGTCTTCGTAACAAAGATGGCATTATTTACATAATTCAACTGTATTGTGGCATAATTTTTAGACCTCAAGAGCTGCACAATTTAAATGATGTTATAGGCGTCACTTAACCAATGTTTTTCTGTAAGCATCACTAAATTTCAATGCTTTCCTGAGCCGGCATGCACGTTTTGTGTTCCCAACAAGGCTGACCAGAATGCTAAATATGAAAGAACTGCAATCAGGGCTATGACAACGCCAAGATAGAACACAAAGAAAGCATTCTGCTGGGGATGTAAGGTGTACTATCTGTGTTTCACCGATATAAGCATTTCTTCGTTGAAAAGCAGACGTGTTAACTCTGACGAACCAAAAATAGACATCAGAGTACACTAACTTACAAAAGTAATAGCCGTGGGTGTGGGGCACATTTTCTGTTTTTTGAATTTTTTTTATTTGTTCAATTTGACATACCGTAAAATACTGGGCAAGCGCCCACTCAAACTTTAAAGATAATCTAAAAAAAAATGGGGGATGGGCACTTGTCCTGTCGTCAATTTTATGTATAAATGTACTGTGCGTATTTTCTCAAATCTTACAAATTTGGTAATGGGCGCTTAATGTGGAATGGGCGGATGGCGCGGTATTCTACGGTAGCTGCAGAGGTTTTGGCGTTTATACATTTTCCGCAGAAACATTGCACTTTCAAAAAAATCTTTTTCCCACATTATACCAACCCCCCTTTCTTTTGAAAGAACCACTATTTGGCCACATTTTGGTGTGTCATATTGCTCCATATGCGATTTAGTATGGAAAATAAAAGCATTTGCATGAATCCTTCGAAAATTGCTACTTTTCCTGTGGTCAGGAAAGAGTTAACATAATATTAGCAGTGGTATGAATGAAAATGATGTGTGTGTTTATGCTCCACAAGTTCTTTTCTTTGCTGCTACAAAATGGATTTTTGGGCTGGTCCAAAATGGCTCGGATCAGTCGCATCACCGCAAACTATGCTCTGCCAGGTCAATTCGCGCTAAAATTGCACTAAATATCTATTTTTCTTTGCGTGGAAAATTCCCCTTTGCACCGTCCGGACCTCTCCGGTCGGGGGGGTGGGGGTGCTGCGGCGGCTGGTTGCCCCGGCGGCAGGGGGTGGTACAGAGGGCACCCCGTTCCAGAAGTGGGCCCCGCCTCGGTGATGGTGGGCAACATGGTGCAAGGGGTGCGGCTGGCGGTGGCTCAGGGCCGCGACATCGGCATCATAGACGAGGAGAGCGACACGGCCCGCAAGTACCAGTTCATCTCAGAGATCCTGCGGTGGCGGGCAACGAGCACGGCAGACCACTGCGTGTTCACCCTCCTCAACGCCAAGGGGGGCACGGCCTCGAGCCTGACCTGCTCGCAGCTGCACAAGCGGGCCGAACGGGTGGGTTGCCTGCTGCTGGAGAAGGGCAAGCTGAACACAGGCGACCACGTGGCCCTGGTCTACCCGCCGGGGGTGGACCTGATCTGCGCCTTTTACGGCTGCCTCTACGTCGGTGGGCATCTCTCGAGGGCTCCGGGGAACCGCTCAAGTCCGGAGGTCCGACTCCATACCTTTGCAGGTGTGGTGCCTGTGACGATCCGGCCGCCCCACCCGCAGAACCTCCAGACGACCCTGCCCACGGTGCGGATGATCGTGGACGTGAGCAAGTCGGTGATGGTGCTCTCGACTGCCCCGGTCACCAAGCTTCTCCGGTCAAAGGTGGGTGTGCGCCCGGGGCGGCTGCGGGAGACCGACTGGGGGGGCCCTTGCAGGAGGCGAGCAACGTGGTGGACGTCAAGTCCTGGCCCCTGGTCCTGGAGACGGACGACCTGCCCAAGAAGAAGCTGGCCAGCATCTACCGGGCCCCGACCCCCGAGATGATAGCGTACCTCGACTTCAGCGTCAGCACCACTGGCATGCTAGCGGGGATCAAGGTGGGTGACCTTGATCCCCTCACCCCAGCACCTCCGCGTCGACTGTCTGGGATGCCCTCTGTTGGATAGGTGCTTTGGACGTTCCTAGAGAAGTTCAAATAATCTAGAGCAGGAACGGGCAAATTTTATACAGCATTCGCTTCGACTCAAATTTGGGCGTTCGGCAACATCGAATTATTGTGTCGGGTGTAGCTTTGGGACTTCTGCCACGCACTCTCCTCTACACTCTGACCTCCGTCCGCAAGTTTCAGTTTCGGTGTCGAGCAGTTGCGTTTTTTGGCTTTATTAAAAGTATATGTGACTCTGTTGCAAAATATTAATTGGGTAGTCTTCAGACACCATAATAAATTGCGTGGCAAAAAAAAGGAAAAACCTTTTTTTGGGGGGTGTCAGTGTCCCTTTAAGAGATGGAGCAGCCCCAATCATGGAGAGCAATTTGCAATCTAATGGCGGACGCCTCCTGGGCAGATTGGCGCAGGTACGCCTGCATTTGGTTGTCTTGCGGCCAGCGTGGCGAGGAAACTGGCGGAGAGGCGGACACGTTTGCAGACTGTGGACGCTTTCAACTCCTTGAAGGCTGCAGCCCATTTTGCAAACACAGACCATGTGACCCCGATCAAGCAGTTGCTCTCTCCCCTAAATTTAGGCTCTCTATACCGACGAAACACAAACTTCAGCCCTTGAGTGTGAACTTGGTGCCGTGCGTGTCCCGTGTGGGCGTCGTTAGTCTGTGTGGTCGCTCTCTGCGCGAAAGTCTAGCTTTGATCAAGCACCGATTTGGGGACTCTTTACCACTCAACGATGGCTAGTCCAGTCACCGCCGGCACCTCGACAGGGAAGATGAAGGCAATCTCTTTGAAACAGAAGCGTGCCGCCATCCTTGGCAAAGTGTGCATAAATGTAAAGAATGGCATCCTCCACTGGCGTCCTCCGCGGCGGCCGTCGCAGCTGGCGACACGGTCTGTACGTAGCTCACAGGATCTTGTTTCGATCGGAGCTTCTTGCAGTTGGCGAAAAGTGGCTCCAATTTGGCAGAGAGCGCGTGCACGGAAGCCTCGACCGCTTTCTGCAGGTACGATAAGCATATGCACGTGACGGCCCATCTTATCTTTTTTTTTTTTTTTGCGTGTTATTTTTATGGATGCCAGATATGGCGAAGCGATTTGCGATTCCCGTTGACTTCGAAATAACCGGTCTCAACACCTAAAAGCCTCACAAAAACTGCTAAAGTGAAGCAGACGGGGAAAATGAGGGAAGCAGCTCTAATCACTACTTCACACAACGAAGGGAAGTCATGGAAGAAGTACAAATGCGCCACCGTGACGCCAGGTTACGTCGTCGCCCAGTGTTGCTTGGCTAAAAGCTAACCCGCTTGTCACCTTCTTAAGAGCAGTTGGTCGCATCTTTAAAATCTGCTCTAGTGCAAGTATGCGGCTTCACTTTGACATATTTCGGTTGTGATCTTATTTCATACCACTGAAGCAATATATTAGTAATTTATTTTGGTTTTGTTTTCGACCAGAGTTGCCCTTTAACATGAAACTGCTCTGAACTGCTACAAAATTACGTTGGTGCTGCTCCAGAACTGCTTCAAAATGGGACTTTACCCAATACAAATGTGCTTCGAAATATTTTTTTTCTTCAAAAATTGCTCCAAATCTTAAAGTGATGGCTGGACCACCACTAAATCTGTTCATGAAAGCAAGGATGTTGGTCTGAATATTTTAGAGCGCAGCTCTTCAGCGCCTGTTCCCGGCTTGAGCGGCGTCACCGTCGCTGTCGGCGTAACCGCGCGGTGCATTATGGGTAAATTTCCCCGCTAAATCTAGTGGAAAAGTTTCCCCGCTAAATCTAGCGGAAACATTTTCCCGCTAAATCTAGCGGAAATATTTCCTTGCTAAATCTAGCGGAAACATTTTCCCGCTAAATCTAGCGGAAACATTTCCCCACTAAATCTAGGAGAAAAATTTCCCCGCTAAATCTAGCGGAGAAATTTTCCCGCTAAATCTAGCGGAGAAATTTCCCCACTAAGTCTAGCGGAAAAATTTCCCTGCTAAGTTTAGCGGTAAAATTTCCCCGCTAAATCTAGCGGAAAAATTTCTACCCTAAATCTAGCGGAAAAATTTCCCCGCTAAATCTAGCGGAAAAAATTCCCCGCTAAATCTAGTGGAAAAATTTCTCTGGGGGGTCACGTGACCCCCGTGGACACGTGATACCCTCAACGTCATGTGACCTTGGGGAGGGGGTCATGTGACCCCACCGAGGTCACGTGGCCATCCCCCCCCCCCCCCCTGAGGTCACGTGACCCCCCCCCCCCCCCCCCCCCCGAGAACATGTGAACCTCAGTACCCTTCCCTCCTCCTCCTCAAGAGCTGCACTCTAATTCAGCATTACAGGGAGTTGTAAACGCCTTTCATTTTTTTTTTAATGAGATGTAAAGGAATGATTAATCATTCACTTAGCAATTTCTCTCATATCTGATGCATCTCTATTTTGGTTAAGGTATGTCTTATCTAGTTAGCATCACTTTACGAATCACGAAATGTATGTTGCTAACAGCTAACTGCAACTTGCATTGAGCGCTTTCGATCTCCCTTCTCAGTGTCCAGGTGAAGACTGCCAAGTGCCGTATGACAGTGATACCTAGGAAAGCTTTGTGCTCTGAGTAAATATAGTAAAAGAGCTCAGATATGTCTAAACTGCTGCAACTGAGCAGTCCACGTGGAGCTATACCAAAGAGACTGCAAACCTTTGCTAAGCATCTCGACAATTAACCCTTTCGCTTCCGTCGTGTCGTCGCTCTCAACTGTGCAGTAGTTTTCCGCGCCCCATTTCTATCGGACTGATACCCGTCATGGAGCCAAAGAAAAACCTCTAACTTTTGAAGCATACATTTGTGGAGGATAATATTTGTTCTGCTGAGTTGATCTTGAATAGTATGCAAATGCAATGTGCCTAAGGAACTTTGCAGAAATAAAACTGTTTCAACTACAGAAGTATGCAAATATTGATTGCAAATTCCTCACAGTCAACGGCGCTCACTTCTTGTACCTTGAACTTTGCTGATGTGGCATTGCCTTGACGAATTCTGCTTCATGCTATTGTCAGAACTTTTCCGAAGAAAGTGTGACCATTCACGGGCCTCTCAAACCATCGGCAGTGCACCAAGAGTCGTAATTATGTTTAGTCTATTTCCAGGAAAGGCTGCCCTCTTGCCTGTCTACTCAAGGTGTTAGAATTTCTAGCCCTTGTACACTGGCTCGCCATCCTGCCAATTGGTTCCCTGTAGTGTATGTCGACGTTGTAAACTGCTACATCTACCCCACAGATAATATATCACTTTTCATATGCTGGGTGGGAAAGAAGCAAACTGCCATGGAGCATTCAAAACTGGTGGTGCAGGCATCGCCAGGGAATAGGTTGCGGTTTCAGACCTCGCCTTTTTCATGCTGTGTCGCTATCACTGCTGTGGTGTTCATGATGATAACTGAATCATCAGAGTCACCCTCTTTGTTGCTGTCATGCGCAAGATCAATGATTTCACCAGTGGAGAGACGTCAACTCTTTTGGAGTGCCATGTTCTAGTTAGAAAGAAAAAAAAAACTTTTTTTACTATCTGTATAAAAGTATAAAACATGAAGTACCATCTGGTGTCAGAAATACAAAGCAATAGCATCGCCATCCTTGCCAAATTTCGAAAACATTTTACCGGGTTTGTGCACTTTGGCCTTTGCTGCGGTGGCTGGCAGATTGCCGGCTTTGGAAATGAATAGGTTAAAAGGTTTGTGTCAAAGCAGTGCTGTCAAAGCAGTGCCAGAAAGAAGTTAATGTTTCAATGGCTTTCAGTTGAGGGCTGCCTCCAGAATTTGGGCCGATCATTATGGGAACAACCAATCTCCCTTCGCATTGTAAGGAGTCCTTAAGGGCGTAATTGACTTGACAGAAAGTGTGGCTCTTGGTTGGTTTTTCTGTGGGCTCCGTAGTTCAGACTAGCACGTTTTGCTCGGTTGTTTCTAGGTGTCCCATGCAGCTGCAACCTCGTTGTGCCGCAGCATGAAGTTGGCGTGCGAACTGTACCCGTCTCGCCACATTGCTCTCTGCCTGGACCCCTACTGCGGCCTTGGCTTCGTCCTGTGGTGCCTCAACAGGTGAGGGTTGGAGGGTGGGAGGACATCCGGGCTGCCAGGATAACCCGCGGGTTGCGCGCAGCGTCTATTCGGGCCACCATTCGATCCTGATCCCCCCGTCGGAGGTGGAGGTGAACCCGGCCATCTGGCTCACGACGGTGAGCCACTTCAAAGGTGGGTGCTCGAAGGGGGGGTGGCGGTCCACTCCAGCCCGCCGTTGCCCGCAGTGCGGGACACCTTCTGCTCGTACGGCGTCATGGAGCTGTGCACCAAGGGACTGGGCTCGTCCATCGCGCAGCTCAAGGTGAGCGGGGGAGGGCAGGGCGAGCGGGTGGGGCCCTGACGCTGTTTCCGGGCACGCAGCAGCGCGGCGTGAACCTGAGCTGTGTCCGGACGTGCGTGGTGGTGGCGGAGGAGCGTCCCCGCATTGCCCTCACCACCTCCTTCTCAAAGCTGTTCTCCGGGCTGGGCCTGTCTCCACGGGCGGTCAGCACCAGCTTCGGCTGCAGGGTCAATGTGGCCATCTGCCTCCAGGTCAGCTGGTCTCGGAGGGCTGGAGTCGCTCCGTTTTCTGCGACGAGAAACTGCGGGAGAGCAGGAGACGGTGGAAATCCGAGCTCTGGTTGGAATGATTAGTGGGTAGACGCAAAGCTGCCTTGGTCTCTACTCACTCTTCGAACAAAAACGCCAAACGCCAGCATTGGGCAATCAAACGCATTGGAAGTGTGAGTACAGACAAAGGCCGCTAGTTTTGTATCTGGCCACTAATCATTCCGAGCAGAGCTAGGCATTCAAACGTACCCGCACGCTCTCGTCTCCTCCTCTTCCTCAATTTCTGGCTGTATTGCCTTCTTCTGCGATGATTTGCAAGTTTCATGAGTTAAAACCAAAACAGTCAGTTTTGCAACATTTAGAGTACCCGTAAGATTGCGGGGAACTGTCTGCCAAATGGAAAGCTCGAAATTTTCAAATAGAAGTTTTCAATGATACGCTATTTGATGTTGACTTCAAGGTGAACTGCGATATTCATATTTTTCAAAGTTGATCGCAGTGGGTTAGTCCCATTTCACACACTTTTTACCGAGCATGGATACACTGCGGAGAACCAACACCCGCGGAAGCGAGCTACGCTGATGTTGAGTGCTCCGGTGCTCGGTAAGAAGTGCACTCGACGGAACTAACCCGCTACGATGAACACTTAAAAAAATGATGAATATTGCAGTCGTGTGCCCAGGAGAAAAGGAGACGTTCGAAGCAGGATGGTACGCGTGCATGCCTGGTATATTTAAAAAGAAACAAACTTTGTGAATGTTGATATCCACACTACAGTAAAACTTCCAAAATTAAAATGTAGTATTAAGCAAAAATACATGTTAGGCAGAGGTTTTTTGACAACCTGCATTCATCAGTCATGATTGTCTTTTTTCCTTTTCTGAGTCTGAGATTCAAGAAAGGATATTCGCATACAGCAAACATATTTATAAATCCCCTCCCCCCGGATTAGATACACCTGTGCATCTCTCTAGGTTAAATTTTATGCCAAATGTGCTATTTACTTGCCATCCCAATGTAGGCATTGGACTTTCTGAAAGTACTGCTTATAAATAGAGTTAGATTAAAATTAACTTCGCTTAGAAGTGGACATGTGGAAGCCTGGGAATAACCTTCACGAGTTCAGCTGGGTTTTGTTTAAGCATAGTGCAGTAGAGAAAGGCTTGGAGAAACTATTGGATATTCATTTCGAAAATATTAGCCCAAACCACTCTTATTTCCTTGGAATTGGCTTCAAACTCAAAATGCACTATTTGTGCATGACTGCTACTGCCGAGGACTCTGGCATCAGTAAGTGGCAGAGGTGAGGCATCTTCGGACGACGGCTGTTCCGTTGGGCGTTAAAGACAGCAAAACTTGTGCAGCTTTGTTACCCGTTACATTGCTGTTTCCTGTCTCATGCTCACATTGACTCTTCTAAAACTTTTGGTGCACGAATCAATTATAAAAACTGGTTGGATTGGCTTTCTTTTCTGTCGTCAGCCTCTAATTGCTCAGTTACCCCGTACGTGCAAGCAGAGCGTAGAGGATAGTGTGTGCTCGTTTCGTTGCCAACCGCCACGACTGAGCCTTACCGCAGTTCTGTTACGTGGGTCATTTGAGGTGGACAAATTTTTTGCACATCCTCGGAGCCTCGTAGAACTCTGTCACGCCTACTTGTAATGTGGAAGTGACAGTTTTCGAAGTATTGACCCCGAAATTTAAAAGTAAGAAAGTATAGTTCTGTTTGCAACAGGGGAAGGGTGGGGAGGTTGGGGGTTGGGGGTTGGTATTGAGCCTGCCCCGTGGTGGAGCACTCTCTGTCACTAAGCTTTGACGGCATTCGTTATGACTGCACCTCCGCTCGCACGCCTCTCAAAGGGTCGTCGAAGCCCTTCCTCGTCACCTCGGCTGCTCTCTGCCCCCAGGGGGCGTCGAGCCCGGACCCGAGCCAAGTGTATGTGGACATGCGAGCGCTGCGCAACGACCGGGTGACGCTGGTGGAGCGTGGTGCCCCCCACAGCCTGTGCCTGCTGGAGTCCGGGAAGCTGCTCCCGGGAGTCAAGGTGGTCATTGCCCACCCGGACACCAGGGGCCAGTGCGGGGACTCGCATCTTGGAGAGGTGGGCACCCCCGGGCATTCCCGCCGTTTTCGGTCAAACCTTGCACAACATCTGCCATCGTCATTACCGCCACCGTCATCACTGCCATCATTTTAATGCTTCTTAAGCTGGGGTTGTGCCATAACTCCCAACGCACACGGTGGCAGGCTAGCAGGCACAGGCACATAAGGGTTTTTACCTATCTGCTTTGCCTGGCATGCCGCCATGTGCGCACCAATTTAAGTGCAAATAAATCACTTATCACTCGTCATTGTTACGCAATTTGCGGTACCGGTAACTTTGACACGCGAGTTTGCTGCTGGTTCCCACGTGTTTATCGCACCATGAAGCATGAATTTACTCCTTTCGCGATCTGCGGTATAATTTCCCCCAATACGAGAGTTCCTACTGTTAATTGCTTATTAGGTTGCTCACCTGATATTTTTTACCGTTTATCTCTTCATCAGGGGTGGGCATTTAATTGGGATTTTACTAAACATTTATTGGAAGAACACGAATGAGGTCGTGACGGAATCAGCACATATTTAAAAACACTAGCTCTCTTCTGTGTAGACAAACCGATGTTTAGTGCATGACCTTCACCCTCCTTTTTTATTGCGTAGGCTTCCAACTATTCCATCTCTGCTTTATCAGTACCCCTTTCAGTTGAAGAATCTATGTTTTTGAGGTACGGAAGACAGTTGCAAATCGCACGACATAGAAGCAGACTTCTCCCTTACATTCATTGAAACAATCGGTCATGTTTGTGCACCCTTTTGTGTACACACTAACCCTTTTGCCCGATGTAAACTCTGCCACCAATTGGTGGGACCTGAAAAGCCACACAGACCGTGCAATTCACATAGTAGTCATTCTTGTGTTTCTTGGAGCTTTGGCACCTATCCCAACCTTTTTTCGGCAACTCTAGGGCACAGTTCTGGCAACTTATGGATAGGGTAGGAAAAACACAGCGGGGAAACCAAACTGCTCAGTACTTTTTTCAGGGTGCAGGGAGACCCTGGGATAACTTGTGACCTCATACTTCCTCTTTCCTTCCAATGCTGATGCTTTCCTTCGTCTTTTCTTAGCAATGCTACTGCTAGTAAAGCTGTGGTTGGGAAGCGAGTGGATGAAAAATTGGCAGTGATCTTTGTCTCCAAAGCCCTATATAATGTGTGGCATGCAGTATTTAAAGAGGAATTGTTTAAATTTGTATTGTACATTACGTGAAATTACTGGGGGCGTGCTCACTCCACTTTCGGTGAAAACTGGACTAATATAGACACGAGTGCATGTCCGGTCAAATCAGGCGCTTAGCGTATAATTTGCAGGATTCCCAAGTATGGGAAATGTTAATAGTTGGCACTTAGAGGAAGTAGACACTTCCATGGTATTTCACAGTAAGTGCCATCACCCTTCTGAACATCACCATGCACTATGGAGAGTATCTGCATGTGGTGGACGTAAGGCGCGCATCTTAGCCGGTGCAGAGGTAGAGCGTTGGGCTGCGGACCAAGAGGTTTGGGGTTCGATTCCCAGTGGGGAACGAGTATATAGTATTGGTTTAATTCTGAGTAAGGGCTTGTGCTTGTGTTCATTGTTCTTAGAAGTGTGCAAATATTAATTTTTTATTACAAATCAAATATGAATATTAAAATTTGACTGCAAATAAAATATTTCTAATTTGAATATTTTTCATTTAACTTTGAATTGAGCATGATTAAAAAATTGTGGGTGGAATTTTTTTTTTCTTAGAAAGCATACCAATGAAAAGTAAGATTTATTTTATAAGCATTTCACGTATCATGTTTTTCTATTTACAAGTCGTATCGTTGTATAAGTCACCTCCTCCCTCTATAAATGGACGTTTTCACGAAAGTTAGATTCGTAGCTCCTTTTCCTAAGCTGTGCTTAGGTCCGTGGCTGTGTGGAGTTGCGTCAGTTGCCAACATGCCGCCGCACTTGGAACCGTTTGCAGCCCACTAGAGAGGGCAGTCGGCAGATACTCTGCCATTCTTTCTTTGTCGTGAATGTGGATAGGGCCTACACCAATTGCACAGTTAAATTTCATAATAAAAAACAAATGCAAATAAATTGCACTGTTGTACAAAATGCACAAACAGAAATTTAGAAAAAAACAACTGACTTGTGCACTGGAAAATACGGTAGTATACTTGCAAAGAAAAAACCCGACAAGATTAGTTGAAAAAAACAATGTTGCCTTGCAAACAAAGCAGTGCCTACCTTTATTCTTTTTTTTTTAAATAGTCCCAATTTCGCTAGTTTAATGTGCAGCACTGTTGCTATTTGGACCCAAGATATTAATCATATTTTTGTAATGCTGTGGACTGCTTGAAGATTGCCTCACCTTTGCCAGATGTTGGCCCAATATAGTGCACTGCACCTGAAATAAGCCTACTTCTTTTTTTAAATTGATTTTAGGTTTTCTTTTTTTGCCACTGTCTTAAAATCTGGTGCTGAGTATAATTACAACCAAAGAAGGCTACCCTAGTGAACCAAGTTTCCGGGACCATTGAGTCAACTACTGAGGTGCTCTGACACGACCGTTTTTTTAGTGCTTCGGTGCATAGCAGTGGACCTTGATGCACGCATGTGCACACACATTACAAATTGGTGAAGCTTGATGCTAGAGTGCTGGTGCACAGCAGTAGAGGTTGATGCGTGAAACTGGAGAATTTTGAAGACATTATTCATACTTTCAGAATATTAAAAAAAAAAACTTTAACACTTCAAACTGTATAAGTGTGCTACAAATCGAATCTAATAGCAAACAGTATTCACGAGGTATTGGTTCCAAATATTCGCAAACCTCTAATTGTACCAATTGTGCTGACATGCCCTGCCATGGGGTGTGCTGGGAGTAGGGGCTTCTATTATAAAGCATTTCATGCTTAAAAACTGCTCTATCTACTGTCTAAAACTGTTGGGCATTGAATGGCGGCTTGATTTTTTCAAGCGCTGCCTGTAGTCGTACTCTATGATAGAGGCGACACATGCAACTTCTTGTGAATTATAGACCAAGATCTAGAAATTCTAGAGGCATCTTATTCTTATGTTCATCAGTGAACTTTAGCCCCCTAGAATTCTGTTTAAGACCATTCAGGACTGCTTCAACAACACTGTCCTTGAAAACGTGTCCTTAAAAACGCCCTCAAACCCCTTCCTAAATATTATGTAATCGTCCACATGCCTGAAAACTAACATTCTCCCCATTCAAACAGGAAGACAAATACAGTGTAGCACAGTTACAACAAAGTCAGCGAGAATCAGAAATTACTTTGTCATATCCACTATTTCTTTTTTTTTAATATTTGGACCTTGTATATTGGGGGTGGCCAAGCTGCGGCTCGCAAGCCTTATGCTGCTCTCTGCGTGTTATAGTGCGGCTTGCGGCTCCCTCCCCTTCCCCGCCTCCCTCCCGGTCACACGAGCACTTCTCAAAAAGAGAAATGGAATGCGTTTTAAATCAAAAGCCAGGTTGCGGTTCGGTAGTCCTGTGCTACTACTACCTTTCATACAGAGTAACTGCTTTGGCTCGGATATATTGAAAGTGGTTTGTAGTTCGAGTTTCGTTTATTGTGCTCTGGACAAAGGTTTGCCCCCCCCCCCCCCCCCCCCCCCCCCCATGGCTCTTGGAAGTTTGCGGTTTTTGAGAACATAATAGGCGCTTCACGACGGGGACGAGAGTAGGACCGAGACAACCCAATGCGCTACATAAAGTTCGGGGAAAGCAAGTGTTCGATTTTTTTTTACACTTTTCTGGTATGCTTTGTCACAAAGCACCAGAATTCTCGGGTAGCCTATTAAGACTCTGCTTCACTTGGTTATGGTAACAAAACCACTCAACTTTATTTCGTGGTTTTGTTTGCGGCTCTCAGCCTGGCCCCGAACCTCTGCTATATACCTTTCCAAAAACAGCTCTCTGGCTGGCGCCATTTTGCCGATGATGCAACTCTCATGACCCCTAGCACCTAGAAATTTTCTGTCACCCTTGTGGGCTGTGGAAACCTGCTCAGTGTGACTCTCCACCTGCTTTGTGCATTCCAAGTTTGCCGGCATTTCTGGAAAGTTTTCACTCCCTTTTTGTGTTATCTTCCACTGTGAGAACCAGGACTTGTAGCCTCAGTGCCTCCTATTCAAGAGTTTCTGCTTGGCCTTCATTTAAATTGGAATGGAGAGAAGACCTTCGAATGGCCCGCGACGTGACAATGCGTGTGAACAATGGAAGTTTCCATAGGCCGTTTTTCCCACTGTAGATTACATTGTAATTCCATTGTGATTCCACAGTGTTGATTCACATCAGTATTCACTATTGTTATGTATGTTTTTTCCCAAGTGTCTCTATCATCCTGAAAAGTACTCTAAACAGTTTTTTTTAGAGATTTACCATATTACTTGAGGTTGCATTACCATAAATTACAAAAAAAAAAAAGACTCCGCTTATGTTATGTAAAATATAGGATATGTCATGAAATAACAAAAAAGCTTCTATCTCATGGCCAGTCACAATACCATAACCAAGGGGAGCAAAGTCTTAGGCTACCCAAAGAATTCTGGTGCTTTGTGACAAAGCATACCAGAAAAGTGTAAAAAAAATCGAACACTTGCTTTCCCCAAATCACTTTGCAAGTTCTTTTTGCATAATTTTAATTCATGCTTTTTTCAGTGTCGATATTACTTGTGACTCCCAAGGACTATTTACCTTTTACTAGCGTAACGGTTGACTAAGTCCTATAACTTGTTGCGAAACTGAATTCTAAGCTATCAACAGGTTGAGACGGTGTTCTCAACTTAATTGTAAAAGGATGCTCCTAACTTTTTGCTTCTGTTCTTGAAAAAGTGTCAAACTTGTCATTATGGAATGGGGTCTTTCCAGAAAAATGCAAATTTTCAGTCGTAGTCCCATGTTATAGTATGCTCCAAATACGTTAAGCTTGGTGCATTACAGCCCTCGTTGCTGCTGCGCCAATAAACTCCTAGTCATCATCAATTGTCACAATTTTTTACTTGAGTAACTGTTCTGATGACTGTAATTATTGTCCCATATCCTTCTAAACACTTTTTCAAAGGTGCTCCAGTAGGTGGTGCATATTCATTCTGATAATTATTTTTAAAGAAAAATAGTCTTTGTTCAACGTGGTTTCCTTGTGGGCAGATCCGTTGACACTGGCACACACTTCTAAGCTATTTTATGCCAGTTGTTCAAAGTCGGGGTCGAAGCAGGCACTGTATATCTAGATTTGTCTAAGGCCTTTTATAAAGTCGGGCATTAACTGTCGTTGCTAAAACTTGCAAACTATGGGCTTGGCCCTAAGTGCTATCCGTGATTTGGGAGTTGTCTTTGTAAAAGACAGAATAGTCTCAGGCTGCAAATCGCGCACCAGGAACGGATCAAAAAGCTCCAAACCATCGGAATGATCGTGCAGGTACTGGCCGACTCGATAACCACGACACAACTTTGGCGCAGCGCACGTAACCTTGGGATTGAGAGGAGCCAGACATGCATTCTCGAAAAGGGACTGCATTTTCGGACACATTTTGATTTCGTCCCAACTTGAGCACTTACTTCATTGGTCTTTCTGAGAAGTGTTGCGTCTGCTTGTTTTCACTTGTCCTGGTCTCATTTGCGCACTGTGTGCACCTCTGCTCGGCACGAGCATTGGTAACCCATTTTGCTTGGCCGGGGGCCCACGGGAGGCCTAAGGGACGGTTCTCATGCAGATCTGGGTGCAGTCGGCCCACAATGCAAGCGGCTACTTCACGGTGTACGGAGACGAGACCCACCCCAATGACCACTTCAACGCCCGGCTGATGACCGGTGACACGGGTGGCCTGTATGCCCGCACTGGCTACCTGGGCTTCTTGCGGCGCACTGAGGCTGCCTCCAGTGACGGTGAGTCTGCCCGGCCCCGGGAGGGCAGGTGGGCGGTTCACCTTGCCCAGAGCCGTGTATACAGAGAGTTTGGTCAATGGGAGGCGCAGGCAGAGCCAGGGCGTGCACCAGACGCAGAAAGAGGGCTTGGCATGCTCTCTTGGCCAACCAGGAGCCGAAAAGAATCCCCTAGTGGTGGTAGCGAGAAACTGTTGTGGTCGTTTTAATAAGCACGTAAGAGTTAATTTACTAACCCTTCATGGTTGAAAATAGGGTGCACGTGATGTTTTTTCGATCATGATCATGCAGAAAGATGTAAGAAACGAATGCGCCGCTCAAACTCTGTTTTGCTCGGACAGTGTGTGACCGCTCGGACGGCAGATTCTGGGCGTTTGGCGTACGGATTATGTCTATCGTTCTGCTAGTCACACTCTTCCACCATGATTTTGGATGACCGTGGTTGAAACATCACGTGCACCATAACTTCAGTCAGCGAGAGTTACTCTGACGCACTTATTAAGTTTGTTTCTCGCAACCACCGCCAGGGTATTATTTCCGGCTTCTGGTTGGCCACATTCGAATTTCTGAAGACGCCGTGGAACACGCCTGGCCCGCTTTCGGCCAATGGCGCCTCCTCATTTGTCTCCTATACTTCCCAACGAATGGCCACACTCTCTACATATACGGCTCTGACCTTGTTATGCTCAGGTTCTAAGCTGGGAAGTAAAAGTGTGGGCTTTGTCGTTTATTCCTTCTTCCGAGGCAGCACTCCACAATAAACTGCTCATAGCATTTCATTAAATATTTTGTTTTAACATAGATGATTGTGCTAGGGTGTTCATTTTTAAAAGTATGAAGAGTGCAACAACAGACAGACAGTAAATTTCACTCATTTTGATTATTTGGGCAATGTCAAGTTCAAAATGAGGCTGTGTATAAGAATATTTATGATAGGACTAAAGAAAAAAGTCAAAAACGAAATGTGGAGTATTGGCCATTTTTAGATCTTGAAGGGCAATTTCACTGAATTCCAAACACGCTACAATTATTAATTTATTCATATTGTTAGTTCATTATGGCCAAGTTTTCATTAAAAAGCACTAAGAACTCCCTAACATTGTTTATTTCGCAAAAAGTAAAATCTATTCTGTGCAGTCTTGTTTAGACAGGATTAGAAACGGGAAGTTTGGTACCGACGGGCAACATTGGTCCTCTGCTGTTGGAAACATGGCTAACCATGCAGTTCAGTGACGAACAAACTTGCACAGTGCACTGCTGGCAGCATCTGTTGGATTGTTTCAAAAAATTAATAAAAAGTATGTTTCTCACATGGTAGCTCATTGTTGGCAGTGCCAATACTAAACTACTGGCCACACTAGTTTCGTTCGGCCTCCTGCGCTGGTGCAGAGAAGTGTAGGGCAGTCTACTTCCGGGATGTGTATTGAGATAAGACCATAAGTACATCGCCCTACACTTTTCTGCACTGGTGCAGGAGGTGCTGGGAAATCGAACGAAGCTACTGTTAATTGTGCCATGCATCGCCTGCTAGGTTTAACAGATAAGCAGAGCTTGGGCACTTGGTGCATGTCAAACATTGCTGGCTCTTTTAATAAACATTTAGATGGAAGTAGATCGTATTTGACATGTTGTCTTCCTAGATGGTATCAAGGAGAACTGCATTGTTTTCTGAGTAACAGAAATAAAGTGGAGTTGCCCTTTAAACGTTGAGATCAACTGACTCAAGTCTTTTCTGACCATCGGAAAAATGCCTGTTTTATGTTACTTTTTACTTTTTTTCTTAGGAAACTGTTAGGTTTACAGTATGATGGCCACACATAGAAGTGAAGCTAAATAAGTGGGTTTTTGAATTATGCAAGTATTAAAGCAGAGATATGAATTTTAACATAAAATTTATTTCGCCTAGCAAACTTTTTTTAAAATGGTCCGAACCGAGTGGACATGGCTACATCTGAAAAAAGAAAAGTGTACCAAAAAAAGTCAAAACATCCTAAATTTTAGTTTATTGACAAGAAAAAGTTCCGCAAATTCTAAAGTTCTAGCTTGGAAACTTTTTAAGCTACCGACAATCAAGTTGGACCCCCCGTGACTGACATGCCATTGGGCTGAGCAGTTTCTCAATCTGATGAAGCGTAGGTTGTCAGAACTGAAATATGATGAACTGGCTTCATCATCGGACCCATCAAAGTCCGAAAAAATGGGCGAAGGATTCGCGAGAATTGGCACGCTTGCTAAGCACACACGGATGTGTGAACAACGATGACGTGCAGTTAGTTTCATGATAGGCTTAAACATCGCTGCCTTGCAGAAAAAGGAGAAACCCAGAAACGAATACTGTAGTCCTAAAACTACTGGGAGATTTCAAATGGTCCTCCGCGCCCATTGATCACAAGTGGTCGATGCCCTGTGGGTGCGGTCAGGAAAGAGGTTAGGAGTAATAATCTGGTCAGATATTTTAATATATGCCCAGCCCTTCATCTAAGCACCCACATTAGCGAGACAAGCTGCAGGTACCTCTAAATAAAAAGATAACCCCCAAAAATATGCCCTTTACGGAGTGGTTTGCCTCTTGCATTCAGACATTTATGCATTCTCGTGCACAGTTTTCTAAAACATTAATATTGCTTGCACGAGCTAAGAAGTGTTGTGGAGCTACCAGGATAGCATTAGAAGGTCATTGAAGTCTAGTACTACAATTTTTGGCTGCAGACGTATGAAGTGCAGAAGTGCCCATACATGAGGACAGATTCCCAGACATTTCGAGTGTCACTGCCGTAGCGTGATGCAGCAGGTGAGACGTATTGCTCTTGCCCCCAGCCGAGGCGGATGCAGTACCCACTGGAGATGGGCCGGAACTTCACGACGCGGTGTTTGTGGTGGGCGCGCTGGACGAGACGATGCTGCTCCGCGGGATGCGCTACCACCCCATCGATGTGGAGAACAGCGTGCTACGCTGCCACAAGAAGATCTCCGAATGGTGGGTGTCCCCCCTGCCTGCCTGGAGGAACACTTTGCGATGCACCAAGTTTGCAGTAGACTTGATATTTTAACTGCTTCTGGCCCCAGGTCAAAAATAATTAGAGCTTATATTTGCAATGTGCTCAAATAAATTAGGCAGTTCAACTCATACAAAATTCGCTAGGTTCTGCTAGCTATCCTGCTGCCACAATGACTAAAATAGATTACCATTACCACTTCTGGTGTCGTGCATCTAGTACCTTTGCTCTGGTGGGTGATACCTACATCCTGCACTCTACTGGATGGGTGAGCAGGAGCGTGTGGCTGGCAGAGTGGTACCAAATCTTTTGTGGGTCATACGTCGCTAAAACCTGTCGCCAACACGGTGTCGTTATTGTGGTAGTAAAGCTGCCATGTACAGTACTCCTCAGACTTTATGCCGCCGCTTTGTTACCCAAATATCAAACTATTGCCAGCTACTCAAAACTGAAATAGTCACTCCGGCGGCTAGGCTGCTTTGAGATTGGAAATTCAAAACTTGGACCACATGTTGTATCATTGGGAACGGGAATAGCACAAAAGGTGCCAAAAACACATTGTGGTTGCGCTGTGCAAAGACTTCGAGCCTTTGCACAGTGCTCCCCAAACTTAATGCAACGAGAAACATCACTTTTGTCGTGTCTGCGAGAGGGATGCGAATTCGCGGATAAAAGCCGGCTTAAAGCAGCTCTAAGGCAGGAAGGTTACTGGGACGGAAAGAAAACTTTGCACGCTTTGCTGCAGCATGGGACCCGATAGTTTGGCATAGACCGCTGTGTAGAGCGTCTAACGCCCTAGTTAGACGGGCACGCTTAGAGAAGCTGTGCAACAATTTCAGTGCTTTGCTTAAATAATTGTGGGAGTTGGTGTCTCCTTCTGAAGTAAAGAACAAAAAACTGCTTTTGCCTGCATGTCCTAGTTTTTATTACAAAAAAATTGCAGAGATAGAGGTTTTTGGCACCTCAACTCCTTCACCATCTTCCGAATCATGTGCACTGTGATGTGAAAGGGGTACGCGCGGGGTTCCAGTGAAGTTCTCTCTCTCTAGCACAATCAGTGAGCAGCGAGAACTCGCCTGCTCGCTACCACGTGGTGCTTGCGCCGCGCGATCAACATGCCAACGTGCTCGTCCGGCCGTCCGGCTTCTGGCGTGACCGTTTTGTTGACCTCGGATAGATGGTGCCACTGAAACTCCATATAATAAAAGTTTGGTTGATGATACCAGGTTTTTGACGCATTTATATTAATGTTGGAACTATAAGATTTATAGAAAAATTACCTTTTATCGAGCAGGTAGTTGCGCAACTTGCTACGTGTTTTGAAAGTCCCCCTTTGACGTCACCCCACGAGGTTCTCATGGCCACCGCTCATGGCTGCAGATAGGGAAATATTATAATTTTTGCTTTGCGAATATGCGGCGGAATCGCAGCATTTCGAAGGAAAGAGATCTGTTTTCTATCCTTTGTTACAAGGTAAACAATGTCAAAAGTAGAAGATGCGAATTCTTTCTACGTTAGAATCGATACACAGCTCCTTTAACCGCAGTTAAGTCGCCCTTAACTGCGGTAACGCTGAACCACAGTTATCACACTATACTTTGGAGAACTATTTCAGATGTGAAGAGTGTGTGTCCGCAGCTTTGGTGGGCGCTCAAGGTGGGCAAGTACACACGCGCCCATAGCTTTGACTTCACGGCCACAGAACGTTGTCCAAAAGTATAGTGTGGTAACTCTGGTTAAGCATAACTGTTGCATGTATTAAGGGTTGCCAGAAAACTCGAGCTATGCACCGCCTGGGCGCAGTGCGGTGTTCACCTGGACGCACCTGCTGGTGGTGGTGGTGGAGCTGGACGGCCTGGAGAGTGAGGCCCTGGACCTGGTGGCCCTGGTGACGTCTGCGGTGCTGCAGGAGCACCAGCTGGTGGTGGGCGTGGTGGTGGTGGTGGACCCCGGCGTGGTGCCCATCAACTCGCGCGGCGAGAAGCAGCGCATGCACCTGCGCGACGGCTTCCTCGCCGACCAGCTCGACCCCATCTACGTGGCCTACAACATGTGAAGGCCCTCTCTGGACAGACACGGACGACGCAGAGGGGGTCCAGGCCGCCGTCTAGTGTTTGACTCTGCCCACTCTATTTATTGAATAATTTTACTAAGCTGGCCCGATCGAGTGACTGACGCATACTTGTGCGCAAAGTTTGGACAGATTATAATGCGCTTATATTGTTTTTAAAGGTACTTTTTTTTATGCTTGTACATTGTTAGAACCAAGTGCGGATGCATTCTTTTTAAATATGTAATCGGCTCGAAGAACAGCTTGATATTTGCTTTCTCGGTTTAAGCTAAGAAAGGGAGACTTAAGGCTCGGTACAATCAATGTTTCTTCATTTTTTATTCGTGACGAGAGTCTTGCTTTGAATTGTATTACTGCGGGCTTCGATAGAAGTTTGACGGCTCGATTAGTTTAAAGCCTGTGGGGGCTCACTGCCATTGTTTTTCTCCTCGAGGTTAGGGTCCCGTAGCAGTCATCAGAAATGAGCAGTTTTGATTTTCTCGAGTGACGAGCGACTTAGAATGTGCTTGTTCTATTCGCGGATATTTGGGGGACTAGTGATTAAGCTCGTAGCCATCCAGTCGGTGCGAAGCTATTCACGCATTGCGAAGTGTCTGCGTAATTTGTGCAACATGTGCTGGGACTTGTGCTTTTTCTTTTCACTTTAAAAGCGCCTAGGAAGGATAGGCCTTTTGCAAACATCCCACAGAGCTGCGTGCAAAGTCCTGTACCTTGCTCCTTGGCCCCGCAGTGTCTACCATGCGCCACTAAAGTGAGAGAGGGTGGTGCAGTTGCTTGCCTGCCCTCACCCGCTCACCTGTGCTTCCTCCAGCACATCGGTCGTTTGCTACAACCGGTTCCGTACAAACCATTCCCGGAATTCCTTTCAGCACTACAGGTGGCGCTGCACGTTTTGCAACGGATCTATTGAAACAACTAGGGTTTGCCAGAGAATTAAATTTAGGTATGCGCAGACACTTCACTAACTAAATGAGCCACAATTTGATTGTTAAAGAACAAATGGGCATGATAGGATAAATGGATCCATTTGTCCTAAATCACATTCATTTCAAATTGCTAGTTGTGTACTTGAAACATCTCATTATTTATTTATTTAGGAGCACTGCCAATCTCACGAGATTTTGGCAGGTAACAAATGACAAAATTGCAGAAAAAAAAATGATGACTGGCAAAAACATTGATCGAGGAAAAAAGTGCATTGAGAAAGCATGCATTCAAAAACTGAAGATGTGCAATAAGCATCTCTTCAGACTCTTTGTCTACTATGATGCGAGGAAAGCCGTGACAAAGTAAGAAATAAGAAAAAGATGTGCAACAAACATCTCTACAGACTCCTGGTCAGCTACATCACGAGGAAGGCTGTTCCACTCGTCCAACGTTTGCAGAAAAAAAGGAAAATTTGAAACAATTATTACGGCACTTTCATTGGAATAATTTGCTATAAGAATCCTAGTCTACACGCAATTTCTCTCCATCAGTGATGGAGGCCAGCTCTCTGGTCCAAGTTAATTTTTCTCGGTGTCGGTGGTGTCGCTCGTTTTCGGGTTTCCTTCACAGCCCAAGTAATAATGCTGCCTTTTCAAAATCACTGCCAAGGGGCCGTAACCTCTGCTGAAAACTCAAAGTATTACAGCAGCCTCAAGGTAAACCGGTCAGTCACAAAGCACCCATTTCTCCCGGAGGGTGACGCAGTTTTGAGTCAATATTTGAAAGCAAGCGATAATTTCCAAATTGACTCGAGCAGGTCTGCAAGTGGCTTTGTTTCCTGTCGTCGTTGATTTCCTGACGGGGGAGCCCTTGATGGGAGCGTAAGCTACCTTTTATTTATTTTTTTATTCTTTTCTTGACATACCTCCCAAGTTGAGAAGAGTTTCCAACGCCTGAAAGCAATGGGGCGAAATCCACGTGGAAATTGGGACTCCAGATAGAGAGCCTTGCTTCGCTGTTCACCACTGTGATCTGCAGCTCGTTACTGTTGTGCGTTTTTGTACAGTTTTCAGGTTTATGCTAGCAGTATTCTTTCTGCCGTTGTTTATTCTCTCGAGGATATGACAGTGTCTTTGGTACATTATTTATGTGTAGTGTAAAGCTGCTGCTTGTTTACTAAGGTTTGGCGACGAAGTTTGCAAAGCCGATTTTTCCGGGCTTTGTATCGCGAGCATTGGTGTTCCAGCTGTGTGGCCATGGCGATGCTCCAGTTGGCTTTTTGGCATTTCCGCACAAAGCAGTCCCATCATTCCAACAGTGCATGAGGAACCCGTGTATGAAGAGTCTGTTTTGGCGTTGTTTCCTGCCTATCGCTAAATGCACAAAGATTTTCTTTTGGGGGCCACATATCTTGAATAAAATGTGTACAAACCACTTGCCACAGCCTGGGAGATGCTTTTTTTCCTGTTCCATTTTGCTCGCCCAAAATTTACGCTTGAAGATAACTAGTTTCCATTCAAGGATGGGAAACCAGGGCTGCGTGTCTGTGGTGCTTTGCTGCAAACCGTTGACATTGGAAATGGTGTAGCATTTCGACATTTCGATGAAGGCCAAATTCCACCGATTAACTGGAGACGAAGACCTCTTTAATTTCAATTGCTTGTCTGTTCTTCTAGCCTTCCCAGCAAAACCCAGTGTTCCTGCCAAATTCATTACCCCTTTAGGGAGGGCAGGATGAAGCCCCATGCACTTCAAACCCATGTGTTCTGGCGTTTCACTGTTGCTAACATTATACTGCACATATATGTCTCTCTCTTGAAAGTTAGCCCTATACAGTTGCAGATTGATTATTCGGATTCAATCAGGATCGCCGACAAATCTTAAGCTATCCAAAAAAAACAGGTTGGTAGTTTGCTGGACATTGCTTCACCTCTTTGTGATCAAATTGTTTTACTTTTCAGTGATCAGTGTTGGAGGGCCACACAATGGCCTGTACGGAATGCACTGTCCGCATCCATGAACTTTTGTATGTCACGACAGCGTCAGTCGAGTTGTCCAGAAATAAAACTAGGTATAAACGAAGAACAGCGGCAGACATCGAAGTGGTCCCCAGATGTTTCTACGACCACGATCCTTCTGGATTTGACAAGCTTCCCAGAGGTACAGTACATAACGAAAGCCAGAGGGCAACCTAGTTGTTGATGCAGACAATGAAGTTAAAAATGCAGTCTGTGCCATTTGACACTGCTTGCAGACCACAGCAGACGGCACGTGCAGAACGGCAGCAAACGGTGCCCGTACGTTTGGATGACCACAATCCCTCCATGAATACAAAACAAAAGTGCCAATCAAATTGACATACAGTTGAACCTCGATTTAACGAAACCCGACTTTACGAATTTCCCAATTTAACGAAGAAATTCGCATTCCCCACGCAGCGTATGGGCGAGGTCTCCCTTCCTCGATTTTACGAAGTTCCCGATTTAACGAAGTAATTAGCGGGTCCCGGTGACTTTGTTAAATCGAGGTTTCAACTGTATAGTAAACCCAAGAAAAAGGAATAAAAAACATATGGACAAAAGTCTCAAACAACTAAATTTATTCAACAAAATTTTTTTTTTATTGCTTTTGAGAAATTCTGGATCAGGATGAGCGCGCTGATCTTGAGGGCCTGATAATTGAAATGTAATTCTGGTTCGCCCGACCAGAAACCATCATTCCTGTCAGATTTTTGTGACGGATCTTCCACACCCTTGTATTATAGGGGTTGAGGGTATTTCACAAGTCTGCTGGAGGCACTCTGGTCATACTCGGAGGCCTGCGGAAGATTTTTCGTTCAGGAACTGTATACCTTCCGATGACTCTGCTAGTTTTCAGCCTTGAACGAACCTTTCTTGAACTGTTTTTCAATTCACAAGACCGATCAAGCACAGACGCGTGTGATGGTGGTACGGAGATGTATGGCATCACACGCGGCCGTTGGTCCTTGGGAGCATCGAAAAATAATTTAATGTCTTGAAACACGCAAGAAGAGCAACATAATTGTAAGAGATCTGAGGAAATAAGCACAGAGTGACAAGTTTATTGAATGCACAGTGCGAAAGAGACTCATATTGGCCGAGGAACGCTTTCGCTTTGATAATGCTCCGTAGAAATCTTGGTGCGGCTGGTCTTAACGACCCCTTCGAAGCTTTAAAAAGGTCCAAAATGGCGATCACCATGGCAACTGACAGCAGTGAGCCAATCACCTTGAGAGGTTTTGTCTGTATGTTGGTATTTGCTTGTGTCCGCCTAGCAGGTGGGAAGTCGATGGCACTACTTTCCCAGATCCAGTGACTTTAGTCGAAGCGACCCAGGGAGTGCGAAGTCGCGAGACAAGCTACAAACTATGGATTGGCTCGTGTAGCTCTTAGCGTCCATCGCAAGGTGAAACTGAGTGTAGGAGCGAGACTTTGGAGTACTCGTCACCCGGGCACCAGTCGCTGGGGGCTCTGGACACTGCCTGAATCAATTGTTTTGTTTTTCAAGTGCAGCATGTGGGGGGGGGGGGGGGGGGCCGCCCAGTCCTTTTTTTTTGTGATTTACCTTTCCCAGGCCTGTCGTCGTTTTTCATTTTCAACTCGGGTTTTGAAACATCTCTTTGGAACACAGATGACATAATACATGTATTTACAAAAGAATGCAAAACATATTACTAGTTCCCGGGTTCAATGGTGGAGCAGGATACATCACTGCGGTATTAAAGGGGTACGGAAACGAAATTCCAGCACTCATTTTTTAGCTTTGATGTGTTGCATGTTGCAGCATAACCTCAAAAATACCAGTCTTTCGTATAAAGGCACAAGAAAACTAATTTTAAAGCTAATTAAACAATCTTTCAATGTGCACCCGGTAGATGCATGTGGAGCCTGTTTGGGAGGTAATCTAGCAACGTTGGGGAACTTGCTACGTAGTCGTGACGTAGCAAGCTCCATCGAAGCAGCGCTGCTCTTTGGAATTCAACATTTTCCTTCATAGTTTTCCTCCTCAACTCACAAATCGCGTATTGTACCAAACAGTTCAAGAAGACGGAAAGGAAGCACTCCCCTTTTGCTCGGACCCTTGTTTGTGTACCCGGACACAACCATTCTCCCCCTAGAAGATTAGCCCATTGCTCAAAATTTGGACAAAAGTTGCTTTCCCCACCCCGTTCACCCTTAAGCTGATGGTGCTGTGGAAGCTACGTGCTCCTTGGGCCAGCCACACGCTGGTCACCACATGGGTACTTTGAACGGCTCGGTTGTAACACGTTGACGCTATTGACACCACCACAATGCTGACAATGCCAGCAACAATAAAGCTCATAACCGCGCCAGCCTTGCTACATCATGAATGCAGGGAATCTTTGTTTTTGTTGATGCCGGATATCTCATGATGCATTGTGCTCTCCGTTCGCTTCTCTTCGAGCGCTTGCTTGAGTGCACCGTTTGGAGCAAAAAATATAGCCAGTCGTTCAAAATACAAACATGCGATTATCTTTTACGGTTATTATCCGTCATGCTCGACTCGTTTCCGAACAAAATTTGAATATTTCACAATTCATTTCCATAGCCCTTTAAAACGCGTCAAAAAAAACTTCAGACAGTAGTACTCCAGATAAAAATGATTGCGCCTTCATGACCAACACTATTGAGGACCCACTTATTGTATTTTCACGCTTGTGATTTGGATAGTTTCCTTTCCTACTCTCTCAAGTTGATCTTAGTTTCCTACCTGGCTCAAAAACATCATGTTTAAGGCTTTGAAACCAGGTGCTTTGACATTGTATAAAATAGGCCAAATATAGACAGATAGCCAACCCCCAGATTTTCCTGGCAACTATAAGAATTTTATAACCCAACCTAGCAACCCTGGTACCGTTTCCGAGCACCTGTATGACCACATAGGTAGTTTGCATAGAATTGTGTTAGTGACAAACCATCATCATCAGAAAACGAAATAAAACATGTTTCTTTTGCTGCCCTCGTTTCTGCAACACGAGTCCTGATAGCCTTTTTTTTGTTTTTAAAATGCACAAATTGAATGGTTTCTTCTTGCAATGGCTGGGGGCCGCGAATTTTTTTTTTTTTTAGCGCAGGAAATGCACAAACAGTAGCTGTCTAACCCAAAGCGAACCGAAGTAACCAAAGGGGCAAGCCCAACTCCAACATGAATATCTCTCTGTACAAATTGTGTACTATGTTTTAATACATAAAATACAGTACATATTCACCAGCTTTTCAGTTTCGCTGCGATAGCACAAGTGAAAACAAAAAGATCTGCATAGATGTTCAGTTTACTTGGAGCACAAGTTGATCTCTTCTTTTGCACACTTGTTTCCTCGTTTACCTTGAAGATCTATTCATATACTTTTATTGCCCCTGTAATGGAATGTGCTTTGCTTGCATCTCGAGCACGAGGCGATGGCTGCTAAGCTACAATAATGAAAATGCTCCGCACGTTGCCCTATCTCGCCAGAAAATTTAAATGCAGTATCAGCTGGCACACTAGAACCTTTCTATAGTAAAGTCAATTTTTCAGAGAGAATGTACGCTTATCAGTATCTTCACTACATCAGTACATGAAAAGCCTGAATAGTATACAAGCATGCTTCAACCTGACCTCCCCATATATCCATATTTAACAATATCAGTCTTTACTGCAGAGAGGTTCTAGTGCATCACCTTCGTGGCACTTTAACTTCCGTAAGAGAAAAGTCCTAGTTGGACAAAACAACAATATGAAAGCAGTAACACAACTATATAACTCAACATTGGCCAAACTTGTGCCCTTCTTTTCAATGGAGTTTTCATAGCCATACAAACGACCAGAAACATGCGAATTACGGCCCTATTTTCTTTTTGTCGATGCATGGATATTCACCTTCCACAAGATGCTCGTGTGCAAATCTACACACACTTGCGCATTTCCAGGCAAGTCGGTTTACCGTGACTCCAATAAAACACGGTCCTTAAAAAATTTTCTGCAATGGTGGAGTTGCCATTGACGTTTTTTTTTTTACTCATTCGATGATGTTTTAAGACTGTGGCATAATGGCGCTTTACTAGCATTTTCTCGGTATTAACCCGCACCATTTGAGTCTATAAAAAAAGGCAGAGGCAGGAGTCGATGCCCGCACACAGAAATGCTACCAACAATGATAACAATTCAGACCTAGAGCAAATTCACAAACAAATGTTTTCAGATATTCGTCGTTCGCTAGGCTTCTCCTTTAGCTTGCAACGCCTGGCTCTCTGCCATATTGGGAAAAGGCAGATGCCCGGGCGTGGCTAACAAACAGTGCAGGTTACAATTGAGAAAATTGGGCCTTTTTTTTTTTTTTTTTTTTTGCGAGTGGTTATTGTTGTGATTGTCCTCGAATGCTTGGACCTGTAAGATGACTGGCACTTAAAAAAACAAAAGAGGAAGGGGCAAAACATTCGTCAATCCTTTTGTAGTGCGAGGCTGCTCAAATCTGGCTGAACAGGGTTGCGACACAAATCGTGCCGTTGATGGAACCGGTCACACACGTGCTGCAGTCTCCCGCAAGGGACCAGTCCACGGTGATCACGTGGTTTTTGTGGGCTCCGACAGTCAGGGCACTGGTGAATCCGCCGTTCTCCTCCATCTGCAGTTGCAAAGGTGGGAACCTTAGGCCCTCCGAGGCCGATGCTGCGGCACTTCAGACAGCTAGCGTAATTTGCCAGAATGGTGCTTCGTTGCGGCGTCCTAACAGTCGTCGACGCCACGAAATGAACCTCAAAAAGGGGTGTCTTGTCATGGCGAGCATGCCATTTTTATTTGAGGTTCTTGGTCAGAACTGCACATTAAAATTTTGCCAAGTAGAAGTGCTACTTGGCGAAATTTCAATGCGCAGTTCTTTTGCTGTGAAAGACAAGTACAAACACCCCGCATTCCCAAATGGCAGGCACTGTACATTTTTTTTACTGATGCTGCGACTCTTGCACTTTGGAGTGTATGGATTGATGAAAGAGGTGGCTTTTAACCAAAGAAAGGGTTGCCAAAGTCTCCTAAAGTAACGTGTGACCCACATTGTCGAGAAGCACTCCGGAATAAATAATGCAGCGCGGCATTAAGTGCTCTGTAGTGGACCAGTTCTCACTGTCGGTCTCGAACAAACGAATCGGAAAATATCAGCTCACGTTTGTGTTCACCTTTTGCATTCTTAGACAAGTTCTCTTTTTTCCCAGTTGGGAAAATGTAATATAAAGAAAGGTCTTCCCCGAAGCATTCTGCTAACCCCTGTCCCAACTGGACTCTGATTATCCTATCATTGTGCCTACGAGAAATGTTTGACGGTGATTACAAAACATACATTTCACGGTGAAATGTGGACTGAACAGAGGAGATGGCTGGTTTTGAATACCACAAAATTTCTCGAGCCAGAGTGGCGCGTACTCGTCTCTTTTTTCACGAAGCTGTCCGTCGTCGTCTTCGTAACAATAGGAGTGTCAGACTGCTCAGCATCATCGAGGGACAAGATCCTTTCAAAGAGGCACCATGAAACAACATTTTTTCCCTTGCCAGTGAAATGAAGGCAACGTCATATTACGGGGAAGGAAACAATCATTCGGTACACGAGGTGGACGAAGGAAGTGGCCACCGGGTGCCTGCCACGAAGGGCCGCCACTTGCCTTGTACACAATCCCGCTGTTGGGGCCACAGGTCAGGATGTGCTCGCTGTCGGCGCCGAGCGAGAACAGCTTGCCAACGGGCCGGAAGCCGGCGGGGCCCGTGCAGTCCGGGTGCAAGGGGAACTCGGCCACCCGCTGGCCCGTCATGTACACGTTCCACTGGTGCAGCTGCAAGACAGGGCCGTCAGCCTCGGCTCCCGACCCCGGGGCACACCCACCTTGCCCTCCGCACCCATGCTGAAGCAGGTGGCTTCGTCGTCGCTAAACTGCACCGAGAACACTTCGCCCTCATGGGAGACCCAGCTGCTGATGCATTCATAGGTCCTGACGTCTGAAACGAAAAAGCACCCCGTTTTAAAATAGGTATGAAAAAGCTCAGCAGGCTCATAGGGGCACTAAAGTGGGTTTCGAGATCCTCGTTGTGTGCCCATAACTCAATCTACGAGCTCCAAGCATCCTAAAAAATACGAAATTACATTCATGCGCGGCCGATTTGCGTAATAAAAAAGTGATCACAGTTCCCGACACCGATGGTGCAAAATGACAAATGGCGCTACTGAACCTTGCTGAATATGGTCAAACGACAGACTGCATTTGTCAGCCACTTTCGAGGAACGGGTTCACGCTTGGACGAGCGGTCGACCAGTCCCGCTCTTTTACGCGTGAACCCATCGCTCGTGAGTGGCTGACAAATGCCGTTCGTCATTCGACCATATTCAGCAAGTTTCAGTAGTGCCATCTGTCGTTCTGTGCCACCGGTAAGTTTCAGGAGCTTTGATCACTTTTTGATGCGTAAATCGGCCACGCATGAATGTAATCTTTTTTTTTAGGATGCTTAGAGCTTATATATTAAGTTACGAGCACAAAAGGAGGATCTTAAAAAACACTTATGTGCCCCTTTAAAGTACCCTTAATTCAAATTTTTTTTCAAGACACAACCTTTTTATGATTTGATATCAAACTGCCGCTATATGTTTTACTTACTTTCATTCAACACATACTTTTCTAACCCTATCATAGATGGCAGCACCTTAACCTGAAGTTATAGGTGTTGCCATCTATTGAAGACAATATCAAACACTTGCGTTTTCCGGGTGCCAACCTAATTTGATTGTTTTAGGGGGAAATATCTCTGTTTTTGTTATCATTCAGGATCATGGATGATCGGAAGTGGCGCAGCTAAGCTTTGACAGATGCGGAAATTGCAGCGTTGCTTCAGAGAAGTGATGACATTGACTCGGACAATGAATACATGCTCAGCGACTGCAAAAGCTTTTCAGTTAACGTTTATGGAGGAGACCTGGACAATGTGCCAACACCGCTTCCTCTATGTTTTTGTACAAAAAAACAGCGGAGCCTGCGAAGATTTTCTTACCCAGGAAGTTCAGGCATAAAGGTTCCACTTTATGATGTAAGTCTGCTCACCATATCAATACTTTGTGGATGACAGGCTCACGCAGATAACCATAGATCAAACTAATGTTGACTAAAGTAGAAGTTTGGGCTAGTTGGTATTTCATGATTAAAGATTAAAACAGGGAGTAGTGTACTGTATTCCCCTCTCGTGTGGCAGGAGATACGTCGGGCAAACGGGGCGATGCCTCAATGATCGGCTGCGGCAGCACAAGTATAACGTGTTTAGAGTTGTGTCAGGTCACCTTGGCCTGCACTGCCGAGACTATTGCTGCGCTCCCGTCTTTGACAAGTGTGAAGTGGTTAGGAAAAATAAAGACAAACTCACTCGGGAAATCATTGAGGCGCGCGAAATTGGAAGACTGGGGCAAAACTGTGTCAGCACTCCGTCACTATCTTTATCGGATAAGGAACGTTCCTATTTAGACACACAGTGACAGTGCATAGCGATGGCTAGTGAGCACGTGGCATCCAGGTCAAGCTTTTTATTCATGTTTGTTTGTTGTGACAATACAGTATTTATACTCGCTGTTAGAACAAATAAACTTCAGTTGTAAGTCAGCGCCTTGTTTGTCTACCTTCTTGTTCTTGTCCGTGTCCTTGCGCCGTTTTAATCTTTAATCAAACTAATGTGTTTACCTCCCAAAAATCTCCAGAGCATGTCTGGATGCTTTGCTCCAGGAGCAAGATTAAGAGACGACAAGTGAGAAGGAGATCAAGTTGTTCCTTGCCATCTCGGTCGTATGAGGGATTATTTCCGAGCCAAACGCGGCATCCTACTTTTCCCAAAACACACTTTTGAAAATGCCCATTTTTGTGACCTGCCGTACCAAAACAAATGCACAAAAATGAAAAGCGTCTCCTTTTCTCTGTACTTCAACACAAGAAACAATGTTATAAATAGGGTTCGATTTTTCGGTTTCTATTTTTTCAAAATTCGGCATACTTTTTTCGGTGTTTATTTTAAAAATCAATTTTCGGTTTTTTCGGCGTATATTTACGCCCACAAAAGTTTATCGGCTTTTTTTGGTGAATATAAAATAAACACCAGCGGACACTGGATCAGATTATCCTTGTAGCTCTGATATTTGTGATTACTCAAAGACTAACCGCACAGATACATTGAAAAAGAAATGGACACTTCATTTGGCAAATGTATGCAACTGTGAAAGAAACAAGAAAAAAAAAACACAAGTACAAACAAGTCAGATATGAAGTCTGTGCCCAAAATCGTGGAACTACACCTTCTGTATATCAGGATTATGTGATCTTATTATAGTACACAGATGTACTTTCCCAGGTTCTCCTTGTTGATCTGCACTCTTTCTTTCCTGTTAATATGACTCTGAGCTTGAGAATGCCCTCTCAACGTTAACACTGGACACTGGCAGGCTGAGGAGATGAAGCGCTGCCCGAGCCAAAATCGGCCAATCAACCAATTGTGACAGCCAAGACACGGTGCGACGTTTTGAAGCACAACACAACATGCAGAGCTTGCATCAAGTCAGTCTTCCTTACAACGAGTTTGAAAACACGCTCGTACATGGCAAAGTCATGGGGCAGTTCGGACTTCACGTTTTGATCGATGATGCACACATTAAATCAAAACGTTGTAATGCCCATCCATGTATCCCATACATTAGGACACGTTTCGATAGACACTGTTGTTCCACTTTTTCGCCACGGCTCTGTGGAACAACTGGAAGGTCAAAGTGATCTTTTCCGGTTAAAACTGAATTTTAGAAAATGGATTCGACATACTTTGATTGGTTTTTATCGGTTTAAATCGAAAATGCCGAACTTAAAAACTGACCTCTTTCGGTTAAAACCAAATTTGTGAAAATGGATTCGGTGTACTTTTTATCGGTTTTTAACGGTTTAAACCGAAAAATCCGAACCCTAGTTATAAATAAACAAGTTTGAAATTTTAGTCCAAAAATTAATTACGAGATTTTTTAGTGGAAAAGAAAAAAAAAAACCTTCCCAAAACCATGGTTGCGCATTCAAAAATAACTTCCCATTTTTAAGGGGTTAAGAGAAGTCAGGGATGCTTTCCACACGAACTGATCACTCCCGGGATGCCGTCCTTCGGATAACCCAGTCCTCGTGCGTGACCACTCACTCAACCATAGAGATGAGCGGCTCTGCCCAAAGCCGGCACTCACCGTACAAGCAGATGGTTCCGCCCGCGGTGCCACACAGGAGCAGCTGGCCATTGCGGCTAAAAGCACAGCAGTTGACCGTCGCGCCGCACTTGAGCTGGCCCTGCATGACCGGAGAAGACTCAGTGATGCGCCAGGGGTAAAACACACGATGGACAACAGCATACCTTTGTAGACTGGGACCTCCCGCAAGCTCAAGAACAATAGGACCCACATTTGTACACTGCGTCGGTACAGCAATGTCTTGTTAAGATGGGAACCTCAATCACCCCAAGAAAGCATCTATAATGCGAGCTGCCCATAATAACGAGACAAAATATGCATGTATTTACCCCGGTCATCCCCAAAATATTTGTTTATACAGCGGGGCATGATTATTAACGGAGTCCGTATTAAAGAGGCACGACTGTAATTTATTACCACACTCACTTGAGTGTGGAACCAGGTAGCCCACCCTCAAAAGGTCGAGGACCAACGTAAGGTTTAAAGGGGGGAGGGGGGGGGGGGGGGGGGTTTAAAAGTTTTAGAAGCGAAGGGACCTTGTGCTCTATGCTTTACTCTCAGTTTTTCCAATGACATCTTTACCTTTGATTTGTTTATGCGGGCAGAAACTGAAGGAGAGGAGGAGACAAGAGGGGACGTCGGAATGCCGAGCTCTCGTTGGAATGATTAGTGGGTAGACACAAAGCTTGCAACCTTTGTCTCCACTGCACTCGTCGAACGAGTTTGAATGCAAAAGCCACACACCAGTGTTCCATGTTCAAACACATTCAATGAGTGCAGCAAGGGCAGCTAGCTTTGAGTCTTCCCACTAATCAATCCAACCAGAGCTCGGCGTTCTGACGTCCCCTCCTGTCTTCTCTCCCTCAGTCTCTGCTCGCTCAAGACTATGGGCCCTCACCTGATGTGATAACAAGAAATAAAATGGCACCACCCCACCAACATGTTGGCATTTTTAATGGGACAAGAGAGCAAGCACACTGTTGTTCCCGTTGCTCAACAGACTGATCTCATGAAGCATTCGGCTCATGCTGAATGCTTCGTGCCATCTCGTGCTCTACATGCGCAGAGCTTCAGCGAGGTTGTCGCACTTGCAGAAAGACTAGTTCCCTCAATAAATTGGCATAGTCAAACTGGCTTGTGAGATTAATCTATTCACTCAGAAATTAACCAAGCTCAACATGCCTCTAAAAAAAAAATCTGTTAATATGTTCTTGCTTTCCTAACAATTTTTATAACAATGTTCTGAAAAATCACTTGTATTTTAATGGTGATATTTTTTGACAGCGAGAATCCCGAGCTCATAGCTTTATTTTTGACAGTTGCTCCTGCTAAGCCAGAGTTTGAGCAGCCGAGATGCATCCTTCAACGAAGAGCTCGCGCTTGCAGTCTAGTAGCATAATTGTTGTACAGGTGATTAACATGGCAAAAAGCTGGGAAGCAAAAAATAAAGTGAAACACAGCTGGCAAATGAACGCAGATAAGTACAAACTATGTGAATATGTTAGAAAAGCGGAAATGGATCGGCAAGATGAGATCACTACGGCGCACGCCATTTCTAGCGCTCGAGACATGGAAACGGACACTCGCAGCCAGTTTCCCACAGGTAGCACCCCAGAGAGTCGCGGGCCGCGTGTTTGATACCCCTGATATAGCTGAACCTCGTTGATACATTCATGGTTTATTAGCAAATTTTGCTGTTTTCTTCTTGGAATTCAATGGCTGTCACCAAAACTATTGTGTGTGGTGGAAAGTGGTAACTATGGGTGCCAATTTAAATGCGGAAAAGCTCCATGTCGTCGCCAGTGTGACGTTCAGGGAACAGCAAACGAGTTAGGCCAGGGTGTTCCAGTTAACACTGGCTGCGTTACGGAGTTCTCCTCAGCATAACATGGTACTGGCCATAACTAGAGCCAGAAATACCGGGACGAAAATATGAGTCAGAGAATGATCGCTCCACTTCTACAGAGACGATGGGCAAAAAGGCAAAAACCTGAGTGCTCATTTTGCATCCAAAGCATAAGCGCCATTCAGAATTCTTGTTGAACGAACCCACTCCGTTTTTCTCAAACGACTTACCAAGTTTGTCTTTCGCAGGACCGTCCCACTTCTCTGCCACAAAATCCAAGCTTTCAAACTGTATCTCTAGACCGAGCCTCGCGATTTCCAGCCTTGCAATCATGTTCAGAATAAATCTGTACTTCACAATACTGTACAGCTCACTGGCAAGAGAGTCACTTTGTGGCAGCAGTTGTCAGCTTTAATTCCTTCACAAGAGCTGTCACCTTGCCATGTTTTTCTTGCATTGTACATTGCTGCTCTTAGAAATATTGTAGCATTCGCGAAAGAATGCCACACTCGCTTTATACAAAGATGATATCAACGGGTGAAAGGCACATTGTGTACAGGAGTGTCAATTAAATGGGACAATCTGTAATCTATTGGGACAATTTAGGACAATGAAGTTGATGAAAACCAGATGGAAATTTCTTCGTAGATGTCTACTGGTAGCTGACACTATTATTGGGACATTTCTCAAAATCGGGACACGTCGCGGAAATCTCAGCTCTATTTGTTATGCATGCGTGCCGCTCTCAGTCACTATCTGGACCATGCACCCCAACTGGGTATTTCGTGCTGTTAAAGATTGTGGAGTTACCGTCGCACCCTATAATAAATGAGGGATCCGGGCAAAATGGTCCCAAACAAAGTGGTACCAGAAAAAGTGATCCCAGTTGAAATGGTCCCAAACATAATGGTCACAGACATAATAGTCCTAAGCGCAAACCCGGACAAAATGGTCCCAGGTAAATTTTGTGACATAGTTGGCTTGCTCTTCAAAGGTTATTTGATTGTTTGTACTTGATGGAAATTGGACATAGTGAAAAGAAAATGTTTTACTGAATACTTAGGTTATAGAATGTTAACCACTTTAAAGTTAATTTATTCCGTTTAAAACATACTGGATCAGTAGCTGAGCCAAGGAGAAGGAAAAATTTTACTATAGAAATAATATGCAAGTACATACTACATATATCAAATAATTTATCTATAATATTACATATATTTAGCACGAGACAAAAAAAGGTTGTTTCATAGCACGCCATCCCAAATATGTAGTATTTGCATGATAATATGTCTGATTCATCATGTACATGCATTTTTTTGCAGCTCCATTGCACTAATTTGAAATGTAAGAAAATACTTTCCCTCCTAGCCCACTGCTAGTAATCACAGTGTTTGGATCAATGATGACCTTGGCATAAATGCAACTAGTATAGTTAGCTATGGTGGGATATAAGCAAACATTGCTGACTGGGAAGTATACATGATGATTGAAAACCTGAAGCTGTGGTTTGAAAAACAGAAACTCGTGGAGTAGGAAGAAAAAGTGACAGACAACGTCTCTTGCCGCTCATTGCACTCAGGGGTTTAAAAGGAGCAAATTAGTTTATTTTACTAGGCTCTTTTAAGTGTGTTGTCGTGCCACACGTGTGCACAAGAACATGTTTTTTTTCCCTCAATTCATCGGTGGCATGCGTCACCGCTGCCGCCGCCGACGCACACGTACACATGCGTGACGGGACTGCCATCCTGGGAGAGCAGAAGGAAACTAGGCACGCAAGCGCTTGGAATGACAACAAAGAGAGGGCGCTGCGAGTTTTTGTTGACTCACATGAAAAATCCATGGAACCCTAGCCATATACAGCTTCGCTGTAAAAAAAATGTTTTCCCCTGGCGCATGACATGCTCATGGGCGATCTGGTCAAAATGCCCCAGACGAAATAGTCCTCAGTGCAAACCCAGACTAAACGGTCTCAAGCAAATTTTGAGACAGTTTGCTTGTTCTTCAAGGGTTGCTCGATTGTTTGCACTTGCTGCAAATTGGACACAGAGAAAAAAATGTTTTGCTCAATACTTAAGATATGAAACACTAACCATTTTAAAGTTTACATATTCAATTCAAAACACATTGCACGCCAGTAGCCGAGTCAAGAAGAGAAAAATATATTATAGAAATAATATACAAGTACATATATTAAATAATGTGTCTATAATATTTGATATAATCAACACGAGAAGAAAAACGTTTCATAACACGCCATCACAAAAAAATATATTTGAGATTCGTGTTTATACAGTGTAAAGAAGCAATGGGTTTACGCTGTAGATGAGAAACTGCCAGTGCAGTACACCTGGGGTCTTTAACGTGCATCACGGAGTAGCGATATACGACTGCATGCACGCCATCACAAATACTGTAAAAGACTTAATTTTCGTGAGGACCTAATTTTTGCAAATTTCGTGAATCGCCTACAGTTCGCGAAAAATAGGTCCCGCGAGCACTTCCGGTAAAATGTAAACACGTTGGAATCTATATTGAGATCCACTGCGTCGCGAAAACCAGAACCCGCGAATTATTGCTAAACTTCAGCTTTGACCTAAATCGCAAAATATTGAGCATGCGAAAAATAAGTCGTTTACCGTATGTAGTATGTGCATGATAATGTCTAAATCATCATGTGCATTTGTTTCCTTGCAGCGCCATTGCACTAATTCGAAATTATATATATAGAAAATACTGTCGAATTTTCTTAAATTTTCTTCCTGCTAAAGTCTAAGACTAAAGTCACAGTGTAGCCGACGCTACAAGTTGATAGGACCAGCCAAGCAGTGCAGAAAACAAAACATACTAACAGCATTCATCAACTTTTTTGTGCATGTTAATACTAAATAGTCCAATCAATCGCAGAGTGCATCGTGACCTTGCGCTTTTAGTGTGCGCATGTGTATTTCTGTAGTGACTTCCAAGCTCCAGCTTTGTACGGTGCTCTTATGCAAATAGAAGCCATACAGCCAAGTGAGCGATAATAGAACTTAAATTAACTTTTAGAATTATTTAGTTGTTTCCTCAAATATATTACAAAAACCTCAAATACATTAAAATATACACTGCACATGTGCTGAATACAGCTTCACAGTAGCAGTTCACTAAAACTTCAAAGAGTGCTCAAAGTGCCAACAAATCACTTGGGACCATTTTGTCTGGGTTTGCTCTTGGGACCATTCTGTCCGGGACTATTTTGACCAGGACCATTTTGT